GTTTCAAGGTGTCAAGCTAAACAAAGTAATTTGAATTGCGGCGAAGGATGCATGATATACGCATATTTGCGTGTGTAAGTATTTGCACGAAGAATATCCGCTCAGAATATTCACTGTAAGACTGACAACTGATTGTACTTAGATTATAGTAATCGCCAGTAAGACTTTCATATGAGATATTTAAGGGGATCTGTGCTGACAAATCCAAGGTATTGACAAGTCACTTGTCACTAGTTAACGACGTTCTAATGAGTGAGTATCAATAATGCAATGATCAATCTCAGGAAGTTCTCTCTCTGCGTCTCTCCATCCTTTTCCACATCCCAAATTTGGTGACGGAAGGGCAAACGTCGATCTTGAACGAAATGGAATGATGTTTGACTTCAAATTTTGAGGCTGTGCATATGTATTGCATTTACCAAAGGGATGATTCTCGTCCCTCTCAGCATAAAATTATCAAGTAATATTAACCAAAAAATGGAATAAAAAACTGCAATGAATAAATGTTCGTTTAAATGGTTTATTAAACAAAAGAGTGGAGTTGAACGTTTTCCTTGAATTGGAATATTACTAGAATGCAGAAATTGGTATAGAAAAATGTGATGCACTTCCAACTCAAAATGCAGTTAGCACCAAAAACGACCATACAATAACAAAGCATTTTATTATTTCTAATAACCAGCCATTGACCCATTCATTGTTGAGTCTTCCCACACGATTATTGTCAACTGGGAATAATACGCTTGAAAGAATAAGTGGTTATTACGAACCGGTGCACTAAAGTTGCCTACATATGCTCAAACATAGGCATATGTGCACTCCTTCAGTGTCGTAAGAATATTATTGTTATGCAAAAGACGAGTTGAGTGTATAGACATGCAATTAATTTATGTGTCCAAAAATCTATAGATCGTATTTGAAAAATGTTCAGCAGCCGCTTTCTGGTTTATTACACTTATTCCAACATGGATGGAAATACAACGATATACACAAGATTATTGGAAAAGACATGACTTTGAAGCTCTGTAAATATTAAGTAAACATGCCAAGTCTAGTGATCCTTCCATTTCAGCTTCTTCTGCAGAATTTGTGAAGAAAACAATGAATAAAACATTGACTCAATAATGCATCCGATTTATGTTTCATAAGTCGAAAGGCTTTTTATTGACTGGAGTAAGCAACGTTATTAACTAATCCCAGGCTGCATTCGTCACTATATAAATTTAATTGGACATTAACAACTGATAACGGAGGATAAATGTAACGGGATACATCGCAAATTATGGAGTTCAGCCCATCCAGGCCAAATTTATGCAACGCACTATTATCTTAACTAAAGTCTGATCGTCGTAAGCCATATCGATCTAGTCGCTGTGCCTTCAGAAGCAAAGATCAAAAACCTTACTTGTCCATGTTTTATTCTCTGCTGCACCGTATCAATTGGATTCATCATTGTTTATTAGATCCCCGTTTTTGTCAACACATGGCTTTTTTGCCATCAGGTGAATGCATTCTTATCTAATGCTTCTGTTGCTGAAGTACCTATCTCCATAGCCATCAAAATATGTACTTATTCAGTCAATATGTGCCGATGTCAATAAATCACAAGATGACATAATCAATTTGATCAAACGAATAGCTCGTCATGAAAAATATACTTATGTAGCTGTCCTATTTATAACTCTCCTGTGGCTTGGGCTGGGTAATAAAATTGAGACATTATTTAATGCACTGCACACTTAATTAATGTTGGATCCCTACGCACTCTGAAGGGCATCTATTTATTTGATGAAACAATGCCTTAGGATGTGATATGCATATTTTAACTGGTCAATTTACTCCTCGGTAAATTGTACCAAAATGGGTGTTGGAAAGTCTATTTGCATTCTATTTTAATCTCAACGATGCTCAGCATTTGAGTGGCTGCCCCAAGATTAGCTATTTTCGTTGAACAAATATGTAGGTATTTAAAATATCATATTTTTATATATGTATGCCTTTTATTTGTTCTTTCATTAAGATAAACCACAATGTGGTTGGGTAGCAGATCTCATGTAACACTATGTTCCGCTTGAGTTTTTCGTCCTTGAAAATCGAGTCCTTCCTCCCACATATCATTAATTATGCATATTGGTTAACTTGTAAAAGTTGGATACTATTTATTAGTGCCACAATTAATTGCAGAGTTGCATTCTTTCCAAACCTGCATATGTATGTGCATGTTCTTATCCATGTGATTATACACACATGCACTAATGACACCTTAGATTTCTGCCCCACTTCCTAATCTATTGACTCTAGATCAATCCAGACAGTCGCCAGAATGCAGTAGTGAACATTTGTCGCTCTGGGCTATTTTTAATACTAACAAAAATCGATCAATATCTTAGGAAAAAATCACAATATAGATAATATCACGCCCAAGCTGAACATAATCATATTGTTTCAATCAATCACATACGTACGAACGTGCATAGAGGTTAAATTGTTAGAGCAAGAAAATAATGTGGTATATGTCCCATAATTTAAGTGCAGGAAATGATTTTATTGCTATGCAATTATAAAATCTGTCTGTCAGAATTCAGGCATGGATGAACTAGAACTAGAAATATGTGGGGGAGCAAAAACCCGAAGCCCTTATTAAACAGCACGAGATTTTTCGAGTTTCAGGAAGCATTTCTTTAATTGACCTTAAGTTGATACTGTCCAATGTGACATGACATGAAACGCGAAAACTGTCAATTACAAACTGGTCGATTCTGGTGTTACAACGCTGATAAAAATTTTCAATAAACTGCTCTACGTATATTTCGCATATGCAAATTTACTACAAAGGCGGGTCAGATATATAAAAAAGTATAAAAATCAATAACGGATTTTGAAAAACATTAGCTCTCAATTTTGGCCACTTCATATTCTGTAGAACGTATTTACAAGAGATTGTTGTCATTGGTATGAAAGTTTCTTTCCATATCCGTTTAAAAAGTTAATTAAATCAAGACAACTTCTCTATTCGATTCTTTATCTAATCTCATGTCAGGTAATAAATTTCCGATAACTGTACTAAATCTAGGTCCATTTCCTTTTTCGTCGTTGAAGGGAAAGCTCATAAACCATTTAAATTCGCGTATTGCATGGTTTCAGGCATTCAGTGCCACGTGCCACAGGTCAAGTTTTAAAGAGAGAATTATTAAATTAACGCTAATTTTTTGTTGATCTTGATAGCATGTAGCGGAGAAAAATTCATTATTGAAGGGCTTGTCCACACAATTGTTAGCTCGACCTAAAACATCCTACGTACTTGTCCTCCTTCAAGAAGATGAGAGTTCGTCTTTCTGCTTATTTATCAACTCCCACGCTTCAATTCTCTTATACGTACGTAGCAACATGACTTTTCAGAAATCCCATTTAGCTAAGAATTAGATGTAGCCGATGCTGCTGCTGCTGTATGCAATTTATGATGAATATCTCACTTTCAATTAATTTTTTATCTGCATTGGGGAATTTCAAGTTTTCCAGGATTATGAATACATAATAAGAATACACAACCGCAAAATTTAATTTAAAGCAAAATTTCTCACATTCTAGCAGATTTAATTAAGATAACTTTCAAGTGTATACGTGTTTAGAACGTCTTCATTGTAAACTCTGCGTATTTTGTTCAAGAAATATCCAAGAGTATTATTGTGCTCTTATACAGTTGTAAGTATGGCTTGATCAAATTAAGTGTTCTGAAAGTAACGAGGGTGCATACATTGTTGTAATATAGCAAATATAAAACTTGATTTTAAAGTAATATGTTGCGCATTGTTCGTGGCAATTCAGAAATTTATGAAATCAAGTAAAACGATGCATAAAATGTAAATTTTGCATTTTATTACCACCCCCCTCAGGTTACAACTCCCATCAATAATGTGGGTGTTGTAATTTGGAATTTACAATGTCCATTTCCTCGCTAATAAGGTGTCAAATACGGAATAACATTTGAGAAAAAAGTCAAATGGGGTGTTTGGTCAAGTTCCAGATTTAAATTAGACACGGAAGGTAAATTTGGAGTATATTTCTTATGGAAATAGAAATGCAATCCTTGTCTGTCTCAACTATGCAAATATTTCATAGTGAGGACCCAGAAATGTAATTGTTATGTACATACAAGAATGTAACGTTTAAGATAATATCATACCTACACAATTGAGCACATTTAATTAATTTGCATAATGGGCCACAATCAAATTAAATGGAGGTGATCAACTTGGCACGTAATAAAATTGATATGGCGGATTTGTTTTAATTGCATCTATTTAACTTCTCACTGATTGAATTATTTATAAAATACAAAGTAATCCGTTTTCTTCATCGACTGACTGAAGAAACCTCGATGAGTGGTGTGGGCGAATGATGGCGTCCATAAATATGCAGCACATATTTATGTAGAACCTAAACCTGCTATAACTTGGGGGAGGATCTATTGCAAACATCTATCAATGTTCAATTATAATTACGTCGGTTGACTGGAAGTACGACTAACTTACCTTCGAGAATCAACAAATTAGAGTTATTAGTGCATGAAAATTTCACAAAAAAATATCAATAATTCTGCAAATATGTATCTGTATATCTCTGATGATTATAAGACCAAAGCACACCGTTATTATTATTCAACATGGTACATATTTCTTTAAAAAAAATACTGGCGTTTTTTCGCCTTTCACTATGTAAAAAGTATGTTATCGTCAGTTTACTGAAAGGTGGTCTCTGAAATGGCGTGGCTACAGGAGTATTTAGTATATAGATATCTCTAATATCTATATATCTACATGAATAACTAATTTGTCCTTCGTGTAAAAATGTTTAATAGGAACTGTCCAATTAGATATATCTTCTTGCAGACTATGGGAAAGATTATGGCAAAACATCAATGAAAACAAATGCAATGAATGATAGACCATTTTGTTGCCATTTGCTGCATGTCAGTTTGAGAAAAATCACACAGGAGAAAATTACAGGGTAGTTCATGTTTATTAAACCTTGATAATGGAGTTCTTACTTTTATATTTGCAGTTTACATATATTCTAAACGTGGAAAACCATTAGTACATCAATAATTCTGTATATATATTCTCAATACAGTCAAAACATATTTTTGGACATGCTAAAGGGTCACAAACACCCGTAAAAAAAAAAAAAAACACATTTTATTACACTTGCTTCATGATATCATCACTTGAGGATCACGAGAAAATTCACACAAAACGGAAACATTGGTTATCAGAGGTGTCGGGCGTTAAATCTTGATGTCCTCGTATCAACGGGCTCATTGGACTGGGTCAGTCCCCTTCGGTTCTTCCCCCATCGAGTATTGTCCGCAAAAAACCTGGGGAAAGTTAATGGTACAAGCAAATTACAAGTGGAGCATGTTATGATGCCAGTTATTTTTGTAACTTGCAAGATTCGTTAATTGTACTTGTATAGCATAAGTAGGAAAGTGATACAGGCGTTAAAATATTTTGGTTCTGGTACTGGAGGTCGTGGTATTATAAATCGTGTTAAAAATTGAAATTCATAGGTACTTCATAATCTTTTTTCATGCTGTCGTGATAAATATATACGTATCTGTGGGTATAGGGATTAATCATCCTCATATTGAGTCGTAAGTAACATGCGTTGGATAGAGACATGGGTGAGATGGACTGCTCGTGTGTCGTGAAACTTTAAATTGGTGGCATTATCACAAAAGTTAGAGAAGCAAGTGTAAGCAAGTTTCAGAGTTTGGTAAGTATGGGATCCAAAACCGCCATGCTCAAGCGCTGGTGTGCGCTAAGTGAGTGATTTCATTACTCGCTTCAGGAAACTTTGAAACAATTTGCCAAGCAGAAAACACGAATGTTGCGACTCCGACTTGAAGCAATAAGGATTGCGAGATTATTGGGGAAGAGAAAAAAGTAATTAAATTTCCAATAAAAAACCAAGCTCGAATTCAAATTATCACCAAAGTCATGCTCGAACAACTTATGTAACTACATAGCTTGTTACTTTATTGAGTAGCACAATAATATACAGGAGATTTGACAGTCACTGCTCGGAGGGCCTATTTCTTAAATAACATCAAGCAATTCAGCACGATCATTGTTGATAAAAATGTCGTTCAAATATATGAGATATTCTTAATTTCGTATACTTTCTCTTTTCTCACGCATTCTCAGCTGCAGAACAATACTAACACTATTGGTATATTAGGCTGAATTGAGTCAAGTGTCGCAGCCAACTCAGCCATGGAACTTTTACCAGACACGATCAGGAATGTATACAAGCATTTATATGTACATACATGTGTACAAGTGGGGAAAGTACGTAGTTGTGCGCATCATGATGTTGAACAATATTTCCCTAAGTTTGTTGCGAGACATAAGGATGGACATACATATTTGTATATGCTCCTCGTACGACTGCACGATAACACAGGACGAAATGTGCTTTGAATTATTTATAAGCAATACTGACCCTTGTGGAACCAGTTAAATTGTTGAGAGGTTTCTCACTAGACTATGCATTTGACGGGATACTTGAATATGCGAGTACCTAGCATGCCAACAAAATTGTCAAGTGTTCCTATCATCATTAATAACAACTTGCAAAGTAAGTACATGGTCATTTTTAAAAGAACATAAAAGCCGCACTGATGACATTCGTGCTTTCGAATTTTCGACTCGAAGCTTTTGCGTCAAAACATTTAATGCTTAAAAATATGGCAAACAACAAAATGATTTCCCATTAAACATAAAGTTCAGTGTGCAGTCAATCAACAATTTTTGTATGAGCATTTTTATAAGAAGAATTTTAAGACAATGCTTTTGAATTTTGGAACTGGAAGTATGATAATTTGATATTTAAGCACATTTAAATATGTTTCAACAGTGTGTACGTAGGTATCATACAACCAAAGAAAGTTTGTTTATTGAGACTTTCCACTGCATGCATGAAATAGATAAACTTGCTCGAATCATCGCAACTCTTTTTTTTAATGGTAACAATTATATTGATTTCTACATTTATTCTTATGAAAAGACATTCAAGTTACAACAACACGCCTCCCACAAACACAGTACAACGCGAGCGTGGCACAAATGTGACGTAAATCTGAGAGAAGTATACCCACTGACGAATCCACTTGTATGTATAGCATCCTGGTTCAGACTTTGAAACGGAATGGTAAATTGGATTAAAAATAGACTAATGTGACAGTAACAATTATGTTTTACAATAACAATTATTAGATAAAAGTAAATATATTGGCTCACAATTAGAAAACGTATTAAAACAGAATAAAAATGGTTATAGGCAAGTGAAAATGGTTATTACATTATTTTTCGTGTCGTGGTGGCTTCAATATAAATGCTGACACAAGACAAGCCTCATCTCCTCAGAGGAGATAAGTTGGCAACAATCAGGACTCAATTAGTGAGTGAGAAGGAAATATATAAATTTGGACCTCCTAATCAAACACAATTCCTTGCACACAATCAACCCATTTCAAAACTGTCTACATCATGGGCAAGAAATGCATTGGATTAGAGAGTAAAATTTCGCCCTAGATACCTTGCATTGCTCTGCGTTAGTTGTGCATGGTGCCGTGGTTGTGGGTGGGTGGATGACAGTTTGTGTGGAAATAGATTGGGGAGAAACTTGAGACATACAAGGAAATTGTTACAAGAGAAGGTTTTGTAAGGTCAGAGTTCAATGGATGGTTTAATTTGAAACTGGGTTAGGTTAATATGGGTGGTGATTGGAGGAGGCTGTACTGCTGATCCGCGTGTGGGTACATATTTATGAGCTAAGCATGATTTGTTACTGTTTTGTTGGGCAAACTATGCGGGGGGAAATAGTACTAGTTGTCATTGCAGCAAGAATGTCAGCTCTGGGGCAAAGTGAGGTGTCATGTTAAACTGATGTGTACAGAAATGGTCAGTAAGTTATTTTAAGCAGTTATGCAGATTCTTAATTTCCTTTCCCAAAACTATCAAATTCATGATTAATTTGCGTTAGGTGAATTATGTTACCAATTTTCTAATTATTCCTAACTTTAAATCAACCAAAAATGTTCCAACAAAAATTGCATTTGAATGGTCGATGCATAAATATTAGTAAAATATGAATGCACACAGGTATACCCTCAGCAAACTCTGTTCTGTATCTGTAACGGAATACAATGATTTTCGAATTTGTCGGAATTATGCAACTTTTTAAAAAATGCGCATATAATTTAAATGTGAGCATGAACGAAGTGTAATGAAATCCAAATTTCATTGTAAATATTAAGGTTAACTACTCAACAAGCACATTTATTATTAATCCATTAAGAGCAACAGCACCTCAAAAGGTGCATTCTGTGCAACTAACACATGAAGCATTGACGTTCTATGTATTCTTCACAGGAAAGCATTTTGACAACATTGCGAGTAGTACATTTGCTTCCTTGAAAAATTACAGTTGCTATCAGCAAAGCAGAAAATGCTGGTTAATGGTCAATTAAAAATCATGATTTGGCTGGATTGGTTTGAAATTTCGGACGCAGCGTGTGTTTGTTAGTGCAAACGCATGAGTGAGAGGTGATGGTATTTGGAACGCTAACTATTATTACTCAATGTGTTGGTGGGTGAAGAGTGCAAATGAAAGTGAGTGTGGAGTGGAGGTGATGGTGGCAGTTAATTAAAAATTACGAGAAAAGGTGATTCTGACTTTGCAATTTAGTCTGGTTATTGGGTTACTCGTGTTAAAAGGAGAAAGAGAGAGAGAGAGACTGGCAATGTCTAAATATGGTTAAATATTAAAATTTCAAAATATTTCAACAGAGTGGAAATTACGGTCTCACTCACATTGGTTCATAATGTGTCACTGGAAATATGCCATGGCTGGCGGCAGGTACCTCACTTTCTTTCTCTGGCCCCAGTCAGACAGGAAAACAATGGGTCAGCCTGATCCTGAACGATATGAGCTTAGGAATTGCAAATTCTCGTCGTTGACAGATTCAGGGGGATTCAGAACTAAGCAGAACGAATGATTGAAAAAAGGAAATAGTGTTTTTTCCATGAGCTACAGCACTAAAGTCGAATATGTATGTATGGATCTGTCAGTTCCAATAAGTGCGTGAGTCGCTAAACTAATGTTTGTTTGTTGGATCGTCCATGTCACGTTGTCCAAATGATAAGACACTTGTACTTCTGTCCAGTGCAAATAAGTTGTATATTTCTACATATGGCCTGATCAAGGAGTCATATAAGTTTGTCGTCTAATCTATCTCCATTACTTCAAAAATATGGTATATTTTGATAATTCCTTATCCCGAGAGCCCTTATAGAGTAGTAAGATGATGATATGGTGGTGAAATTATTATTGAGCCATTGCGTATATAAGGTAAATAGTTAAGGTACATAATATGTATGAAGGTAAAGTATTATTCAGTTCACCCGTCTGCACACCGTATTTAATTCTGTAATGTGTGTGCAAACCATTGACTTATGATTTACAATTAGACATAAATATCGTATGGCCTTTGAAGGCATTCAACTTGAATATATTTTTTTTACTTTATGACGGAGGACTTGCTCTTCGATGCTCTGGGAAAGATCGATAATCCATTCAGTACAGATAGATGTATGATGGGATTCAGACAGAAGGCACCAGCGACAGATACAAATGACCTGTCGCATTTCTCAGTTATGGAAATGGTCCTATTTGAACTGAGACTCCCGACTCGACCTGGATGAGCTTCATCAATTCCACCACCAGCACTCGAGAGAGAAATCGAGGCAATTTTGTGCTCACAGCGTGTAAAGTTGAAGTTTGGATCACGAGAGAAAGGCTAAAAGTGCTGGGTGGGAGCCCAGCTTCGTCCAAAATTGGAGTGAACAATATTCGCAAATAGGAATACATAGCTCACAAGTTTCGGTCATAAGGTACTTGGGTTCATATAATGAGTGGTTCATATATATCATTCGCTTATACAATAATATGCAATATGATCTGCCCCCCAACTACTGCGACAACTAATCCGCTTGATTTTCTCATTAAGCTTGATTCGACTAGGCTATGGCGAAATTAACGAGGGACTCATGTCGACATATATTTTGTATCAATACGTCCGCCGGCTACTACTAATGACTCCTCCTGTGTTCCTAAAAAAATCATTGAAAAGGCCGAGTTGGCTTAAGGAGCTAGAGCCAGAAGAATATCACATTGTATGTCAAACTTGTGCACGGTAGTAATCATAATAATCGTACTAATAATAGCTGAGAAATGTCTTTCGGTAATTCTGAGAAGGCCGTAAAGTAGTTTAAGACACATTCGTCATTGTTTGTCATGGTTGTGTATGGGCTAGCTAAAAGTATTGGTGGTTGACAATGTGAGCGTTGGAATGGTTGGGTTGCTGTTGTTGTGGGAGGTGGTGGTGGGGGGTGGTTGTGTAATTGTTGTTGATATGTTGGCTTGTACGATGGTGGGATTGGGGGGATGAGATGGAAATTGCGGAATTGGAGTGAGGAGAGGAATTGACGAGGTAATTTTCGATACCAGCACGAGATAAGCGTGGCATTGCAGAATAAACGGGCTCTGGGTGCTTTTCTTCTTCAGACGGTCCACGAATTCGCCTTTTGTGACAACCACACAGACACAACAAAACAATCAACAATCATTGAACAATACTGTTACAGTACAATCTACATCACAACTAAACTATTTCTACTACTCACTGATATCTACAACTAGTTTGCGTAGCGTCACGTTTCAACATTTGCATTTCTCGGGGAACAGGAGGTGTATGAAGTATATAGACACAATCTCCCTCCCTCCGCGGATAACAATATTATAACAACAACAGTAAGAGGAAGAACAATTTCAAACAGAAACAATCTAATCGCCACCACTTTACTTGAAGTGGTTGAGATTGCGATTTCTTGAAACAGGTTTCGTGTCCAACACGGACCATCATCACAAAATAGGTCGACTTTGAACGCTGTATAAAAATTCAGTTCTAACGGAAGGAAATAAAACCATCTTGGGTTCTTTCCCCATCACTACTAGACGTTTCCTTCTGGAAGTTGTGTTCCATTTTTTGTGTAATCTCCTTTTGATTTAATGTACGCAACTCTTCTAACCTCATGGACAGTGTGATTTTCTACTTTATGCAATATCCGGTCTCTGTTTTCACACCAAGGGTTAGGACATTTAACTTAAATCATAGTTGACTTTATTTGCAATAATAACATAAGGGCAACGAAATGAGCATGTGCTTGATATTTCCTACTCGATAGTTTCAAGGATCCTGCCTACAGAAATAGCAAGTCAGAGGACAGAAAGTGAACGGATTACAAATTAAGAAGCCTCACAACTGAACTTTCACCGAGCTGAATAAAATATACATGGAAAATCGATTATGGCCTTCACGCCTATCCCGTCCCATCATTATCAACATATGCCCAAGACTGTCAACCTACTGATTATTAGTATTGTTCTGAAATCTAATGAATGACTTTTTTCATTACACTTTAGCCAGTAAACTGATTAAATAGGTACATTGCTGTTATTGCGTTGAAAAATATTTCTTTTTCTGATTCTGTAGAATAGAAAAACAACTACATAAAACATCGTAAAACAAATGATGTTACTTATGCACATTGAAGACAGAGACTGGAAAATGCCGAGGAGAAAACACAAGCAAACAACGACTTCACGAGGACTTTTATAACTGGAGTCTAAATATGGTTTAGTATCCAACTAGTAAAACTTGATTCATTATGAAGTTGAACAATATAGTGAAGAGAAAACTCCTCTTGTTTAAAATTTTGTAGTTGGAAGTAGTCATCTAACTATGAATTAACCCTGTTTTGATTCTGGTTTCGATCAGACGAAGAAATACTGCGGTATGCAAACCTTATAATTCGAGTAATATACTCCGGCCAGTCTTCTGGTAGTAAGACCACACAAAACCCGACGCCGATAATCCAGATCCCAGCGAGACACATTCCTTCAAAGTCATGATGATACAAATGGTGATCCAAGACTGAAAAAAACCAACAGAGTTATCCTAAACTGTTAGGTGAGTCACACAAAAGATGCCATTATTTACTTGAGAAGTATAGAATCTCGCTTTATTATTACACAAGCATGATATCACAAAAGACAGATAAAATAATTAAAGCTTGGCAAAGTTTCGCATTGTTTTTGGAATGAAGCCAAATAATAAGAATATTAATAATATGCGAAATAGTCTGTGTTCGAACTTACCCGCAGAGAATGGAATAGCCATCAGAAGACCAATGCTGATGAAGAATTCGAAGGTACAGGTCTTAAAATTGAACGTTCAATTAGTCATCCCAATTCAGTCACACAGAGCCAAATTATATTTGACTTGATCCCACTCCGTCTCAGTTCTGCGAAATTGTCTGAGACTATCCGATATCGTACAACTTACCGTTTTAGATTTCCTATTTACCTGAGCTCTCACAATTTATCACCATCAATACTTTTATTATGAGCAAAATTAAGCTAAAAACAATACAAAAACCCTTGTTTCACTGGTTTCTCGCATTGTCCTCAAAATTTCACTTTATCAAAGACAGAATACAGGTAACTACACAAATTGAAACCATTTGGTATCTCGCAAGCTTAATTTTTGATTTTACAAATTAGGAGGGGAGGTTGCATACTATCTACTCACGGACCTCGATGCCTTTTGGATATGTTATAGTGTCCCATGAAAGAACAAGAACCCTGAAGTGGTTTGACTCCATGGCCACATTTGCGCCCGCCACACCTACTCAAAGGCGCCCAAAAAACGCTTTCACTCCAGCTTTCACTCACTCAAATCCACACCAAAAATCTAATTTTACTCGGATTTTGACATTTATTTCACCATTATACTCCCAGATAGATGTTTTCTTATATCCAACATCAAACTCAACTTGTTCGATGATTATTTCGCAGCCATAATTTGCGTTGTTGATTACTACAACAATGCTCTTTCAGAATTTTAAATTTTAAAGATGCTAAAAATTTCCAAAAGTTGAATTTGATGTTGCATATAGGAAAACACCTATCAGGGAGAATAATGGTGACAGAAATGTCAAAACCCGAGTAAAATTGGATTTTTGGTGTGGATTTGGGTGAGTGAAAGCTGGAGTGAAAGCGATTTTTGGGAACCTTTGAGTGGGTGTGGCGGGCGCAAATGTGGTCATGGCATTAAACCACTTCAGGGTTCTTGTTCTTTCATGGGACACTATAACATATCCAAAGGGCATCGAGATCTGTGAGTTGATAGTACGCAACCTCCCCTCCTTAGTGTTTCTGCAAATGAATGAAATCAAGGCTGAATCAAATAAATTCACAGTTTCACATCAATTTTGAGTTGTTTTTATATATCGCATATGTAAAATAATAATGTAGATGGAGATGATTATTATTTAAGCCAGAATGAGGGGGAAAATTAATTAATTAATTACCACCCATTAGGGGGTGATAAGCAACTGTGCGGTGCGCTACGCTACCTGAAATTATTGGGCAGAACTGAGACGGGACTAGGCTCAGGTCAAATATGACTTGGGTCAGTGTGACTGAATTGGTAAGACGTACAACGCCGAAGTTTTCCAACATTGCCACAACTGCAAAGAACCGAAACGAAAGACACATTAAAAATTTACGTAATAATCGACCGTCGTGCATCCCTCTCATCGACTCGACCGACCAACTCTCTTGCTCGATTTCTCTGAAAAATCCAACTTCTTCTTTTACTCTGACTTTGCATCCTTAGTTTGTGAGAGAAAATTGGGACATTCTCTGGCTAAAACTAGCAGATTGTGTTACTCTGTGCACATGTATCTATGTCGTTGTTTTCTCCTTCCGAGAGAACTATCAGAATGTAGATAATCCACTGAGATTTGAACCAAAGGGTTTACAAATTGGCTCAGCAGCAGCTCTATAAGATCAAGCAGTCTTAAATGCTTTGCTGTTATACATCAAGGCCCAACAACCAACTATTACCATATCTAACTTTCTCCCATGTTCTCGTGGGTGCCTTTTTGCATTTAAATCAGAAACTGATTTTCTAAATGCTGTTGCAAGGATACACACATACGTATAAGACGGATGCTCTGCAGTATAATGGTTGATGGGGAATGAATACAATTTTCTAGGCTTTCAAATGGTAAACTACCCTTACAGAAGTCTGGGGTATTTTAACTCATAGTTCTCAATCTCTGGGATCCCATGATATAATTATATCCAACAATTTCGTTCTTTTCCTTGATTCATTTATGTATCTTTGCATGTGGAGCCGTTTTAAATCTAAAGTTTATGTTGTGAGTCTGAATGCCTAAATACAAAACAGATCGGGTTCAGGCCAAGAAATGAGAATATGTAAAGAATCATGATTCGAAACCGCTCCCCACGTCCCATTAGTGTGCGTTTTGAATGGCTAGCATATCAGTCACATTCTTCCATGCTGATGTGATGCAGGAGGAATATAGAACTGGAGCACTGGTGCTGCTGATTAGTATGCTAGCCTCCCTGCGCCACACACTTCTTTCGAGGGCAGAAACAGCATAGCAGTAGCAGCCCGCTTGGATTGCTCTTTACCAGAACGTGGAGAAAGGCGGATTTCTTTTTTGGGATGGATGCAGACAGATGAGATAAGTGTAAGTGGCTTAGTTACTTTTCTCACTCACTCACTTTCTCTGTTTGAATTGGAACGGTGTTGTCTAAGGGAATGACGGCATGCGAGAAGGGGATTAGGAGAGAGAGAAAAATGTGGCGACGAGATGTTGTTCTGCTTTGCTTTGCCATTTTAACGCACAAATCTCTATCTATCTTCCTCTCCTACGTACATGCCACGCTTCCGATTTACACAGAGTGGGTAAACAGGACAGTCGTATATCTGCATGGTGCAAGTGATTGACGGCATGAAAAACGTAGGTTTTCAAATTTTATATAGTCACATATGGTCTTTGGCATGTGGAAGTAGGATATCCAAGATGTGGTAACATGCTGCTTCATTTTTAAGATCGACACGTCATGCGTTCGCTGATACTTCCTTCATGACAATATTGCAAAGTGCAGAAGAACCAAATATCGATTTTCCTAATGTGAATTTTATTATTCCCATTTATATTCCTTACTTTAGAAAAACTTGTTTGTGGGTTTTTAGAGCAGTGGAAAAATATTTCCGAAATACGGATCGATGTTAAGATGGCGATCCGTTCAGCTAACCATTAGTGTTTCCTGGCATTGTGTGTTCGTTCTCTTTATTATATGAATGATACTGATATGCCTCTGGTGCAGAGTTGTAGCTGAACATTAAGGAGTCTTAAGTAAGATCAAAGGATGAACGAGAGAGAAGAAATAAGTCAGAAAAAGAAGTGCTGCCGAGAGTTTTTGTGATTCTAAATGGACGGAAAGTGTGAGAGTGTGTGGTTAGTGTATGGCTGCTGACCTTTTTCATTTACGGTTTTTTTATTTACAGAGAAATCATTGTGAAAAGAAAGGAAACAGAATTATTACCAAGAAAGGATAATACAGCACACAGTATGAGCTCCCATGGGACGTAGGACCAAATAATCACTTCCAGTCCGGAAAAGTAGAGTGTGACAAATACTGCAATTATTATACTGTTATAAGTATCGTCATATTCACTCATTGAAATCCATTACATTGTTCTTGGACTTACCAGGCCACAACACCACGATTGCGATAATTCCAACAACCTATGTAAGCATAAAACATGTTAGCAACTTACTAGGATGCCGAGGCCTGTTAAACAGATAACGAATATGACTTACTGAGAAAATCAGTGCTACTTGCTGCGATATAGTAGCACCGAATCCAAAGAATTTCTTTAAGCTAACCTAGAAAAATATAAATTCAACCACATCATTTTTCAAATGCAATCACCACAACGAGATAAAAGGAAAAGCGGCAGAGTAAGAGCTGCGGATTTATCAGTGAGCACGGAAAGGATTTCAATTAGCGTTGCAGAGGATATTTAACGAAACATTCGTACAACGATGGCGTGCGTTGGTGCTTTCATCCTATAATAAGTTAAACTATAAGTTGGTTTAACCATGTACAAATTTTTAGAGACTGCAGGGGTTTCCTGATCAATAAATCACTTAAAACTCGTAAAATACCACACGGCGTAGAATAGTAATTGGGGCCTTGGTTTCCCTATTAACCGTTTTATTACTCAAGTGGGACTCCCTGACTTTCACCACCTATTCTGCATCACGAGCGAGATTCTCGGCATGGCCCAGCTATGTATGTACAACGAAATACGTACATTTGCACTGCCAATAAATAGGGAAAGAGAAATGACTTTATTTAAATGCGAAAGGATGATGACGTGACGAAGGAAATCGAAATTCGAAGCAGTTCTTCATACGAGGAAAGTGGAAACCAAAAAATTCGATACTGTTCACAGCGGGTCGGTTATTTATTGCCCCTACGCTCCCACCTCATAAGCTTTCTCTGCCAGCCAGCTGCGCAAAAAAAAAAGATTTACATGATTTGCATTTTCTGACTGAATCCCATCTTTTTTTCGCTTCACTGGTGGATTTTTTTAAGTTTCGTTTACAGACGAGTCCCGATAGACTACAAAATGCTTGACATAAAATCACGACTGTTTTCATAGTTGTTCACTAGTTGATCCTTACTGAAAAGTACTACTTTTAGTATTCAACTGATGTACATACACACACATTAGTATTTAAAAAAAACCTACTACAACTTTGCGGGGCCTTTTAAGATGACATTATTTACTGAAAGCCAGACTCAGAATATATGATTTGCATAGAATTTCCTGATTTTTTTGCATAACGCAACTGTGAATGATGAACACAATTTTTAAACTCAACTGAAAATGGAAGAGGAGAAAGTGGAGAATATTTAACACTACAAAAAAATCTTCCAGGAAAAAATTAGCCCACAAGTCATTTCTCACACACATTTTCAGTCAAGATGGGAGATGCGGTGGTGAGCTAGGAGTGTGCAGTTTTGGGAATTGGACGAGTGGAGAGGACGGAGGGATCATAAATTATTGGGGTTTGTTCCATCCAACAACTTTCTCCTGCTTTCGTAACTCTCGTCATCAGACCCGCAGTGGAAAAGCTCTCATTTCCTCATCGTTCGGAGCATGACTGAGATTGACCTTTGACTACTTCCTCAAAGTCGGTGAGTCTGCTTTGATGGGTTGCTGGCTGGAGGGTAGAGATATATGGATAAATAGATACCAGTAAATAGAATTACTCTTTAAATCAAAATTAGGCTGTCCTGTAAACTCGGAAGCGCTGCTGACTGAACAGATTTTAAAATAGATGGCAAAAGTGAGATTTGATGTTTTGCGAAGAGCTTGTAACAAATATGCATATTATTTGGAACTCCTTTGGACATGTCCCTGTCCATTATAAAACAGATCGTGCATGGGGGAAAGTTGAATGCAAATGCAAGTTTCATTTGTCATCCCTTCAAGCTGGGATGGAAACATTAAATAAATTTCCATTCTCAAATCTCTACACGTGTGGGCACTGCAGTAAGTGTTCGTTATTCATTATTATTGATGGAATTTGTTGATTTACATGATTTTATACTTACTCGTCCTTGAATGACGAATTCATTTGAAGTAATGTGACTTTATCAAACATGGCCAAGTCAAACACGGTTTTCTCCAACTGGGAATGCATTTAAGATAACAATGCTTGATGGACAAGAACTAAAGAGCTTTTCCTAATACTACATGCCATCACTCTCACTTATTTCACTCTGCCGTCAAGTTCCCTTTAGAGTAGTCGCCCACGAAGCGTCAAAAGGAAATTAAATTAGAGCTTTCACGGTCACTTACCTTAAAAACTGCGGAAGTCGCAGCAGCTGCTGCACCAAAAATTACACCTGCAATTGGAAGGGTAACATTATTGCATTTTTGCATAAACTATGATTTTTTCGTTCCTATTTAACATTCGTACAATGTGAACTTTAATAAATATGATTTCCGATAAACTTACCCACGATCGTTGTTGACCTATAAGTTTGTCCGTCCATGTAAGCAAATAGAGCGATTCCTGTAAAATCACGTAATTCATTATTATTTCGTTATTTCAAAATGTTATGCGATGAAAAATAATTAATGAGCTTACCCATATTGCTTAAAATCACAGCTAGTATCTAAGAAAGAAAAGTACACAATAAATCTCAATTCACCTCATTAACTAAATTATTTCTTTGAGTAAACTTAATCTGTACTAATGACGTGTGGGGAGAAAGAGATTACTGGAAAGTATGAGTAAATTAGATATATTAGATATCTTATTTTTCCTCAGTTATAAATTTTACTGACAAACTAAAAAATTGTTGTGTATGAAAAAGATTAAAAAAGATTAAAGATTTCTGATTCACTACAAAAGGTAGAAAGTTATCTTTTCCTCATTAATGGAGTTGACACTTGATTTGACACTGTCCTCTAAGGAACACGACCAGAGTTTTTGAACTTGCCTGAACTTTTCTAAATGATAAACCATTATCGGAAATCAGCCTTCTTCTTAGTAATTCTTAGTAACTTTTAAAAATAATTTTGATGTTTACCACGTGGAATTTCAAATTAAATTAAGCCCAAATTAAAAACATGGGTAATATTTATCAATGCGCTGTGAAGATTATACATGAAACAACTTTCCAACTTATATCTGTCATATCTGTTGTACCTTCACTTTCATTTGTTGTCTCTTTACTTTTCTAAACCTCACCTTTATTCCCACAAACTTTATGTGAAGCACCTGAAATAAAGAATGGAATGAATTTTCCGAGAATGTTAACCTATGTATACTGATGCTTACATTCTAATTGAAATGTGAAGTGTAGTAAATAAAAATGCATACCGTCCAAGACAAAATATAAAGGAAGGACGTGGTGGTGGCGAAGAGTGCCAAAACTTGCGTGGCTTTGAGCGTTTTTAGAGAGAAACTAGGTATTTAAAGAAACAAAAAAAATCATTTTTATACAACAAAATTGCTGATAAAAAGAGCAATAGAATTCAATTTCTTGAAAGATTAATATCCTACATATTCCATTGACAATTTAAAAGTGACTCAAAAGTAATAGCTCACCAAATCAGCCACAAGGTAATAAGCCACAGCAAACACAGCAGCGAACAACGCCCGATAAATTGAACTGAAAGTTTAACAGATTTATTAGTTTATGTGGTTTATTAGTATTTTGCATAGAAAATACTTTTATCGAGTTGTCAGCTATTCGTCTACCATGGAATGCAGCCAAATGTGTATCTGTCCCTTTACATGTTCCACCCCAAAACTGTCAAAACCTCACCTACGATTAATAAAGTCAGTGTCCACTAATAAGCCCGAGATGGTCGAATGTTTTAGAGCATTGGTCACCTATTCTAACAAGGGCTGGGTATAAGCATTGAATTGGAAGATGGAACACAGCACTTTTCTCTGGAAGTAACCTCAGGATAAGTTTTGTTGGACTTTTACTTGTGCACTCACAATAAAAGCTCTTTTCTCGTGCCTGCCCCTCGTGTCATCCGCACCCGACGGATCAATTTCTCAGCATGGTCACACAAAGGAGAATCATTTTTTGCTCATTTATTCCACACATATGTCAACTTCTGGGAAAAACTTTAGACAGCCACAGCTTGATTTCGAAGAAAACTATTTACAGTAACTTAATGGAAATTTCAATCATTTTTGTTACGTATGTACACACAGTGCCTAACATCATTTAGTTCCTAACATTCTAGGACGAGTTTCACCACTTTGAATTTGTGTTTCAGTTCAGAAAAGGAAACAGCCTTATTTTCTCACTATTAGATTATCATATACTAAAATAACATGGCGATTCTCTTTGAAATTTTATTTTTCAATAAAATTCTCGTGATGAAAATTCAATAAGACTTTCCTGAAAGCTTGAACAAATAAACTATTCACAATTTGGTATCATCGGCCAAAAAACATTACGTAAAACTTTGGAAAATCGGCATGCGAAATGGAAAAACTGCACTTGGAAGTTGTCATCTCAAATAAAATTTTTGTTTTTCTTTCCTTTTCCTAAAGTCATAAGTCATCATTACCGTTCCCATACGTCATGTACAGGGTCCTTTAACTGTTTCCTTGGAGGATTTCTAGATTTCTATTTCTAGGATTTCTATTTCTAGTTTCTAGATTTCTGTCTAGAAATCCTCCAAGGAAACAGTCAAAGGACCCTGGTCATGTACAAATACTGTTTGCTTTCATTAAAAAAAATGAGGAAAGAAGTTTTGTTTACTTTCTCGTATGAGTGCTTCAGACTTTCAGAACTTGCTAAAGAAGTAGTCCTTCGTAATTCTAGATTATTTTCGAATAATCTTGGAAGACTGACTTAGTCTTGATTATCAAGTCGTAGTTGCAATATAGTAAGATTTGATTACATATTGGAAGAACTACAATAACAGATCCCCTAGATTTGATAAAAGTTTCTCATCTTGCATATCATCGATAGAACTGCATGAGCTGAAAGTTGGGAACCTATTTGATTTTCTTAGAAAGCAATATTGTCACGACATATGTCAAGATTCCCTTATGCTACATTTCATAATGTGGAATGTAAGTAAATATATGTACAAGTATATTATACTGGTTTACAAATTGGAGAGTTTCAGTTTTCAACTCAACCCAGTTTTCTTTGCTGGAAATCTGCGATGACAAGTATTTTTGGAACTTTGAAGCCTAATCCTAAGAAAGTAGTGGAGCAGTATTGTGACCTTCTTTCTTGTCAATGATAAGTATTGATAAGCCTATAGAGTGAATACACTCTCCATTTTGCTGGCGTAAGGCTGAGTGACCGAAATAACTGAGACGCATTTGCCGCAGCTCTTCATCGTGAAATAAAAATAAATGTCAACATGGCGAAAATGAGGAGAAAGCACAAACAGTCAAAGTACATGAGGCAATTCCAAAGGGACCCCATCATGAAAATCAAATACAGTCTTTGGATGCCCGTTACGAGTTATAATACAACTGCAAACTGACTATGCACAATATGGTATAGTCAGCTCTATTTTTGCATAAGAGCAATGAGATCATAGATTTGGAAATGATAGGGTTATCCAGACTAATTTTGGAAATGACTCTCTTGTTTCCTCTTTGCTTGACTAGACGGCAAATTATTACAGTCAAAGTCAACGGCAGCATAGTCAAAGTGGTAAAATATTCCACCTAATAACAAAGTACGAAGTGTGCATTCCTCTAGATTGGGTAATATTTTAGCAGCTCCGCGGCCTAATCATGATAGCATAGTTAATGAGACAAGTTATTAAATTGGAAACACTTACACAGCGTCATTCCCCGTTCCCTAAATCCTTGAATTGCATCAGAAACAGCTCTCGACATACTTTTGGGACCTTTTCGTCCCATACAAGAGCAGAAGCGAACTGTGAGTTGGTGAATTGGGTAGAACATCACTGTACAAATACTTAGAAGCCATGACGTGAAAAAGGGGGCTTCGTACACTTTCACCAACTTTAACGTTTTTGGCACCGAGGAACTGCTCACTTCCTTCAGACTTGAGTTCACATTGTTGTTCACAGTATCACCGTTGGATCCTCTCAAGTTATTGTTCGGGTCAAGGGCATGGAAAAATTTGGAAGGGTCATATGCAGCGTCGAGTGGCGACGTTGATGTCTCCACCACGTGGTCCTCCACGTCCGAGGCCATCTCATCCGGAAATAAGTGCATTGTGATGTAAGCCCGTTTTATTGAGTGGAACAGGATCGTCCAACAGCAGCCCACAAGTACACTTAAGAAAAGTCCACAGCATAACTAAAAGCCAGACAAAGATAAAGGGTTCATACTTTACTATGCACATGTTTACATCTTTTGACGTGTTGCCAAACACAATCCCAGAATCCCATCACTGATTTTTTTATCTGGCGAAATAAATCAGTGAGTGGCCTGGACTCCAATCTCTTCACTTGGACCGGAGAAAGTTTTCCGACCGAGGTAGCCTCAAAAGGACACAAAAGTCTGAGGAGGAGGAGGGGGGGGGCTTCATGTTTTGATGACCCTATTTCCTCTACAATGTGCTCTACTCGTTTTCCCCCATCCCGTTTTTTTCGCATGAAATAATTTGTTCCAGTAGCGAGTTTGGTGTTCTTTGTGTTGAAGTGGAGCGGAAATGGAGCAGCATCAATGGACAGACACCCAACAACACAACGTTTGCCTTCGTATTTATTGGGAAGACGCCACGAGTGAGCTACCACTCCCAAAAGAGAAAATAAATGTCGAAATCTCATCTAAACCTATGTACGTTCATGTTCCGGAACATCAAATCGATATGGATTCTTTATTTTCTTTTATATTTTCGTATACAAGCTTCCCCCATTTAATGACTATAGTTGTTTATCTATGTGTACGCGGAAAAGAGGAGGAATTCCTACTCAGAGTCTCTCCCGCAGAGATAGTAAAACGGAAATGGTCTTGTTAGCGGAATAGTCTTTGCATTAAAATTCACAAGACGAGGATTATCCAACCTTAAGTGATAGAATCGAAATGAGAGAATTTGTCCTATGTCCTACAGCTGCTAATTTTCCTCGGAACATAAATAGTTTCAGCTCCGTGAAGCACTTAAAGAAATTGTATAAGATTAAATCTCATGCGATAGAAATGCTTTATGTTGATTAATGTTCCTAATCCTTCTGTCGACTCTGCTGGTGTTATTAAGTACATTTCTCATTCATTTGGAGTGTGAAGCATCATCAAAGGGTTGTTTGCTGATGAGGGCACTCCAAAAACAACATAAATTAATTATAATGTTTTTAGAAGTTGACAGAATTTTGGGCAATTTAAATAATTTTGGTCTTGCTTTCTACTGTTTGCTGAAGTGCTATGTAGTTAATCCAAAGTGGCAATGGATTTATAATTAGGCGAGACAAATAGAATCTATACATTTTTTGTGAACTAAATTACAACAGCAAGAAAGAGTTGACATGCCCTATTTCAGAAAACTTATTTTCCTAATATTTCTACAATTTAAGAAGATTACAATGTAATCTTCTTACTATGCATAGCAAGATCATATTGACACGATTACTTTACTCATGATAACAAACGCAGACCCGTTAAGCATTAATACGAACTATGATATCTCAGAAACACGCTTAATTATGGTTTTGTGTGTTATACGCAGAAGTTTTAAGGGGAATTAATATATTTTCGTGTTGAAATTTATGCACATATGTAGATGCTGATTTGTTCGAGTTATTTAGGAGGTGAGGCCATTGACAACAATTATCTGTATTTATATGCATGCATGCTGTCGTGACCAACGAGGTGGTGAATTATATTATTAAATGGTGCGTCTATATTTAAATTGCAAACTCTATTAAACGGAAAGAGAGAAATTTTATTTCCGAGCACAGACTATTGATTCGTGTACGAAATCGATTGAACGCTTCCACATGAGAATAAGCACAAATAATCCAAACATACCTGACGATGAGCTGGCGAAATGCTATAACTATTTGTCAATGATTTTAATGTGTCACTCAAATCGTTAGTATTGTTCCCCTTATGATTGCATACATGACATTGAGAAAAGTTAATAAACGAGCACTGGCCAACTATTGTTAATCAATGTGCGAACCCCAATACTGCAATGCATCACAATGCCCACCAAACAACCATATATAGTGTTTGCCTTGGGAAGATTGCAGCAACTTTACATGAGAAAGTGTGCATAAAATTTGGCAAGAACGAAAAGTGTTGCAACTGCATCAGCTCGACACAAGCAAGGATACACTTTTCTAGGAAAACGCCCCTTATCCTATAATTTGATATTTCTTTAGCATCCTCGTGTATTTATGTAAATCCCTCTTTTCCTTGCCACAAATTAGTTTCGCCTCAACCAAACTAGTCGCTGAATGCATAAGAGGATTACCACGTTTCCCTTCATTATTTTCAAGTTGTCTCACCAATTTACCGACTATTTATATACAAGGAGAACTTTTATAGGCGAGGTTAGATTTTAGAGGTTAGAGTTTTGGATCTATAGAAAGGGTACAATTTTGGAGAAAGATTATACTCGTTTGAAAAAGCAATAAAAGCAGATTTATGTAATGTGTAAAATCATTAGGAGAAAAGATGATTGTCTCAAATGGGCGGTGTGGGGCAATATTTTACAGGGAAAGAGGATAAAAGTGAAATAGTTCCCTTAACACTGCCCCATAAATCTATGCAGCAAATGTACACATGCACATGTACTTCATTTAGACTTGGTTTTGGGAATTATGCGCTTTCTATTTTAAAATAAAAACAGACAAGTAAAACAAAACGCAGTGAAAAGGGAAAGCTGGGAAAATGTTGAAAGAAGTTGAAGAGCAGTCTCACCTTTCTCGCAGTTTTGCTAAACAAAGCTCTCTTGATGGTGGCGATGGTCCTCGCAATGGGTTTGATGTTGGCGTTGTTGGGCGGTGCGTCCCCCCCTCGTTGCTGCTGTTGTGAGTGGTGGAGTTGTGGGGTTGAGAGGGAGCTCTCGATGGTGACAATGTTGTTCCCCCCGCCGCTCCCATGGGGATGATCTGAAAGAAGGGGAACAGAAGGAGATCCACACCCACCACCACCACCAGCACTACCACCACCAGTTAAACTAGCTACACTTTGTCCTCCGTTGGCCATACCTGCAAATGAAGAACCAGCGTGTAGGCCAAGTCCACTCATGGAAGAGAAGAAAAAGTCAACGTCTGCTGCGTTGTCATCCGTGACGACGACTGACTGTGATAACAGAGAAATTTCACTATACATCCAAACCGAACCGACTTATGGGTGCAAACTTACGGGGTGCCTACTCGTGCCACTGAGGAGTTGACTCACGGCCGTAGAATTTCTTCTGAGTTTGCGGGGGTTGAATATGGCAGAGATCCCCGACAGTTCTGGTCTGGATAAGCGACGTCTCGGGTCATTATTCATCCTGGCTGGCTTTCTCCCTCCTACAAAAAGCGTACCAGAGTCAGTGCCAAGTTGTTGAGCTAATGCTTCCTTCTGCCGTGTGTATTTATTCGTGGGGCTCGTTTCCCTCCGCCTTCCTTCCCTTTATGCACCATTCCCATGCCTGGCAATTTACATGTGCTCGCAGGAGTTGCAAATTATTAAATTGGAAAGTTAGCACATCAAAAGCATTTCTAAAGTTTGCAGAGTTTTCTCACCCAGTCACGGAAGGTAAGTAACAAGAAATGCGAAATAATTCAACCCTCGAAAATCAGTAGTTTACCTCACGCAACAGTAAGTATTTACTGTTGCACTGCATTTGACTTTGACCAGCTCGCTGGCTGCATGCAGACACACGCTCAGCTATTACAGCTACATAGGCTGTTCCATGTGATATCCCTTTTTGAAAAGGTCAAAATAAATAAACCACGAAATTCCGTGTTGTTCAAAAGAGAAAGCCAGACTGGAGGGAATGAGCAAAGTTTTTGTTATGATTGAAGTGCAAGAACAGGAAGGATTTTGCGAGTTACATTATTCAAATCTTTCAAAATCCTGCGTTTGCACAATAGGGGGTTAGCTTTCACTTTGTGTAACTAGATCCTTGAAAAGATTTTTAAACTTTGCTATACACCATAGTTATGTGTATAGTGTAAGTTGCACAACATGTATAATTCAGTACATTCCACCTCGTGTAGCGTGGAATTTAATGAAAATAAGGGCTAACCAAAGCATATTTTAACTATACTGGCCCAAAACCTGTCTTACCTCATACTTGTGTTTAGTAAACGTCTATACAACAAAGCATGCATAGGCTTTAAGAATTTAATTAATTCATGTCGATGAAGAATGCACTGATTAACATAATAAATCCTCCATCCTTTCCATGTTTTAACCTTCGTACATATCACGTCACTCACTAATCCACACCTCACTTTGATTGTTCAGAAAGATTTAGCACCAACCACTGCTTTTCCCATGCATGTAAGGAGTTAATTATGAAAGTATTCAAATTATAAAATGCAAAAGTACTATATGTATGTAGCTACTTCGAGAATGTGGATACTTTGCGCTGAAAAAAATCCAGGTAACAGGACCAACAACGGTGACAAACTAAAAAGTCCTCATTCCCTCTGCAAGATTATATACGTGCAAGTGTCGCCCGTTGGTCAGCAGAATGACCTTGATTCATTCTAATAGGGCCGCTGGTTAATAGGGAAATTCGTTAATAGGGGCGTTCGTTAATACATGCATGAAATAGAAAAGTGACAGCCTAATAACAAACGGGACTTATTATGTGCTACACTGCTTTCACTTCTGCACACTTCGTGCTACGTGGTGAGAGGAAGTTACGGCAATAAATATCATCACCCCAACCAAGACCTTGGTCTCAGATGGCAGAGAAAACAAAGGAATGTTAATTTGCTGTTTCAGTTGCTCTGCTCATTTCACATACGTATGTACGCACACTTGCAACACCTATTTGCATCCTGACCCATTAATTCACTCCCAATTTCACCTTTATTAGTTTCATGCGGTTTTGTAAGCACTCACACGTTGAATTTCCACCGCCACAGGACTGGCCAATAATTAGTATGGTATCGTGCCGTTAGTGTATCATTCGGCGTCCCTTACCGTTCATCCTTTACATGGCACAAGTAATAACAATGGTTGTTGTAAAAGTAAACAAGAATGCAATTTGCAGATTAATGTGTTGAGCAAAAATTGATATTATTATTCTTTGCTATAGTCGTTGCGTAGTGCTTCAGTCAGTGACTTGATAGAATCTCACGGTCAGTACGCAGTGGGTCAGGGTCAACACCAGTCAATATTCAAGATTACACTACACTAAAGTTGCTGTTTTTATAAGGAATTTTCTGCGAGCTGTGACGTGATGGTCATTTGCAATATGCTCAACTCAAATTGAATGATTTGGCCAATTTGCCTATTGCATGTCTAGCCACAATTCTGCTTTATCGGATATGAGATTTCCTTCAGGATAGGCCTTCAAGATTGATTCGTCAGTTGGTCGGCTCGTTTTATTATAAAATGAGCATTTCCTAGATTTTGGCTTACTACATATTATAAAGAAGACTTTTTTGCGAGTTGACTTTTTAGCCCGAGTCAGAGCTTATGGAACCGTCATGTCCGTCCGTCCGTCTGTCTGTCTGTCTGTCTGTCCGGCACGATAGAGCCAAAACGGCTGAACCGATTGACTTGAAATTTTTACCATATGCATATTGGACAAAGTTAGGAAACGAGTTCGAAGATGGGCGAAATCGGTCCAGTGGTTGACCGGTGGGGGTCATCGGAGTGGGTGGGGTCTTATGCACCAAAATTTCAAAATTGTTGTAGAGAGCTGAAATTTGGTACAGAGGTTGCTAATGGCTCCTAATAGAAAAAAATTACTTCAGGGTGGAAAAATTTTCATCTTGAGAGACCCTAGGGGGTGACCCATACCGATTTTTCAAAATCGTCATAACAAGCTGAAATTTGGTAGAAAGGTTGCTAATGGGTCTTAATGAAAGAATATGATATGATATTGGCAAAATTTTTATCTGGAGCGACCCTATGGGGTGACCCATACTGATTTTTCAAAATCCTTAAATCGAGCTGAAATTTGATATGGAGGCTGAAAACCACTGCTGCATAGCACATACATACAGCTTAGAACTTCAGGATGCTAAAGAATCCCACTGGTCATTTGTTTGTAACTAATTCAAAAATTTGGTACCAAATAATAGAAACTAAAATAGACTTTTAACCATCCACAACACGGCAGTTGGTGATATTATGTCGGACAATTCGTAAAAAAATTAGAAGCGGGCTCTGGCTTATTAAAGGGACTATGTCCCTGACTCGGGCTATATGGAGTCTGCACTGTAGGTTTTTTTACAACACATTTAGGGAACAAAATACACCGGAGGGAGTGACATCAACCAGTAGGATAGAAAGCTTGAATGACTTTTAGGGAAAAAGACCATCCTTTCTGATATCATGTATGTCTATATGGCATATTATGTTGAGAACATAACTTACGTCTTAATTTGGCCCCAGTTCAAGAATCCAGGCCAAAACGGTTTTCTGAGGAAAGTTGACTTTCTCTTTCAGGACTGCGAGCCAACATACTTGATGATACCAGATGGAGATGGGATTTCTTGTAATCGTGATGTGAGATCTACACAATGCTCTTATACAATTTCTGCTGATATTCGTTGCAACCGAATTATAGTTTCAAGGATAGCGGGAAATGCCATTAACATTTTGATGTTGGATGAATAATATACAACTCTGGGCCTTATTTCGTAATCTATTCCTTATGCGCATACGTGTCTAAAGAAATTCTGCTTTTGACCGACAATCCATCATGTTGATATTATATATAACAATATATATATATACGTATACATATTGTTTATGAACCTAAATCCTATAGTTTGCAAACAAAAGAGCTGAATTTCTTTATGAAATACATGTTATTTTATTATGTACGCCTTTGGAATCGTCCTCAAACTTAACATTGAAACTGAAATCCAAATTCGTCCAGAAAAACACCCAGATTTTTTGGCAATGTTACAAGAGCTTTAGTATCTACTTTGGAGGTTGTTCAATGTTTTACTTCACTCTCCAGAATTTTTTTGTCTATACTTTCACTTGGAAGCATGCAATATATCCAAGCCAACTACGCTTATTCTGTATCCTGCATATGTATGACCTCCAAGATGTCAACAAATACTTACAAATTGCTTGGACGCTTGTACATTCATTTTGGCTTGGAATCAAATCAGAAATAGAATAGGAGCAACCAGATTAAAGTCGTTTGTGCACAAAATATTTTCCAAAGTGAGTGGCCCTACCTCCAGACAATTTGGAAACTTGGCAATGTCATTCATTTCGTATTCAGTATGCAAAGAAACAGATCAAGGACATTGGGTTATTGTGATGATAACCACCATGCAGCAAGCTCCTTAGCCCTCAGTGGCTGCCCGAGTGTTGAGAGAGCAAAGTATTATAAAGCCCACACCACAATAGCCTCTTCTCTAATGAAAGTGGGTCATTTTCTCCTTCCTTTCACTACTGCTCCTATCTCGGCCTTCGCTCGTTCAGAGTTCAGCTGATTTGGTGACAGACGGCGTATTTATGCAGAAGGATAAGGGGAAGAAGCACTTAAGCATGTGGATAAATGGATAAACGAAGGTACATGTTCAGCCATAGCTGGAGAAAGTGATTGACATTATTGAAATGGTGACGGAAGGCGGCAGAGAAAGGCTTCACCCACCGGTTATCCTGTCTGCTATCCATCCACCAACTTCCTGGCTGCGTATGGACGTACCTACGCACTCACTCCGAGCTGTATTGTTGTTCAAACCCTGTGAAACAAATCACATCCTGCTCGAAAGTTTTGATTTGACACAGGCGAAATACAGGAGAAAGTAGAGGATCGATCCTCCCTGTCTTTGCACAAACGAATAAGATTGATAAGCCACTTGAAGAGATAAATCACTCACTCTGTCCACCTCTCAAAATCCACTCCAAACTTAATGGTGCAAGTTTGGATAAATTGAAATACAAATTGAAATAAACCACAAATTTAGGTTCAACCAAGAGCGAGCAAACGTGCACCTGATTTTCACCCGGAATACTGCTTTCCCTGCTGGAGAGGAGAGAGCGAGGAAGTCGCCGTCGTCGTCGGCCACCGCGGGATGTGATGGGATTACTTTCTCAAAATTCTATCTATAGACCGACCAACAGCCAGAGAGACTGAGTGAATAAGAGGAGAAAGCTATAGGTGGTTGGTTTGGTGAGCAGGAGATTGAATTAGTTATACATTATAGCCCAGCCAGCCCTCTGTACAAGAGCATATACAGATATGTGCGAGAAGAAGGTGAGCTGTATGCCATCATTTCATTCCATTCGCCTCCTTGTAACTCACTTTCCCTCAACTCGATGTTCTTTTCCTGGAGGCGGAAAGAAGGTATGCATACGCGGAGGAAACCACAAGGTAAAAGGATAAGCGGCATATTTACAGATCCCTGCTTGGTATGTTCGTGTCCTTCATATGCTCATTTTCAAATCCACTCTTCTAGTCCTACCATCATAGGGAGGAGAGAAAGGTGAAGTATTGGCAGGCAGGGATATTACATATGTGCACACACACACACATACCACCCAGCTGGTCGTTACCTTTTGCAGAAAACTTGACTGTCTTCCTTTCTCCGGATGCTATTACGTGTGATGCTACATATATGGTGTGCAATAGCTGGCTGCTTGCACGCTTCGTCCGTGCTTTCCTTGCACAACAAGAACAACGAGAAGAGTGATGGGCACGAGAGGCAGAGAGTGTATTTATCATCATCTCAGTCGTAGCATTATTATGGGTAGTTATACTCACAACTACGTACATACACTTCTCTCCTATTACTGCCCCACTCATGCGTTTGGGCACACACGGCTTTCTCCTGGATCCACCACCACTTTCACCACTGCCACATATTCCCATGCCCTTCCACTCTCCAGAGATTAAATGACATTGCGATAGAATGATTTACTGAGATTTCTCGATAATTTTATGTCTATTAGATATTGTCTAATATATGATATCCCGATCAACAAAAATTATTACTTTTGCGTCAAAGTAACGCATCCATGGTGAAAATTTTTAACAAACAAAAAAAGGCGTGATTATTGCATAAATTTTGTGCTAAGTTTGGTGTGCACCGTGAGACACGCTAAATTTGCATTAAAAAACTGTAACCTATGGTTGAAAAATTATTGCACCCAAACGTGCTGAGATATTGCGTAAACATACCGCACCAATATCTCGTCAATACCCACATTACATGAGGCGTTAAAATCATGCAATTTATACGCAATGAATGGTGGGTGCGAAGAGACAGGCAACGCGCGAGAGTTTGAATCTAAGAGAAGCGTGGTATTTCCTTTTCTCTCCCACCCTCGCAGTCTCGTAAATTCCCTGTTAATTTAATTCCCTGTTAATTTATTTGTTGTCTCAATGTCGCCAAAAAAATATTACATAATTGAATTCCCCCCTGATAAATACAATTCAGTGCCTGTGGAGCTTGTTCTAAGTCACTGGGTTATCCCCGCAGAGAAAGTTTGTCTCTGGCCACCAAACTCTGGGCCAAGTATTAGAAATTTGATAAAAAAGGGCACTGCTATTCCTGATGTCAAGTGGGGAAGAGTTAGCTACGCCAGGATTATTGGGAATTACGGTAAATAGCTATTTAATTCAAATTATGAGAAGTCATTCCAATTATTTTACATTTACTAACAAATATCATTATTTTAGATGATTATGAAGTTGCGACAAAAAAACTTCAAGTAGCCGAGGACACTTCCAACTTGGAAAGTGAAACAGAACCAGAAAGCAGATTAAGGAGCAAGAAGATAATTCCCGATATTCAGCCCAGCAGCACACGAGGGGATATAACGTCTTCATCCGATGAGGAGGATAGCGACGCGAACAAAAACAGTCCTCCGTCTGGCTCACTTCTGGATAATTTGGAGCTGGGTAGGCTTATAATACTGCCACAAATATTTTATACTAATCGTTATGGTGATGCTTTTTAGACCAACCATTGAGCATTCCTGAAATAATTCCCGAAACTGAAGAGCAAAGCAATCTACAAGTAGGAAATCAAGGTGAAACTGGAGACACCTCTTTTGTTGTTGTAAATTCGCAGGAGTTAAATGATTTACGGCTGTTGATTTCAAGTTAGTACAAGCAAAATAATTTTATTAAAATTGATGTATTATGTTAACGCTTTGTAATCACGTTGCAGGGACAACGCAAAGTGTGCTAACTTTGTTGGAAAAGCAGGCTGAAGACATTAAAGACATTAAGGCTTTACTGATTAATGTGAAACAAAGGCCGGATGGTAGGAAGGCTCCCAATTTCAGTGCCATTCCAAAATTACCCCTCGACAACGAGGTAGCACTGGCGGAGTTTGAATCTTGGCTCGAGGTGGATTCAAATCGCGAATTACTGGTACGATTTAATCGAGATATTTTACATGCATAATTAAACTTTAATGTTTTTTCTTATATTTGATACTAGGTTGAATATTTGGCATTTTCAACTGCGACACAGATCGAGGCGAGCACTAGAAAAATCTTGAAAAAATTATTTACGAATGAATTTGGCAGGCGAATTAATTTTACGGGTAAAGGAAACAAGACATCGATGAAAAACCTAAAACTATTGGAAGTCGTAAAAGGTGCTAAAATATATTCTAAAATGAAGAAAATTTTCTAATTGTTGGTCTCTATTTAATGTTTAATTGGATTGCAAATTTCAGAAACCGTGCGAAACGTCTTTACAGTTGAGTCCGTTCCCGATCCCAAAAATCCCAGCGGCCGTATTCCCACCGATGATATAATTCAAACTGCAGCAATGAATTGGTTTCGTTCTTCAAAAAGTAGGTGCAACGACGACGCTCCCTCGGGAATTGCATCATAATCATGGATCGAGATGGAAAATCACCGAGAAACATTAGGCGAATAATTGCAAAACGGGTTAGAGAGAATCTCACTCGTGCAAAAAACATACCTGCTATTAGTAATAATCTTGTAAATTTAGATATGTGATTCTGTCGTTGAGGATAGCGATTCAGGTAGTAATATTAGCAATAATGATAGAAGCAGTAATGTTATCCATAATAGTGACGAGCCATTAGTTTCCGATTCACTAAGCGACAATGGTGTAGTAGAAAATAATAGGAATATTTTAGATTTAACACGGGACTTGAGGGACTGGTCGCTTCGACATAACATAACGGGAGTAGCTTTAAACGATCTTCTACGCATATTTAACTTTTATCAAGAATTTAGATTTCTTCCATTGGATAGTAGGACATTGCTTAAAAACTCAATTAAATACTCTATGAAAACTATCGGTCAGGGTCAATATGCACACTTTGATGTTATTCAAAATATAAAACGGCAAATAGATTCCAATTGTATTCTTGCTTCTGGTAGCGAAATTAAATTAAACCTTATATTTAGTTTTGATGGATTGCCCATTTCTAAGAGTAACAGTAACCAGTTTTGGCCAATTCAAGCAAAGTGTGAAGAAAGTACGTACGGCGTATTTGTCGTGGGTTTATTTTATGGCAAGACAAAACCAGAAAGTATTGACGAATACTTGATGGATTTGATAGCAGAGTTAAAAAGTTTGCGAGTTGGGATTAGTTACAATAATTTGAAAATATTTTGTAAGGTTTCAAAAATAATAGCTGATGCGCCAGCCAGGAGTTTTTTAAAGCAATGTAAAAGTCATAATGCATACAATGGATGCGAGAAATGTATAGATCCAGGTTTCTGGAAGGGACGTGTAATTTTCAGAACATTCGATAGTCCACTTAGGACAGATCAAGATTTTTATGTTCAAAAAGATAAACACCACCATGTAGGCATTTCCCCGTTTGCGGAGCTTAAAATTTTGATGATTTCTTCGGTTCCTCTTGACTACATGCACCTCATTTGCTTAGTTGTGGTTAGAAAACTATTAAGAAGTTGGGTAAAAGGTCCATTGCCATTTAAATTATCTTCTCGTGATATTTCAACTTTATCAAGTAAATTAGTATTATTTTCGCATAGTTGCCCTAAAGAATTTTGTCGTAAGCCGAGGTCAGTAAAAGAGTTAGATATGTGGAAAGCGACAGAGTTTAGAACTTTTCTTCTTTATACAGGACCCGTCGCTTTAAAAGGATTATTGTCGCCGAAAAAGTATACACATTTTTTAAATCTTTGCGTAGCAGTCACGATTCTTATAACTACCAAGGCGCAAGCAAATAATTGGAACGATTATGCACGACAGCTTTTATTGAAGTTTGTTAAAAATGTTTCCAATTTATATGAAGAAGAGTTCTTATCATATAATATGCATTCTCTTATACATATTAGTGATGACGCTTTAAAGCATGGCCCGTTAGATTCTTTTAGTGCTTTCGTACCGAGTCCCCTGTGAATTTAAATAGACACTGTATTATAAAATCGAACGGAAAGGATCATTGTTTTATATTAAAGGATGGGAAAGTAGTTGTTATAAGTAGTATAAGTAAAGATAAAAAACATATAAATTGTAGAAAATTCAAACACTCGGACAACTTGTTCACTTGTCCGTGTGAAAGTAAAATTTTAGGAATAATTAAAGTTAGCAAATTATCAAATAGCGTAACCATAATAGGTATTAATGATATTGATAAGAAATGTTGGTTACTCCCGTCGGATAAAATAGATGAAAACATTTGCATTCCCTTGTATAATGTAACAATATAATTTTTGTTATGAAATAAATGATTTTGATAAAAATTAATAATTCGTGTTATTTGACTGCAGTAATTGCATGGAGTTTAACTGCAAGTTTTGCATCAAATTATTCGTTTCTTTTGCGCAATATTCTATGCTATAAATTGCATTAATTTGACGGTTATTTCTACGCAATATTCTTGAGGCTAAATTGCATGAATATGACTGTCAATTCTATGCAATATTGACAGTTTATTTTACGTTAAATATCTAGTATCTTTTCACGGATTTTTGCCGGCCATCAGTTGCTGCAATTTAACTGTATGACTTTTGCGTAAAAGTGATAGCTTTTGTTGATCGGGATGTGCATAGTCAATTAATTGAATGGCCACATGAAATATGCATACTTTTACTACATCCCTTGACGGAATTGTAACATCAATTGATTGTTTGTAAAGTAGTTAATCCATGATAGTATAGGATTCGTAGAAGCGTAGGATTTTGCAGCAAGGGAAAGTCTACGTAATAATATAGAAAATATGACAATGTAGGTATGGACATATCAAAACTTTTTTTGGCTCATGATTTGGACCTGAAACCCGTCTAATTTTTCGAATAACAACCACCGTTCCTCGCACAACAACAATTTCAGATTCGCTCAAAATCCAGTAACGAGACGTATCTAAGAGAAAGTTTGGCAAACAGATCAATTTCACGCCATCCCAAATCTAGTAGACGAATGTTGCATGCATGAACAATGGAACCAAGAAGCATATCATTATATCCGACTCTACGTATGGAACAGAAACTTTGGATCGCGAAGAAGACGACTGCTCATATCATCCATCAAGTAATTCAATTAAAAGTTTATTCACTTTACTATTAGACTCGCATTTGCGTCACCAATTCCATTTCGACATCTTCACAAGCTGAGCAGCTCCATCCTTCATGCAAAGTTAAGTTGAAGAATAGGGGCATCAGCAGATATGAAAAATATACATTTCAAGTTTGAGGTTGGTCCAATTCTTGCTGGAAAATACATGGTCTAAGAAATGGAACAACTGCGACTCTGACATTGGATTTGATTTTGCTGATTAGACGCCAACAACGAAGGGGTGAACATTGACTTTCGACTTGCTTTCTTTTCACGGCCGTGAAAGTGGTTTACTTTGATTTGCAATGCTCTCCATTCCGAAACCATCACGCGATTTTCATATTAGACGAGTTAAAAATGCACCGCGTGCATGCACGTCCATATGTACATATACATGGAGCAACAACAATGATGTGAATTTATACTGCTGCTATATGTACTTGCAGATATATAATACGTACATATTTATGTACGTAGGTAATAACCTCCAAACTTTGAAACCTTGAAACACTGATCTGGATTTAAATGAGTTCAAGTTCGAAGAATGAAATGCGAACGGAACGCAGAAACAATCTGGACAAAAGGAAACACATTTTACGGAAATAAAGTACATTTATTTAGTTTTATAGAGTGTATGCATGTATATTCGCTCCATGCATGACATACTATCATCATTCAAATATAAGAATCCAAGTTTTGACTATTTTTGCTGTGTAAATCAGAGATAGGAATTCTAAATAAAAAGGACTATCATGTCAAAAAAAAATCAAGCAAACATACCCTACAGAGTACAATAATCTACCCAACATTCATATTTTTGCGTCGTTACTATCATAATTTATAATGTAAGCGTGCATTCGTCATATAATATGTTTGGTTCCCAATCTATGTAGGTACTGATTTAATAACATAAACAATGATAAATACCAAGAACTATTCAATAATCACCAACTCTTATGTACTATCATACTATACTGCTATCAAAATGTATAGTATAATATTCCGTGTGGTAGCCTTATTTACAGGACACAACATGCGAACGAATACATCAACGGCATCATCACACTACGTAACGTGACGAATCGATTTTTAACGAGTCCTTCGAAAAACTTGGTACAAAATTTTTTGCTAATCTATCTAACCTAATTAACATCTATTAAAGTTATTATTGACAGCTTGTTTCACTTTTGGAGTCTTCAATATTCACCTTGTACGAAAGTACTGAACCAGCTAAACCACGGGTTGAGGCTGCAGCATCGTCCATGCTTAAACACACCGATGCTGTTTCACTACTCAAGCTATGACGTTTGTTACTTGTAATAACGTCTGCCTGAATTTCCAATCTAAAAGGTGCACAAGAAAAAAATTACAAGTTATAGTTAGTTGAAGAAAAATACAAATTTTTTTAGATACAATCTTAAATCTTAAGGAAAAAAAACATACTTATTATGCGATAAAGGATGACTTGAGCCAACACTTCCTGTTAAACTTGCACCAGCGAGTGCAAGCATACTCGCGGATTGGGAATCCCGATCTGGACTAGCACTCCTCTGGTGTCCTCCAGTTGAAGAAATAACGGAGACTTCACCAATTGATGGAGCAGCTCCACGAGTTGAGCCAAATTCTAATATATTACAACATAGTAATATGTCACCATTAAATAGCTGATAATTTCTTATTTGTACATTATACATAAAGCATTCACTGTACAAACCATTGCTCCTAGTAGATTGTCGAGTAAGTCCCAAGTGATGTGTTATTATAGCGGACGGCTCAATTGATTCGCTATCCTCATCAATGTCGATTTTTACTCCAGAGGAAGACGTTTTTAGACTAAGAAATTAACAGCTGGTTAATGAAACTTGTTGAATCCTGGATAATCAGTGAAACTTACCCACAACCTCCTGAGCGACACAAAGATATTGGAACGACTCCTGCATAACGAGATAGTCTCATAAAGCTCGAAGCAATTTTTATTAAATTTAAATAGTAGCTTTAAATCATACCGTAAACATATGCTAAAAGTATGGGGACACCTAGCCCAACTGCTAATCCTGCTAAAACTGGGGATATGACAAGACTTGCTACAACTCCGCCCGTTACAGCCAAGTTTCTTCGATGACGAACAGAAGTCTTCATTTTGTTGTGAATTTTTCTACCCACCCAAACAGGAATACCTTAGGAAGTTAAACATTCTTAAGACACTGAATTTGCATATTTGAAGAATTTTTTAAAGAATTAATTAAAAAATATTTTTACCAATTATCATAGCCGGCACGGCAATTCCTGCGACTAGACCAATCCCCACCGGTGCTAGAATAATAATAATAATAATATAGCAAATAATAATAGCAACGTGCTATAAAAACTTTTAATACTTTCGTATATATTACCTCCAATTAGTGTCCCTAATTGCCACATCAATTTCTTTTTCCTTGACCAAGGTTTTTTACCCCAGAATGTGCAACCACTGGGTGACAAGTAATGAAGATCTGAAACTTGTTTCATGCATAACCAACAAAATTCCGCCCCGCACACGGCGCATGACATGTGATTACAGCTTCCATCATCCATTTTAACAATTAGGACTTGACATCTTTAATATAAGCCAAACAAAGTTGCGAAATTAGATAGATATATACATATCATAAATAAATGAGGAATATAATATAATATTACACACCGTGGACATGGTTTTATTTCCTCCCTAATTCCTGCTTGATTTTCACTGATAAGTTTGTTAAATCCTAATTAAAGAGGGGGAAAACTTAATCATAGTATTAATAAATTCTAACAGTTGCACATTGTATTTAAAACACACCTGCTGAAGATAATAACGATTCCATATTGTCTGTCGATCTCAAAGCTCTAGCAGCATCACAAGTCTGTAGGAAGTAAAAAAGTTGAATATTAGGCTTAAATATGATATTTATTCACACAACATGGATAACATTAATATAGATAATTTGTAGTTGTATTCACCAGGTTGGGGTGCCATAATTGTTTACAGTGATAGCAAAACGCAGTGTTACAACCAGGTCGTTCACAGAGTAATCTTGATAAATATAAAAATAATTTGGTATATTATGGTACTTTAGATATGAAAAAGTGTCCAAAGATATTATAATACCTTGGACAACTTGCACATCCCGAAGCAACCACAGCGAATCTATAATATACGTTCAAATATTTTATGTATTACATTGATACATATGTGCTCTCAAGTTAGTTAGAAATATGAAGACGAAAGCTTACCCGCAATCCGGGGAAGGACACCAACGTGCATCAGGTTCCATTGACATAACCCTTAATTGATAATTAAATTCAAATGGTACAAAAATACAAAATGTTGCACGTTTTCTTTATAACTACAAATAAGCTAGTTGAGTACCTTCTCAACATGAAATCTTCGTATTTCGTCATGAGATCGGGTTCAGATTTTAAAAGTGATTTTATATCTGTGGGATGCAGGTGCTTTGAGCATTGAAAACACGTAAGATTAACCCTTGATTCCTATTTATCACAATGAATAGAAACATGAATTAAGTTTTCATATCATGGGTTTCGTTATACGCTACATTATTGGTTTACATGTAGATCTTACCGTAATTTGAATTTTTAAATACGACTTCCAACATTCTGCACAACATCGATGGCTTTGACAAGAAGCAACTTCAGGAAAGGATTCAACTTCACCATAACATAACGGGCACTCGTACAATCCATTAGGAAGGAGTTGTGGTTCTACATAACAGTCGACAGTGATGACATCAGATAACTCGGAACCATCTCCGATGTAGTCTATACTAGATTCGCTGGCTGCAAGAAAAGTTGATAAGAGTAAACTATTAGTATGCTAATTAGTGTTTGTAATAATTCACGATAGCAGCAAATATGATAACCATAAAATAATAGCGATAGAATGTTAAAATGACATACTTCGTCGTGGATGCTTCATAGAAAAGGGCTCCTTTGATCTAGACGGTGTTGGCATCGGTATCGGTATTGGAATATTGGCATTGTTGGTTAGGATATTTGTAGAAGTCAGAATATTCCGCAGGGAGAATCGACTCCCTCTGGAAGTTTTCGAGCGCCCCCCTCTTCCCTCCTTCTTCTTGGTCATGATATTTGATATTCACTAGCTGTGATCCTGGTAAGGGCTGAGTCTTCTACGCCGGATAATGTTGAGGACACAATTCTTTGCAGGTGAGCTGGACATCCACGATATCTTGGCAAACAAGAGGATTTGAGAACAAATGAGGAAGACGACAGCCAATAATCCTGTGAAAATTCTGTATTACTATTTCTTTTGTCTAATCTATAGTAACTTGGTTGGTTCTCTGCTTCATAAAGGTAAACATTTGGAACACCCCACAATTGGGCTCAGCGACACGATGATAAATTTGTTCAATTTCTTCTGATAGTCTATAATTGAATTCAATAAATATTGAATCTAGGCCTAGGCTTCACCATGTAGAATATAAGTTTGAAAATAAACCACACAAGAAAACACTAAATTATGCTTTGTGCATTAAAATCAAAGATACTTACAATTAGTGTCAAGATACTACTGTTATATGCATTTTGTATGAACACTTTTCTTTAGTTTTTTTCTATTAAAATAATAGCATATTGATTGAGCAAAAGACGCCTGGTTTTGCACACCAAATACGTATATTCATAGTAGGTAGTGAATCGCTTTGATAGTGTGTAGTTGGTCAAATGATTTTGCCACTTGATCAGAAACAGAAAACACAAAAATATTCCCCAAGAAAATTATCCAGACCGAATGCAACATATTAATTACTAGTAACAGTGATTGGATGACTCATCGTCATAATGTTACAAGGACGCATAATGTCGTAGGTGATGTGTATTGTTAAAAAATTTCTATTTTTACAACCTAACCTACCCAACCACAATCAACATGTCAGCCTGTATCGTGCAACTTTAACTCTTGAAATGAAATTAATTACTTACCTTTACTACTTCTCAGGACAATGATGATGAGCAAAACTTTCTTGACATCAGTAAAACATAATGTTCCAATTAAATAATTGTTTGCGTCGCCTTTTATTAGTTGTTGGTTGCCGTATGGGGAGGAGTGAGCCAATTTCATCAACTGCTGGTCAATAAAATGATATAGGACATTATCATATTGTTATATTATGGTAGGAACAAGATACACGACCACCCACACGTATATTGTACATTATACTCGTCAAATATATAGTATTCTATGTTTAATAGGGGTTCAGATTTTCTTAAATTGATCTAATTGACTCCTGTATGCCAAGTGGAGGCCATAAGTTAATTTAACTCTAATTTAAATCCTTAACATAATTGAACTTTTATTTCGAATGTAGTTTAAATTTCTGCTTGCTGGAGTTTATTGTGATAAAGTAAATAACGTTTAAATATACGAAATAATACGAATTGTAGAATGATGAGATATTTCTTACTTTGTTGTTGCACTCTTTTCAGCAATATTGTCCATTCATTCCCAAAACTTTTATTGATTACTCAGCTACTTTGAATAATATTTGTACTATAATATCGAAAGTAAAGAAAAGAGTGTGAGTTGTGTGTGTATGTGGATAAATAAAATTGATTCTTGTTCTTTCCGAAATGGTTAAAAATATCCCAAGAACAGATGAGACCCCACAAACAACGAACCAAAAAACCAAGGATAGTTTACTTACTACTTGGTTAAGGTTAAATGTAAAATAAGTAAGTGTGATGTTATTATTAAGTGGTCGTCTCTCTTCTATTATGGGTTGGCTGCTGGTGGTGGTGGTGGTGGTGCTATAGAGCTGAGCATATAGTCGTCATCACCATCCTTTCAGCAGCGGAAATACATAGAGAGATCAACAACGAATACTATTGCATTGCAGCAGCATTGCATTCATTCCAACATTTCAGCGAATAATAATATGTATGCATGCAGGAGTTAAGTAAGTAAAAAAAAAGATTAGCACACGTTATAGAGGCGAGGAAACATTTAATGCGTCGTCTGTCCCCCATCGAGCAATATTATATACGAGCGTATAGTATAGTATGTTTATTAGCCTGACTGTACTCACTTGTTAGAGATTAGAGACCACTAAATAACCAAAATCTACTAACAACATGCATCAAAGTGACGTAGTCATTCCGATAAATGTGATGTGATGGTGGAATTGTGTGAATCTCATCAATTGGTGTCGTTCGTCAAGCCCAACCCGAGTGAAAGTTGTAGCAATGTGCCCCGCACGGCACGCTCTTTCTTCACTGGTGGTGGTGGATGCGTGCTAGCTGGTTGGTTTATTTTTGGGGTATGTAATGTAAGTAAGAATTTGGATTTTTCATGCGAAAATCGAGACGAACATGGCGAGGAAGTAGAAGAAGAAGAGTTTTGTCTCTTGCCAATAGGAATAACTTTTTGAGAGATATATGTTCCAAGGTGAAAGCAAAGTGGGCGAGAGGGGAAAGTAGGTTGTGCAAAAATCGGAGGGATTAGTATGCGAATGAAATGATGTCACTGAAATAATAAGACTGTCAGGTTTCCATTCAAATCGTTAAACAAACTTGACACATTTTTCCAGAGTACATAATTCCAGTTGTTTTTGGAGTTATGTATTCTGGTGAAAGCGAATATGAAGTGAATGGTTTTGGTCGAGTCTTTTCTCCACAATGTTTTTCCCATTTTCTTATTTTTACGTGTTGTCTATTATGTTCGTTCATAAAGTGTTGTATGATTGTATGATATGTAGATATGCATGAAAAACTACAGTATTTTATTGATTGAATTGAGCATTGTGTGCACACATTGGGCTGGATTTAATTGATAGCATCCAAGGATCCAAGGTTAAAATTTGTATTTTCATGCGGAGGAGCCAAGGAAAAGCTCTCTTCCAAGTACAAGAGGCCAGTTTTCTGCCCAACAATGGGACATACTTTGAATGGGTCTATTTTGGTCTGGCTGAACTACTTTTCTGTGTAAACTATAGACTTGCCCATCTAAATTTAGACCTTGACTGGCATCAATGGACTACTCGCGATTATTGTAATCCCAGAAGGACACATATATTAGTCTGGAGAGTGGAATAAAAATGGGTGAAGTGTGAATGGGTGAAAGTCCATATAGACTCACTTTCCTCCTCTCTCTCTATCTATCGCACCTCTCTTCACCGAGGAGGAGGCAGCAGGTAGGGTGGCAAGCACGTAGGTAGCTCTAGGTGGGTAGGTAGGTATGTAGGCAGGGAAGGAGTGGTTACCGACCTGAGACTTATCTCCACCTCAGAGCTTAACCCACAGTCAGCACACACACGCCGAGGCTATCGACCGGCCCAAGTGCCTTCGAGTTGCTGAGAAACATGACGTGGGAAACATAGAGTCCACTGCAAACAGCCTCCAAATCTTTCACCACACACACCTTCATCATCATCACCATCGCCACCACCACCACCACCATCATCATGTTCCTCGTGCTTTCTCTCCCCTCATCCTCCTCGTCGTCGTCGTGGTCGTGGTCGTCGCCGTCGTCTCCATTGCCCAGACTAGTTTGCGAATCTCAGGCATAGCCATTCCCCCTCCACACACCTCACCCCCCTCCCTCCTTTTCACCACCATCATCGTAAAATCAATGCAAATATTACAAATTCGGAGCTCCGTTACCACTCAAAATATGATAGCTTATGCTCAATGATATTCCTGGGTGAGCCGCTCAAGGTTGCATGCCTTGATTACGACTTGAGCCCCTTTGTCTATGATTATTCACGACTCGATAATATGCCTTGATCCAAAGATTTTAGAGCATTACTGGACACTTGAAATCCCTCACGTCGGTCGAAATCAGGACAGCAGCAGAGCATGTGGTTTTGAAATGTGGAATGGGATGATGCACTTGTCCCGGAGATGAGGATTTAGAGAAAACCTTCTACATAATTCCACAGTAGACCAAGGGCAAGCAACAGTTAGCAGTTTGTTTGTCGTCATCATCATCATCATGATCGTCGTGGGTATAAGGTCTTTTTGGACTTGGTGTGCATGGGAAGTGGGATGGAGAGAGCCGAGTGAAAGCAGGGACGGAGAAAGTGGGTCTTGTTCTGCTACATGCGAGATATGCCAGTAGTGCCACTCCACTTGAGAAGCATGAGCTCCTGAAAGTGTGTGGAGAGTGAGTTTTCGGTTGGTGGGCTGAATGGAGAAAGTTCGACTTTCTGTAGAGATGGATGGCGAGAGAGAGAGAGAAAGAGAGAGGGTGTGGGTTTTAGGAAATGGTGGACCGATGGAAGACCCGTGCCTGTCGTTGTCGAACCGCCGTCGAACCCGTATTACAATTCCATGTATTGCATTATCCATGGTGAAAGTATGAACAGTACGAATGCATAAGGACCTTTTTTTCCGTTCAAAGAGTATTTTCCCCGTGTAATGAGGTAGTAGATTACCTCCTGTGAGACAATTTGTCCGTGTGACGTGCCCGTTTCGCTGGTCGCGATGCATGTAGCTTTCTTCCTGCCAACTTGCGGCATGGTCGTGTGGTTCCCGTGCAGCAGGAGCAGCAATGTGTGTGGAGTGGTGCGGGGAGCATAGTTCTGGATGGGGGACAGGAGTCGTGTATTTGCTTACGGAGCTCTCTATCCGGCTATGGTGCACAGTTGGACGAGGATGAGCATGGCTGTGCTGTGTAGTTGGCATTGTAGTTGGGAAAGGAGTAAAAAAGTGAGGGTTCTTCTCCGGCGGAGAGAGAAGGTGTGTCGCTCGCAGTCGCAATGATGAAAGTGAAAGGGAAGTAGCCATGGCGTATAGCAGACCAGTAGCAGCACCACCAGCACAGGAAGTTCGACATGGTGATCACTGGGGACTGCTGCTCTGCTGGGTATGAGCCCTCTGAATGACCAGTGAACCCGACTGAGGTTGACCTCTGAGAACACACAAGGACTGATCCCCCCAATCCTTCGCCTCGCCTTTCTCTCTCTCTTACTTCGCCCCGAAGCACCCACACCCACCCGACCCAGAGAGCCCAGTGGCAAGGGTGAAAGCAGCACTAGTGATCAAGTGAGTGGGTTAGCAAGTGCGGTGAGGAGGTCTACTTTCGCCTTCACCCACCCAGTGACCAGTTTCTCTCATCAGACCAACATGCAGTGGTGACTTTGGTCATCCGAATGTGGTGCTGAGGGTGGGCATGGCTCACCATGGGCATCTCTTCACCAAAAAAACTTTCCATAAGCCCACCTACTGCCAGGTAAATGAAGTTTATCATTTCATCGCTTACATATCATAACTGGTAAGTCTTCGTAAATGAGTCAAACACTTTATACTAATTGAGAAACGGGGGTGAGTTGTCATCAACCTTCCCACACGCTGAATTCTCGCTTCAAACACTGGGCAACCTTGTTACATGAATCGCCATCGAAATGTGAAGTAGTTGTTAACTTGTTGAAAGAAAAGGGTGGTGTGTGTGGTATCGAGACTAGAGGCAACCGTTTCCCCAAGACAAGCTAATACTTATTTACATATGTACAAGCATCCAAGATGAAATGTATGACTTCATTTGTAACATTTACGAGTAGCGGCTTAATATTTAAGTAATTTAACGGTCTGTGATCTTTGGTAAATACGTTGCAACCTTAGTGTAGTTAGTTACTGGTGGCGAATATTTGCGTCAAATGACAGATATGTACGACCATTGTTAAGCTACACGTCTATATATCTGTACTTTCTCATCTGACGCAACTTGTAAAGGAATCGGAAATAATTCGTAAAAATTAGTGATTAAATGTCTCCTCTTGGGTCGTGAATGACCTTCAAGGTCAATTTCTTGCACAGCACAATACCGAAGACATTCGTCAACCACATTAAGTTGTATGTATTGAAAACAATTACAATTTGCAAGAAAAATCTACCTCATACCTTACGTTATACAAAAAATGTTACTAATCTTCGAAAAAAGTTATCATTTACTCGCTTCATATATTTCGAGATACTCATAAATATGCCAATTTCTTGTTCCAGGTCTGCACCGATATGCTATGGGGTCTAATACAGCAAGGTCACATTTGCGAAGGTATAATTCTTTCACCGCTTTCTATTATACGCTTGTACAATAAATACACTTCTCATTTAGTCAGTTAAGCTCGACTTGTGGTGTGAAAGGTTTAAATTAAATATATAGCAGCCAGTTCCAATCAAACGATGAAATGATATTCTTTCGAAATGATATTTTTCGCTGCAGTTGTTGACTATCTAGTAGTTGAGTGAAAGTTTTGCATATTTCCGAGAACCGAAATTATAATGCATAGAGAAAGCAAGGAAAGCACCATCGATGGGTTTTGCACAGCTTTCAGAGTTTTTGCCACCTATTTTGTCACCAAATGTTTAATGATATGATGGGTTTGTTTTGTATTTGCAGTTTGCAACTTCGTAGTGCATGAGCGATGTGTGCGGAACGTAACAACGCCATGTTCCACGGTGGCACTCTCACATGTGCAGGTAAGGACTGTTGGACGTTATAATAATGAATTTACGGCTAAGAAAACGAACAAACCTCTCACTATAAGGTTTTCTTTGATAATGTCAATTATACCATTTGTTCATACGCATTATCACAACTCCATCCATGCATGAGTATATAATCCAGTAGTATAATCACAATGTATGCAACTGATCGACAAGCAATTCTGATTGCAAACCTACTTTTATTTCACTTTTTTTCTAAAACGAGGATTATATTTGTGTGTGGGCTTTCACTGGCAGAACATAAAATGACTGGGATCACTTGCTCAAAGTAAACATTCGCAGCATGTCTGATCTAAATATAGAGTTAGTTGACATTTACGATTCTTCCGATTCCTCCTTTTCATGACAGAGCCCAGTAGTGGCACGTTTTGTGACTGCTTGACTGATAAATATGTACATATATGTAGGAATTCATGTCAAAATATAACACAAATATGTATGAAAGTTGGAAATGAAAATATTATGCGCTGATACGCCAGCGTATGCATGCATGAAAGAAAAGGTACATGTAAGGTATCAATAATTCTCTAATATTATAGTCCCCCATGGTCCAACATTGTTGGTCGGAGCCTGGTCACTTCAAGCGAAAGTTTTGTCAAGTTTGCCGAAAGAGACTGGATGAAACCGTAGGAATTCGATGTGAAAGTAAGCAAATCATTGATGTATTCGAGTAATATGGCTGGCAAAACAAGTAATAATTGATTGATTTCCTCATTTGTGTAGTCTGCGAGTATTTTGTTCATATGGACTGCATGGAACTGTCGGTGCCCAAGTAAGTCTAATAATAAAATCAAGTAACTGTAGTAAAACATATAAATGCAACCACTCCCAAAAAATAAGCTACTAAATCTATTGACAATTATTTACCTTAAATGCGTACGCGTGCATTTTCTTATGTTATAAATGTATAAAATAAAAGTATTTCATACTGCATCATCTCGAAATTAACGATCATTGGTTTCAATTCAAACGGCTTGGATGTGATGTCTTAGCTAAGGCTCATTAGTTTCTACATTTGGTTTTAAATATTTAACCAATTTTGTATGCATTTACAGCTGCAAAGAATGTGCCACATACTTTCCAGGTAATCATATATGCTGCATTTCAATTTTTGCAAAATAATTTAATAACTTCAACGTTTTATCTTTAGGTCGGGAGTTGTCGTCTGTACGGCATATCCACAGTACGTTAACCATTTTATTAGAAATCATACTTGACATTCTTCGTGAAAATATTCAGTTGCGTTAAACAATTTTCTTTGATTTTGCCGAGTAGCTTGGCGAGAAGGAAATCTAGCCTCAAATTCAAAATGTGTTGCTTGTAAAAAGACTTGTTGGTCATCGGAGTGTCTGACGGGCAATAGGTACGTGTTGATATAATTGAGTTATAATGGATCATCCGAGAAGTTGAGGACCAAATGGATTAAGGGTAACATTGACTAACATTTTGCGTCCATTTCTCTTTTCAGGTGTGAGTGGTGTGGATTTACGGCTCACGGGTTCTGTCTAAAACTGGTGCCAGCGGAATGTGGTTTTGGCCAATTTGAACCAATTTACCTCCCACCACACGCCGTGTCCATCCCCAGAACTGAAGTTCCGTGGTAAAAAAAAATATGTAGTACATGTGTTAAATTACAGCCAATTTAGTTGTCACGGTTTACGATTATTTGGATTATAATCGATTCCTGATTATAATCGGGTGAAAATTCTCTGGCGATTAGATTATTTTTTGGAAAAAAATAATCGTCTAAATAGACGATTATTTTGGATTATAATCGTCTTCTCAAAGGAACTTTAAAAAAATCAGCGACGGTGTCATGACTATAATTAACTTGTTTGTTTTCGTCGCTCCCAGAAAAAATAGTTAAAAAATTGATCGGCAAAAATTAAACGGGTCGCTCACAGTTCCTGATTATAATCGTAATCGATTATAATCCACATAATCGTTAACCTTGACTACCCCTAATATAATGACACGTTCAAGTATGCAAATATTAAGTAGAAGTGGAAATGAGTGTGACAGTCGTATAACGTAAATGAAAAACAAAAATGTAAAATGTAAAATATTAATCCTCAGAAGGGGCAATGCTGGTGACATCCAAAATCTTATTTTTCTTGATTGCGTAGCCCAAGTTGACGGGAAATGAGATTTTTCCCATTGTGAAATGTGGAACAACTCCTTGCAAAGTTATCGGAGAAACTCCAGCAACTCCCATTCGGACAGATTGCAGTTTCTCCTCCTCTGTTAATTTGTTGAAAGCAGACCATGGCATGGCTTCATTAATTGGGTTGAAATTTGTTCCGGTCATCTTCTTCCGAGCTTGCAATAAGCAACACATCTGCAAAAAGATGCAAATAATAATAAGTATGCATGTACATTTATTAAACATAATTTTTATTACAAAGCAAAACTATGATCTTACCAACAACTTTGCTTCCAACTTCTCCGCTTCCTCTAAGCTAGAACACTTGAAGGTTGCAATTTGTATGACCCAATAGTCACCACCTGATGCTTTCTTTGCAACGGCACTGATGTCAGCACGATGTTTATGATAATAGTTCATCCCATCACGTTCTCCTTTTCCCACGTAATATAAAATCACGGCCTGGGCATGTCCACCATTGTTTATTGCCCTACATACATCCCGGGCGGTGCAGAGTCCAGGAAAATCTTGTTTTCTTGCCAAAATGGTAATGTAAACATGGTGTTCGTGGTCGGGGTCTTGTCGCCTCCTTTCCTGAAGGTCTTTCAGACGACGGTCGACTTCAACTTTGATTTCGGCAGGGGTAACTAGAGGATTCTTCTTCTTCTTGTCCACTTTCGTCTTGGAGGATTTTTTTGAGGCCGAGCCAATGTTCAACGGCCTGACAACAATCTTTTCTTTGAGAGGGAAGTTGATTGGAGAACACTCGTCGCTCTTCAAATGTGCAATCGCCTCGCACCCTCCTTGACAGTCCTCTTGACAGCATATGAATGAGACCCCTTTCACTGCTTTCTCCAGCGACGTCTTCTGCTGTTCCTTACTGCAATATTTAAAGAACGCACCCAATTCTCGTTGCTGGTTGTAGAACTTGCACTCCTTGCCATCACGAGATTTAAATTCTTGACTAGTAAGAGCAAATTCCTGAAATTTCAAACAAAAAATTCAAATATAAGTAGATGTTGAGGCATAAAAACAAAATGACAATCAAATGTTTTACAAAAATTGAAACTCACCATCAAGGATGCCTCCAAAGCACGAGCAACACTGACTTTCTCGACATGACTTCCAACCTTAAATTCCCAAATTTTTAGGAGGACACACGTTTCTCCAGCCTTGTCAGCTTTCCCAAGTGGTGAAATATCGGGAAAACGGAGATGATGGTCATTAAGTCCAATTGTTTTAGAGTTAAAACCAATGTAAAATCGGATCCCCTCATCTCCGCTCCTGACAAACTCGAATGGTTTATGTATTTTGGGGTCAAAATTTGGGCCAAGTGACGCAGCCAAATAGACCGATGTTGGTTTGAGGTCAATTCTTCGCTGTTGACCGGCAGCAAACTCCTTCACCCATTCGAGCAGATTTTTGACCTCCACTTCACATTGTTCGTTATGTGGGTCCAACGGATCCTCCCCTCTATTCTTCAACGCTGAATTGTGATTTAAAGGATTTATAGTCTTCATTTCATTCGAAGTCCTGCTTAAACAATAAAATTACATACTTTTCCAATATTATTATTGCATAACAATTGTATATAAATACTTACATGGTTTGTTGGGGGGACACGACATGCGTCTCTTTGATATGCTTCAACAGATTGGTGCTGAAAGAAAAGACTGAACTACAATACGGGCATGTATAATTTCCCCTCTTGGACTTGTAACTGCAATTTTGAACATATTCATAAATTATTATGCATATTAATTACATTAACCACTAATCCATGAATTTTAAGTGACTTACGATTTTCCTTTGAACTTCCCCTCATGCGTATTTTCATGCCTATTCAGAGCGTATATTCTCGGAAAACCAGCGCCACAATATTTGCACCAGAATTTGTCCGGCAGTGTTGACCTTTTATTGTTGACTCTTCTATACTGTTTGACAATACGAATCCTGGAATAATTAGAAATAAAAATATTGTGTTTCTCCCAATAAACGAGGGTCAAACATAAAAATATTGAGAAACTTACGTCACGGCTTGTCCACTCCCACTTGCTGCAGTAATCACCCCAGCTGGACCTGGCGCACGAGTTGGGGGTGGACTCCGGGTCCTTTGTTGTTGACCTCTCTGATCTCGAGCCGATCTTGAAAGCCGTTTTGCTCCAGTTTTGGCAACCAGATTGTTATCAATAACTATACAATGACAATAACACACATTAATTGAAAATAACTTTAAAATGGGAGAAGAAATAATTAATTTGAGATTTATTAATTGAAAAACAACATTTACCTTCATCTCTCTCTTCTTCCGAGCTACTGCTGCTGCTGATGATGACATGAGAACGTTTTCCCAGTAATACTGGCCGCATCACTAATTCATCTTCCTCCTCCTCAGATGACACCAATTCCACTACCACTGGTGAATTGTCCATTGTTAAACTGAAAAATATATAATAATATTAATTAGACAGGTGGAGAGAATTAATTGAGCTATAAGTTAAATGTTTCAAAATTATTGCATAACCTGTACTTACCAATGATAAATTTTGAATTCTGGAGAAGAATGAGTTCGGAGGTCGTCTCTGCTTGAAGGCCACTCATCGAATGAGACACTTGTTAGTAGTGGGGTGGACGACAGTTCGGCGACTGCTTGCTTGCACCACCCAACACACATTATTATTTGCTGGATCCGAACAAGTCTCGACTCGACTTGAACGGGTAACCTGGCTCCACATCCATCATATGAGAACGTGTCGCTATATGTGTTGTTTTTAAATTGTACATGATTGATTTAATAATGAATTTCATTTTTCGACGATAAATGCTCGGTAGTTCAACCATCATTGGGGTTGCCTCCAAAACACTCACAAGGGCCAAGGACACCATGACGAGAGAACTATCTTGTCGTAAGTCTTCAATGATTGAGATTGAATGTCTGATGCGGTTTGATTTTGTATAACTGCAAGTCAAATAACAGCAAATATTGCACAATATGCTGCGTATTGAAGCATCAGTTTCGCTTAAGTTATAGTGTACCAAGCGCGCTCACAAATTTTGAGAATATTATTTATACATGTTTTCATTAAAGGATTGTTGTGTTGTTGTTGCCTTATACTTTTTTTTATTTTGCTTTATTCATTCAATATTATTTTGGTTCCGCTTTGATTAGAATGCGAGATCACACAGCAACAAAAAGGCCCATGAAAGTCGCTTCTTAGTCAATCCTTTGTTCAGTGTTAAAGGTAAGTCACAATGAATTGGCCTCTGTGTGCTGGACTGCATGATTGAAATGTTTGATTTTGCTTCCTGAATTCGAGTGCTGTTCGTGTGTAGTGTGTACACAGTATTCACATATTTTCGAACAAGGTGCGAGTAAATAGACTTACATGACGCCATGAATAACATATTGACTTGTTGATTACTTGTACAGCACGAAGTATATCGGAGGAGTTTAGTAGTGGGGACCGAGATTGTAGACCCGTTCCGAGTAGGGGGGACTCAGAGAGCGATTCCATGCAGCCCCCAGCACCACCCCCGAGCAAGCATGACAAGGCGGACAAGGACGAAGAAACACTCAAGGTTTATGATGGGAACCAAGGACTCAGACGGCGTCTATTTCGACCAGTTTCGGTCCAAAAGTCTGCCACCGTTGATCAAGTAATGACAAAAACCCTACATTTGATAATTAATTATACCGGTTTGGGAATGTCATCACCATTTTGGTGGGATGGAAAACCTCTGCTACAATATTATTTAGATTTAGAGTCGTGATGGTTGTGTGTGATGTTAATTGTCACAATTATTATTTTCATTACAGATCCTATCGGCAGGCTTACGTGCATTTCACATAACGAAACCCACCGAGAATTACTATCTCACTGATGCATATGACGAAGTTGGATCAAGAGTTGCCGATCCCAATCCTATAGCCAGTCTGAAACGTCGAGAGGGCAAACGTCCAGCAATTTTCTTGAGATTCAGGTTGGTTGATACAGTTTATTAGAGATACAACACTGCGCAACTTTCTCAAGACAAGAAAACTCGTAATAAAAATCTAATATTTGTCATACATGTTTTCTTTAGGGAAGAGGAAAAAACTACTGGAGAAATCCAAGTGTACTCTGGTCGACTGAAAACTGCCCAAAGTATTGCAACGATCGAAGTTTCGGACTCATCCACCGTGTCGGATGTAGTTGGTGCTGCATTAGATCAATTTGGACTTGACCCTCAAACAAAACTAGCTTACAGAATGCTTAAAGTTGTGGTGGAGAAAGGTAATGAGACCCTACATTTGCGAGTACTACTCGTCATAGTGGTTTGCTCAGTGCACGTGCTCACGCTTTTTCCTATCATTTTAGGAACTGTCACTGAACGAGTTTTAGAAGCAGATGAAAAACCGTGGCTGTTATTAAAAGAACATGCTCGAGATTCTCTCCGACAAATGGAGCAAATTCGATTCCACATGCAGAGGTATAAACATTATATGTCACGACCCACTCAAAACAACCCAAACACAAATACTTTCTATTTAAGAAGGGATGGGCATAGTTGATGAAAACAATTGTTTTTTATATTAATTTTAGCTCTGAAGACCCGCATGGTAAGGGATATCTCATTTATTAATACTAATCCTTATTATAAAGTAGTCGTAACGTAATATAACACATCTTGGTTCTGGAACCAATAATGCCCATGTTTTCATTTATCCTGAACCACCATTGATTTGTTTCTAGGATCCACAGTCGCACTTTATGTTGGAAATCTAACTCCTAATCTCAATCAACGCCAGTACGAAAATGTTCTACTCGAGTACATAGGTCGGGATAACAAGTATAGTTCTATAGGCCCTATTTATTATGAGTACGGAAGTTTAGTTATAACCTACGAGGACAGTCACAAAGCAGTGCAGGCGTTCTATACGTTGAGAGAATCCATGCATGAAGAAAAAAATTTACTTGTGATGATGTTGCCAGCGTTAGCTCCGCATATGATTCCTCAAGGTAAATGAAAAGAGTAAATTTCGATAAGTTGTCATCTATTCGCCTAAAATTTCACCTTTTTTGTCTCAAGGGGTCACACCCCTCCTCGTGTTTGTGAATGTCAAATCTGGAGGATGCCAAGGTATGTTGTTCCTCTAAACTCGTCATGTGGAGAATAATGAACCGCTTCAAAAAATTATTCCTGATTGATATTTTACTAATTTTTCTTAGGACAAGAGTTGATTGGGTCATTTCGAAAATTGCTAAATCCGTATCAAGTCTTTGACCTTGACAATGGTGGTCCTCTTCCCGGGCTTTACGTGTTCCGACACATTGCAAATTATCGTATTCTCGTATGCGGAGGAGACGGCACAATCGGTTGGGTGCTACAGTGTTTAGACAATGTGGGACAAGACTCACAATGCGAGGTACGTGATTTACAGATCTTTAAGGGGACGGTGTACTTGTGAAGTAGGTCAGGCGTTCTTTAAGCTTAATAAGCTTTATGAATACATATGGACAATTAATTTCATAAAAGAATAAGCAGCATAATATCTAAACTGATAACAATATTATTTATCTATAAATTAATCATTGTCACTTGTTGCATACAAAGAAAGTCGTAATATTAATAAAAGTACAACCAGTCATCAGAAAAACCGTTCCATTATCTAAAATCATGAACTAAAATCAGAATTTTAATTTTGTTGCTGTTATAGTCTCCCCCTTGTGCCATAGTCCCCTTGGGTACTGGGAACGACTTGGCCAGAGTCCTTCGCTGGGGCCCAGGATACACAGGAGGTGAAACAAGTAAGAGACCAATCACAGTACGGTCATTGGGAAAAAATATAGAATAAGTTGATGGAAAAATAAAGCAGCAAAATTAGTTTTTAGCCAGTGCAGAACTAATCCTAAATCACGAATACACTTTCAAACGTCGTACAATAAGCCAGAGATTCATTGGTGAAAGCTGACGGTTTTGTTGATATTTAACAGGAGAGGACGCTCAGACATTACTTAAAGATGTGATTGACGCTGAAGAGATTAGACTGGATAGATGGACTGTCGTCTTCCATCCAGGTATGGCATACATCATAATTAAGCATGACATAATTAGGATTAGGACATACTTCTAGCTCATGCGGATATATAATTCAACATTAATGCATTTAATGTCTTATTTACTATCAGATGAGAAGGCAGAGGACAAAATGCCCGTCAACCAAGCAAGTAAGTGTACACATTCGCAAAAATAACTTATCTCAGTAAAGTGATGGTGATAAGAAATTGCATAGAGCTTCTATTTTCAGTGCAAATTGGTGCAAGCGCGCAAAGTGAAGATAACACAGCCATTTATGTGATGAACAACTACTTTGGAATAGGTAAGATTAAAGTATTAAATGATATTATTAATAAATAATATCAACAATATCTCAACAATAATAGGAATCGATGCTGACCTGTGTTTGGATTTTCATAATGCAAGGTAGAAAATACAATCTTGATGAAAAGACTTGAGATTGTCGTAAATTGCATCGTTGAGCATTGTTTGGAATTTCAGAGAAGAGAACCCAAATAAATTTAACTCTCGACTTCATAACAAAGGTGTATATGTGAAGATGGGATTAAAGAAGATGGTTTCAAGAAAAATGTGCAAAGACCTTCATAGAGAAATTCGTCTTGAAGTTGATGGAAAGCACATTGAGCTCCCTCCTGTAGAAGGAATAATAATTTTAAATATTTTAAGGTATGCATTTCACTTTCTCATCCATTCATAATGCTCACCGAATAAACAAATTTACATGGATTTGTTTTTGTTAAAACTATGACTAGTTGGGGGTCAGGGGCAAATCCATGGTAAGTATGCAGGAGTTTAGATAGATAATTCGTCGTGCACTATGATTAATATCAATTAATTTTATTCCAGGGGACCTGAAAAAGAAGACCAATTTTCCAAGCCAAATCACTGGGACGGGATGTTGGAGGTAGTTGGCGTTACAGGTAATTACGTTACTGCTCATTTTTATCGTCCATCCATGTGCGCTTTCGTGCTAACGTACATACTTGTGTGCATATGTAGAATGAATATAGTACATATTATGTTTATGTATATTCCTTACCTCTTCCAATTCCTGTCAGATTGTGGTTTACCTTGTCGTGGTTTTAGTTTTTTACAAATCTACTCAAAAAATGAAAGTCCAAGTGATAAAGATGTGTGGCATGGTGAAAATGAAACTCCACTTTTACTCAATATCACAATGATATCTCATTATTCCTATTACCTATTCGGGTGTGTATCACATGCACTCGCTGTCTTATGTTGCCTCATCTAATCAAAAATAGACAAATGACTCCACAGGGTGATTAAACATTGTTAAATATTTCATGTTTGTATCATAGGCGTGGTTCATCTTGGACAAATTCAGTCTGGGCTTCGTTCTGCTATGAGAATTGCACAAGGTATTTGACTATGCTCACCGGACTATCACAGATCTACCTGTCTTAATCGTTTTTATTCCCCTTTTCGTATAGGTGGACATATCAAAATTCGGTGAGCTAAGTTTATGATATTCTTGTATCAACAATAAAATAATGCATCTCGACTCATAAGTTGAGGCTGCTTCAGTTTTGGTCTCTTTCTCAGGAATTTTCGTACATTATGTGAATTTTATTGTTATTGTAGACTCAACTCTGACATGCCGGTTCAGGTCGACGGCGAGCCGTGGATCCAAACACCGGGGGATGTTGTCATTCTAAAATCTGCTCTAAAGGTAAGCGTAATTTTGCATCTCCTACACGCATAGCAATCTCATAAGTCTCGTGATGATTAAGTAATTCAAATTTCCACTTTCTTTCAGGCTACAATGTTAAAGAAAACGAAAATGAAGCGACGAAATACTGAAGCCATAATGTCACCGATGACCGTCACATGTCCATCGCCCACACCCCCGTCCGCGTCCTCCCACCATCAGCTCCCCATCGATGATTGACTGCTCTTCCTCCTCCTTCATCAGCGTTACATTATCGTGTCGTTCGACTACTCCTGGACTCTTCTTCTTGTAATTATTAATACGATTATTACTACAATGCTCAGCATCATGGGCAGAAATGCATACCTTGTTCCAAAGCCACAACATCCTGCATATTTCCCCCTTCACCTTTGTGACTACTACTTCAAAGACTACGACCAAGGAGACGACAGGTATGACGGAGGTCAACCAACAACGTTTTTCCATGACATGTTCACTTGGCTCGTTCAGTTGAGATTCAGATTACAAGTTTGTATGCATGATTTTATAAGTCAACTGTCACACACGGTCCTGTATGCACAATTTTATGCAGTCATCCATCAGTTCCATTCGTGCTATTACTATACTATATACAACGTCGTCGTCATATTCCACGTTAATTTTATTACCCAAATTGATCCTTGACTAGTTACATGCATATTTCTTTTCTAGCATTACAATTTATGATGAGTTACAAGACTTTTTCTCAGCCAGAGTTACAACCATGTATATATGTAAACGAGTACTGGATTTCATTTGCTTTCACTATTGCTATGCGTGGTCAAAATATATTTCCTATACATTTGTGCAATTCGTTCAGTGATATAGAGTACATTTTCAATACCAATTTCACAAAGGTGCAAACGTAGTCAATACACATTATATTTACACTACGCAAATATACATTACACACACACCAACACAAACACACAAAAAACACAGTCGAGCCATTCCACTCAATACTTAATAATAATGTAGACAAAGAGATGATAGCTTTTACATGGGCGATTGAACGGGAAAAGAGATGGGAAGAAGGCGTTGGAGGAGTTTTCCTCGAGTCACGGCAACTACAGGCGTCGTCCACGAGTGTCTTCAACGCTTCTTGGTGGGCAGGAAGTGGAGATGCTTTTCTGAGAGGACGAGTAGTAGTTGTTGTAAAGAAGGGAATGAAGGCAAAACGTGTGTAAAATAATAATCTCTTACTCATTGAAACGCTTCACTCACATTATTGGAGGAAAGTAAACTGATAACAAGAAAATGTATTTTTGATCATGTTTTGTGTTCTTATTTCATAAAAAAAGAGGAAAGAATTGAGAATAGCTGAAACAAAACAATGATTTGAAGTTGCCAAAATTTTTCTCTGAAATTTTCGTGTATTCGTGAAGAGCGAGATGATATATACATATAGAAATATATACATGGATGAAAGAGCAGCAAAAACTGTGAGTTAGGTGATAAATGGATGGACGGATGTGAGATACATATTTAATACATGTTATGTTGGTTATCTTCACACGTATAGTTTCTTTTGTGCCATAATCTGCAATGATACACTGGGGGAGAAAACAAAGGAGAAAATTAGTGAGAGCACTTGGTTCACTCAGTATTAAAAATCGACGCAAACATTTCTTACCTATTATCCTCCTCATGCATACTACTTTGAGGCATCTGCTGAGTTGTGCCGTCTTTTCAAAATTAATTAAAACCAAGTTAAGCCCACAACATCAATTATTAAATTTCCAAACTACAGTTGGAGTGCATTATGAAGAAAATTATTAAGTAAAATATATCGCTCTTTCGATTAGATTTTGTTCCATTCCTGAAACTTCTTTTGGTTTTCCTCGTCTCACTACTAATGTTGCTGTTGATGTTGTTGTTACCACTACAAATTACTACTATATGACATTGTCCAAATAGGAAAAGGTTTCGACTTTGATATATGTCGAGCAGAAAAATTCACTTAAGCCAGTCATGACATAACCAGTGAAAGAAATCACAAAACTTGTATGCACCACCCAGTTCTTAAAGACTAACTTATTGGACAAAAATGAAACATTTCCACAACACATACAGCCAACTAACCAACCGTTTTAATACATCAAAGGTACACAATTTGAGAAATCACATACGAACCTGCTGAACCATAGCCATCAATTAACGGTTTTATTACAGAGGTTCTAAATTATGATAAGTTTTTGCAGGACGACATTGTTAACTAATTACTTCCCATGTTCCCCCCACCAGTTAAACCTCACGTGAAATAGTTCTATTTATTATTACCACTACTACTACTACTAAATACTACTAACGACTTTACTACCATTTAAACAAGAAGTCATACCATATTGTTCAATGTGTGTTTGTTCTTGATTCTCGGTTCATGTCCGGAGACAAGTAAAATTCCTCGTGAATTTTCTTTAGTGCAGCAGTTTAATTGCTGGAAACCAAACCAATCCTAACCTGCAATTGTAATCTAACTATAATGTAATGATGGTGATTATGTATATTACGCAGTTGATAAAGTTTGCCATGTTTTTTTATTAATGCTAAAAATAGGTACATACATACATACATATTATTAAGTACTCGGTGTATGCAGTTACATTGTTAGAACTATCGGCACAAGCGACTGTTTCTAAACGGGTCTTGTCGGTAATGTATTAATTGTGTTGGTTTCAATTGTTACACACATCATAATATTATCTTATGCAGTCAGCCACTCATCATCGTAATAAGTTAGCCGTGATTCCTTTACCAAAGTCCAAATGAACACTTGTATTATTTATATGAAAACGAGTCATTTGTTAAAAATTCTCAGGACATTGTGACGACATATTGTAAGTAGGTAGGGGTTTCACACTAGAAGCCTTTCAAACTTGCCAAGTCAATCATTTAATCAATTCTACTCTCATATAGTTTTAAGCGTATTTTATAATGACAAGAGGAATTATTATTATATTTATTTTGGAATTCTTTAGAAAGTGTATTTAGCTATAACTGCAATTTTAACTAAGTTTGTACATTTAAAAGAGTATTTATTCTTGAGTTATTTACTATTAATTACTTTCTCACCGTGTGTGACCACACTTTTATGCATTTACATACGTACTTTTGTTTATTGTAAAACGGCAGATGAAAATGTTCCATTAAGCTGATGAAAGCCATGCCTTTTACGCAAGGAGAAGAAGATGCTTACATATTTACATATATTGTTATATACGCTTTTACAAACCTGAATTGATTTTTGTAACTTTTTGTGTTATTGCACCAAAGACCGTGTATTATTACATATTGTTACGTATTGCAAATACTTAGATCATAATAATTTACTATTATTCCTACATGTAAGTAATGTCAATATTATGTATTACCACATCAAAGCTTGTAGAATTTTTCATGTTCTATAATAACCTGACAAAACGATGCACAGAATTTTAGTCATTTATTAACATATATTATTAAGTAACATAGGCGTCCTTATATATATATACATACATTAACTACTATGTATACATAGAGCGAGAATATGAAATCCTGAAGTATTGCTGTAGTTGCTAGAACTCATACACATATTATTATATTATTGTATATCAAACAAGTCTGTGGCTCTGAGAGTACATAAACCAACGCATAAAATTCACAGAGGAGAATCAAAAATGAATTTGGAATCATATGGTCTAACTGCATTTCAAGGTGGTCACAAGGGGTTCAGTAATTATAAAATGTGTCTCGTATTAAAGTTCATTAAAAAACGGTGGTCTAGCAGACAGCCCATGTATTTATACATTGGTGGTGTTACACACACGCACACACAACACACAGACTATCCAACATATTTCGTCCCATGATAACAAAACCGATGGGCGTTTATTTCGAAATCCCTGTCGTGCCACTAAATTGGGACGAGAACTTATTGAACTTGGATACTTGCATCCCATTGTGCTTCACCTTTATCCACTGAGAGAAAGTAAAGAAAGGGCTCGGTTACTTTTTCTCACAGAGAGTCTCGTTTCACATACACTAAGCTGGGGACTTTTCCATTTATGCATGAGAAGCTCATTCTCATCTCAAAATCTTCATGAAAGTCGAAAGCAAAAAAAAAATGAAACACTGACTGGAAAAATCATGAGATAGTAAAGTGCACGATCATTACCAACGTGGTTATCGTTCGTTGCCATAAACGCCCCCCACTTCTTACCATGCCTTTCCACGTCTCAGAGAGTGAAAGTAACTTTTACTTCCTCTTGCCATAGGTGGGAAATGCAGTTGGGTCTATCTTGTCAATTAATCAATTGATTATTAAATTGTTATTATTATTGTTATTATTACTCCTCGTTGTAAGCTACCAATTAATATAGTTGATTAATTATTACGATACAGATTATATAATAAATGTAACAATATTAATAATTCAAATAAAAAATACATAACTCTGATAAAACCTTTATTTCAGTGACACGAAATTTGATGAGCGAAATCAAGGGGGAAAAGAACAACATATTCGTTTTGTTCGTCTATCATATATAATACTTCATAATTCATATGAATAGGATAATTTATGCCACCTTGATCTAGTGCTAAGCTCATTTCTCCCCACATCCCCTAAAATCTGCACCGAGGCGTAACATACGGGGTGACACCATGCACTTGCGGAAATTGTCGGAGAACCGACGAACCAATATTAATATCCTGATGACATTAACAATGAGCCAATAAATAAACCATACGCATAAATCGACGCATCTCTTGGGTACCTTTCACCCGTCTCATTCTGCCTCCACAACGCAGCTGCGGTGTGGAGGCTGAATGAGACTCTGTGCAGTGCCCAGAGTTGGATTTAGTGGCAATTTTGTGCTCACTTTTCTCTCCCTGTCGTTCTGCAATTTTCATATTTTTGTTTGTGTAAAATTCACAAGTATTTATTACTTCAATTCAAAATATTAAGTGTGAACTGTTGCATAAAAGTAAAAAAAAAATTATTGAAAAGTGTCCGATTGATATTCCTGATCTAGTGATCATTACATTTTGAACACCTCATTAATTTTCCTGGTTGCTAATAATTTGTTCAGTGACAAAGATTTAAGTTTTTTTAGTACAGTATTTGGACAAAATGTCTACAGTCCCTGCAATTCCTGTTGCACCGGTTGCAAAACCAAAGAAACATTTTATTGGGACTCCAGCTCCGTCTGGTTATGTTGCCGGTGTTGGTCGTGGGTACTTACAAACTATGAGTTTTCTATGAGTTTAATTGGGTGAGTAGTATTTAGTAATAATTTGCTATTATTTCAGAGCTACTGGGTTCACAACACGGTCTGATATTGGTCCTGCCCGAGATGCAACGGATGTGTCAGATGACAGACATGCTCCTCCAAATAAACGAAGCAAAAAAAAGGACGAAGAAGAAGAGGAGGAGGAAGATCTTAATGACTCAAATTACGACGAGGTAAATGGGTGCATGTACTAGTTATAAAAAAGATGTAATAGTAATACTGGTATGACATGTGCGTGTTTTTGAATCTACATAGTTCTCAGGGTACGGAGGATCTTTGTTTAATAAAGATCCATACGATAAGGATGACGAAGAAGCGGATGAAATTTACCATCAAATAGATGTGCGTATGGATGAAAAGAGGAAAGATTATCGTGAAATAAAATTGAAAGGTATGTTAATGTAGAAGTTATACATACAGGTTATATGTATAACATGTATTGGGTGACACTGACTGAAACACTGCTAAGACGCGACTCTTTGTTTTCTGTAGCACAATTGGAAAAGTATCGACAAGAGCGTCCAAAAATTCAACAGCAATTTAGTGACTTGCGAAGGGCTCTGTCTTCTGTGTCCGAGGATGAGTGGCTGAGTATTCCGGAAGTTGGTGATGCAAGGTTAGGATAATAATGCAATGATCGCTTTTTAATTATTTTTCATGCATCATCTTGAATTTGGTAATGAGTTTAACCGGTCTTTAATTTAATTTTTAGAAACAAGAAGCAAAGGAATCCCAAATCAGAAAAGTGAGCACATAAGCAGATATTACTATTATGTTACTTTATGATAAAGTCTTTATCGAACTCTAAACTTCTCAATTAAACTTATCTATTTCAGGTTTACGCCATTGCCAGATTCTGTACTTGCACGAAATCTTGGAGGTGAATCAGTTACGACTATCGATCCATCGTCTGGAATGGCCTCTGCATTTCCTGGAGGCCTAACTCCGTCAGGCGATTTAGATTTGAGAAAAATTGGACAAGCGCGTAACACCCTCATGAGTGTTAAGTTGAATCAAGTTTCAGACTCTGTGTCAGGCCAAACTGTTGTGGACCCCAAAGGATATCTAACAGACTTGCAACAATTTGGGGCAGGGACATATGGAGGCGATATCAAGTTTGTGGCATTACCTAATTTATAATACATAATATATTTTTATGTGTCATACAATTCTTGTTTATTTATGTAAATAATTTTCTATCTTATCAGTGACATAAAAAAGGCACGGTTATTGCTAAAGTCAGTCCGAGAAACAAATCCCAATCATCCAGGTAATTGTGAACAGCTTTTACACATCTTGATACGAGATATGCACTATGTAAGCTTGACAATGTTATCTTTATCTAGGAGCATGGGTTGCATCTGCCAGATTGGAAGAAGTAACTGGAAAGGTCCAGACAGCTCGAAATTTAATTATGAAAGGCTGTGAAGTAAATCCAAACTCTGAAGATCTCTGGCTTGAAGCTGCCCGTCTTCAGCCTCCGGATTTGGCTAAAGCAATTATAGCCCAGGCCGTTCGACACATTCCAACTTCAGGTTCGGTACAATTTTTAATTCTCTACAATCTAAATTAATGTATATATTTTATTTTATAATAATTAAGAGCTAGTGTATAAAAGACTCGATTAACCATTTATCCATTTCCTCCTATACGTATCTCTTGTGCAACAAGCTCTCAACCATGCACATTGGAATATCTATGATTTATCTTTATGTCGTGTATTTCAGTTCGCGTATGGGCAAAGGCAGCAGATTTGGAATTAGAAACAAAAGCAAAGAAAAAAGGTGAGGATTGTTATTTGTTTTTATATAAATTAAAATTAATTGAACTTGGTAATAATTTTGATTAAATTTTAGTTTTCAGGAAAGCTCTTGAGCACATTCCAAATAGTGTTAGGCTCTGGAAGTCGGCAATCGAATTGGAGGAACCGGATAACGCAAAAATTTTATTAGGAAGAGCTGTTGAATGTTGTCCCGCCTCAGTCGAACTTTGGCTGGCTTTGGCGAGGTTAGTAATAGCGCATACCTCATAAAACAAATCTGATTAATCCAAAACATATTCTTATTCCAGACTGGAGAGTTATGAAAATGCCAGAAAAGTGCTTAATAAAGCTCGACAGAATATTCCTACGGACAGAGGTATCTGGATCACAGCTGCTAAATTAGAAGAAGGTGATAAATTTTAGTATACAAACGGTGCAAATTTTACAATAATTAGCAATGCCTACAGAAATGGTCTCTAATAATTTGTTCCTGCTTATAACGCGTTATACATATACACATTAAAATGATGGAAGCATTATATATTTTTCGTTTGAATTGCAGCTCAAGGAAATCATCAAATGGTTGATAAAATTATTGAACGAGCCATCAGCTCTTTGTCATCCAACGGAGTAGAATTAAATCGTGACCAATGGCTAACGGATGCCATCGAATGTGACAAAGCACAGTCTTACATGACTTGTCGAGCAATTATAAAGTGTATGATTGGTCACGGTTTAGAAGACGAAGAAAGGAAAGAGTTGTGGTTGGAAGACGCTGAAAATTGTTCTCAAAAGGTGTGTAAACAAACAAAAAATTGTTTAAATTGCATTGCTGCATCTGTACATGGATAAATTCAACTATAATCATTAATTAATTAACTTCAGGGAGCTATTGAGTGTGCAAGAGCAATTTACACCCATGCATTGAGCGTATTCCCAACAAAGAAAAACATTTGGAAGCAGGCTGCTTCTTTTGAAAAACAGCATGGGGATCGCGAAAGTTTGGAGACCTTGCTCCAAAAAGCAGTTAGTCATTGCCCTCAATCCGAAGTCCTTTGGCTCATGGGTGCAAAGTCCAAGTGGCTAGCTGTAAGTTAATAATTAATATCTGTTTTTTGCTTAGTATAACTTGCTGCATTTTCTTGATCTTCACACAACCGGTCAATTCAAATGTCAGTTTTTATTCAATAATAATTACAGGGCGACGTGCCAGCGGCTCGATCAATCTTAGCCATTGCTTTCCAAGCGAATCCTAATTCGGAAGAAATTTGGTTAGCTGCTGTAAAACTGGAATCTGAAAACAACGAATACGTACGGTCCAGGAAATTGTTGGCAAAAGCCCGTGCATCTGCTCCAACACCAAGGTTTTTACTTATGACATGAATATTAATTGTTCTGGTATTTTTAAAATAAAATAAATAACTGTCAAACCTTTACAGAGTTTGGGTCAAGTCGGTAAAGTTGGAATGGTGCCTGGATTGCATATCAACTGCTCTGGATTTACTTGACGAAGGATTAAAAGCATTTCCAGATTGTGCAAAGCTATGGATGATGAAAGGACAAATTTTAGAGGAGGGAAAAAAGTTGGATGAAGCCAGAGATACTTATCTGGCTGGTACTAAAAAGTGTGGAGATTCGATACCTCTATGGATCCTTATGTCAAGGATTGAGGAAAGGCGTGGATTATTAACAAAAGCTCGCTCAACTTTGGACAAAGCCAGATTGAAAAATCCAAAAAATGATAAACTTTGGCTCGAATCCATTCGAATAGAGATTCGTGCAGGATTAAAAGACATTGCAGAGCCAATGCTTGCAAAAGGTAAATCAAATTATTTATGTTACTCTGCCATGTATAATACAAATATCAGTCATATAATATGTTTGTAATATAATGAATTAACTTCAGCATTGCAAGAGTGTCCTACGTCTGGTCCCCTGTGGGCTGAAGCAATATTTGTGGAAGGCAAGGCTCAAAGGAAAACTAAGAGCGTGGACGCACTCAAGAAATGTGAACACGATCCACACGTACTTCTTGCAGTCTCTAAATTATTTTGGAGCGAGAGAAAACTGAACAAGTGCAGAGAGTGGTTTAACCGTGCGTTGAAAATAGAACCTGATTTGGGGGATACTTGGGCCTATTTTTACAAGTTTGAACTACTTCATGGGACTGAGGTAATGTTGCATTCCATATACATAATTAACTTACTATGTAGAATTGTAGAAACATATAGAGACAATCGCGTATGTACACTTATCCCCTTCCGATACTGCTACGATTTTCACTGGTCCCCTTTTCTGATACTACCACACTTCTCATTCACTTGTCTCCATTTGAGTCTTCAACGACAATATTTATCCCATGTATGTAGTAACTATGTGTAATCACGTATTGTTTATATGTACATCCAAACAGCAAACACAATCTGAAGTGGTTAAACGATGCTTACTTGCTGAGCCACATTATGGAGAAAACTGGTGTGCGATAAACAAGGACATAAAGAATTGGAAAAGGAAAACAGATGAAATATTGACTATGGTGGCAAATTCGTTACCGATACCTACTTAACTCTATGCATGTATTGTAATATTCATGTAATGTTCTCACTTTTCTTGTACTTTTGTAGTCCATCATTTATTGTTGACTACCGACTTTTTTCGGATTAAAAAAAATATTACCTTGATTAATGTTATGTTTGAAATATAATCTTCAACACAATAAAATAAAATTGTATAAGTTGCCGTTTTAAGCGTCTTGTTCTGATTTATTACATTGGGAAATATTTTTTCCTAGGGACATAGATGGGAGGAGGATCTATAATTGTCTAAATGATCTCTGTTGTGTTCGGACAATAAATATCCGCAAACTATATTATATATGCAGCCAATAATAGTCCGACACTTTTGGACTTGAAATTCATAAAATGATGCAAAGGTTCAAGTCTAAATCTGATGTACTAGCAGATGTTATTTCACTTTCATCTCAATTATAAATGTTTTCAACTTGTCATTTTGTAATTTGACCAGCGTTTACATAGTTTTACTATCTGAGGTTGTTTTTAAAATTTACAGGATCATTGCTGCTGGATTGGATAAGAAGGATTTGAAGTTGAGTAGCCACTGTGCTCCCACAGCTCCGTCCACCTAAAATTAAATAATAATAATTATTAAACATGTTTCCCTCTCAAGTTTAATAATAACTATGCAATATTCTCTCACCGTCCTGTGATCGCAACTTAGTGTAACATACATTACATTGACAACCTTGAACCTGTTGACGCGAAATCAACAAACATAAACCGTCAAAATCGAAATGTAACTAAAGGGTGAAACCCATCCGTCGTTCCCGACCATTTTTTTTTTTTACAAATTCCACTTTCCAACCAAGAAGGGGTGCGATCAAGGTAAAACTTGCCTTATCACTTGTGGAAACTATCATGAACAAAATATTAAAAAATAAAAAATGAACTCCCAAATTTCATGACCACCCTCGAGGAGGTATACTCTGCAACGCACATTTTCGAACTTAACTCCTTCCCAAAAATTAGAAGCACATAAGCGAAGACCGCATGTCGAAATTAAAATCTGTTCGCAAGTTATCTTGGATATGGACAGACGAACGGAAGGCATTCCCATAATAAGGTTTCACCCTTTAATAATGTATTAATACCAGTAACATATATATACATACCACGATGTTGGTATTTTTTAATACCAACATCGTGGTTCCGCAAGGCCATAGACTTTGGTATTTTACCCTTTTTCATTATCAGCAGGGACGACTCTCTTTGAAGTTCCACCCACGGCCAAAATGCAGGACTGAGGTGGATTTAGAATGGCAGAAAAGTTATAAACTCCATACATTCCTAAATTCGATACGGTGATTGTTCCTCCCTAAAAAAGATTGAACATGGTTGTATTTAGTAAGTTACAAGATTTAACATACATACAATTGCAACATTAACGGTATTATTTAGTTTATTATTAAATTAATAAATTGTCTGTACTTGAAATTCTTGAGGTTGGAGCTTTCCAGCTCTTGCTTTCCCCGCAAGTTCTTTGACTTCTTGATTAATTTCGAGGACACCCTTAGCATCGGCCGAAAAGACGATTGGAGTTATTAATCCATTCTCTGTGCTGACAGCTAAAATGTAACAGTCGGTAGAATGGTATTAATATACATATTTATTACACGGGTATTCATGAAAGAAAATTTTGTCATTGGCGACAAGACAACTTACCCACACTAACATCAACAGAGCTGTACCTAAATTAATACAATATAGCACAGATTTGATTATTTTAATCATTGCTCGTTTTCTGTCAAATATGGTTGTAAGCGTGTGCATATTACTGTCGAATCACGGTGTCCATCCATGCAGAATTTGCTTCTGGAACTTTGAGGCACGCCATTGCTGTTGCTTTAATAATAAAATCATTCACGGACAATTTAACTTTTTGCTTATCCAGCGTCTTATTAAACTGTTCACGCAATGCCAGCAGCTGGTCAACCTCAACTTCGGCCGTCAAATAGTAATGAGGAATTGTCTGTTAAAGTTAAACGATAAAATAAATGGCATGATTGACAGGTTGCTGATGATTCCACATTATGATTCCACATTACGTATAATGCGAACATATAATATAAATATAATACCATAATATCACTTCACACCTGTTTAGATTGCAACAACCTCTTAGCAATGACTCCTCTAACTCCGGAAACAGGGATGTCGATAAACGGAGCTCCACCGGCAACCGGTCGAGCTACTCCAGCGCTTGGTGCCTTGGACAAATCTTTCGACGTGATAGAACCAGCAAATCCTGAACCTTGCCCAAGAGACTGCACAGAAGATCAATTATCATAATTAGTTACACATAGTCTCAAAAATTTAGGAAAACATTAATGTATATATATGTATACCGCGACATCAATTCCTTTCTCTCCAGCCAACGATCTTGCCAGAGGCGACGCAAACCTTCGACCTCCTACAGGAGCGGCTGGGGTGGCAGAAACAATGGTTGGTGAAGGTGTTGGTGCTGATACTGTGGGAGGGGCAACGGCAGCAGCTTTCGCAGGAGCTGGGGTTTTGCGAGGTGGTGGTGCCGCTCCCTCTGTATCCTTAAAGTCTTTAAATGCAGCAATATCTGCCTCGTTTGGGACAATGATACAGACCAGCTAAAAATACATAGAAGGAATATTCATTTTTTGCTCAAATAAAGTACTACAGCTTGGTTTGGATTATTGACCTTTCCTACGGGTACATCCTTACTTCCAGCGGCAATGAGAATCTTGGCAAGAAAACCTTCTTCCGGCGTTTCAAATCCCATAGTTGCCTTTGAATTACCAACACATAATAAAGATTATTTGCTCTCTGCCATCTAGGTTTTCCCATAATTCAATAAGTGAAAAGCATTAGGTCAATATGCTTACCTTATCAGTTTCAATCTCACATAACAAATCACCTTCACTCAGTGGGTCTCCTAGAAGCATTCATAATTAGCACCTGTGTACTAGTGTGCAGTCGCTTAATGCAATAAGTACTGAGCATATTGAGATAAAAACCCACCTTCCTTCTTCTCCCAACTAATAATCGTTCCCATTTCCATAGTGGGCGAGAGGGCTGGCAGTGAAACCGTGGTATGATCCGGATAAGATGAGTACTGTCGCTTGACTTGGCCATTTTCACTTATAGAGTTCCATTTTCTGACGTCTGCTTGGACTAGTCTGTTTACAAAACAAAACCAAAAATACAATTTCTGTCACGAGTATCTTTTATCATTACTAACTAATTAGTAGTTTAGCTGCAATAGCTGTCTACCTGTTATTAGCCCTGCTGGCAAAATGATGTAAAGTTCTCGTCCCAAGAAAAAACACCCGAGCCGAGTTGTTGTAATGTACATTATTTTTAAGTCCTCCACTTCCAGTTTTTTGGAGGTAAAGCCTCAGCAAATTATTGCAAGACCGGTTCATCTTTGGGTTGTTTTGAAGAGACTAGTAGTGCAGTTTAATTAAGATAACAAGTGGAAGCTGCCTGTTTCATTCAGTTGTTGTTGTAAATTACAACTTGTAATATAACATTCAACTTTCAAGGAAAAGATTGGAATTTACGTGGAAAGGATGAGGAAGGAAGAAGTAAGGAAAATAAGGAGTCAAAAAAGTAGCCGACACTGGAGGTAGCTGGCGAGGACAATCACAAATTGATAGCTCGGCGTGGCAGCAATTATATAGTTATAATTACTAATTGCCTGGAATAAGAAGTTGGAAGAAAGATAGGCAGAAAGTGTGTCTGGAAATAGAGAGTCAAATTTCCCAGCTGAGCTAGACCCACCTTTCTTTCGCCCCGGAGAATCACACGATCAATCGATGCAATCACCACAACAAAGCGTGATACATTTATCTTGTGCAATGAGAACTTACATATTATCGACTCTCGAATGAAACAAACTCAGAATTTTAGAACTATTTCAAATTTCACTCATTTCACATATTTAGTTTCATATTTAGTTGCATTTCACTTTCTAGGTGGTACTTGAGAAAAATTTGAGTAACTTTTATGAAGGGGAAAGTAGAGATGTGCATAGGGTAGGGTATACCCTAAAAACCTACTCCAAGCAACTTTGCGGGGCCTTTTAAGACGGCATTATTACATAAAAGCCAGACTCTAATGAACGATTGGCATATAATTTTTAGCCCGGACTAGGGCTTATGTAATCGACCTGTCCGTCTGTCTGTCTTTCCATAACTCTCGAAGGAGTAGGCTGAATTTTACCAAATTTGATACAGACATGCATCTGGGCATCGACCGAGTTCGAAGATGGGTTAGTGTTTCTCACGGGTCGGGTTCTTGCAAATCCGAAACCCGAACCCGAACCCGATGCCACTGATCCGAAACTTGAGGGCAACCCGAACCCGAAGAACCCGAAACCCGTTTGCAACGATCCGAACCCGAACTGGCGGATCAAATCCGAAACCCGAACCCGAAAAACCCGAATATATTTTAACTTTAAGGGGTGACTGGCTTTTTAGCTAAAAATTCTTTGGAAGGTTTCAAACAAACAATACTTCTGTAAATATGACCGAGGAATTATAATTAAGCACATTTCTGCATAAGTACATAACTCTTAATTCCTTGACCATAATAATGCAATCTCAAAAAATCGACCATGAATAATGGCTTTCCGTGACATTCAGAAATTTTTAAATCAGTTGAAAACTGAAAATGATCAAGCTCAAGCTAAATATTTTGCAAATTTTTGATAAAAAATATATTTTATTTTAATATTCAAACCATAACACTAATTGAAGACACTTGTGAAAAGAAGTTACGACAATTAAAAATTTGAATTATTTAATGAATTACTGCAGCATAACCGTCGTAGCAAGTTTGGTTAACACTTTATTTTCTTTTTTAATGTTTTCGTGTTCGTTGTGGCAAAAAGTTCTTGTTGGTTCGGGTTTCGGGTTCTTAGTCGGAACCCGAACCCGACCCGAACCCGAAATTTTGGGATCACATTTCTCGGACCCGAACCCGAACCCGAAAGTTTCGGGTTCAAAAATTTCGTATCCGAAGCAGGACCCAAACCCGATCCGAACCCGAAACCCGAAGTAAGAACCCGAACCCGTGAGAAACACTCGATCAAAAAACATTTAGACCAATGAGTGGTACCCTGGACACGACTATCACCTCGAAAGTATCCCTTGTTAGCTAACTTTTAATTTCAAATTCTTTGATGAGAAGCCACTAATTGTAAGTATTACCGTGCCGGATTTCATGTTTTTAACGCAATTTCTAAAAATAGATATGGATAACCGCATCAGATATAAATTTTTCCAATTTCATTTCATATTGTTCCATTAAGACCCATTTGCAACCTCTCTCCCAAATTTCACTTCGATATGACGATTTTGAAAAATCAGTATGGGTCACCCCATAGGGTCCATCAAGATTAAAATTTTTCCAACCTAAATTCATTTTTGTCTGTTACAATCCACTAGCAACCTTTGTTCCAAATTTCAACTACCTACTACAAATTTTAGAAATCCGTCGGGTCACCCTATCGGGTCTCCCAGGTTTAAAATTTCTGAAACTCCACTCCAATTTAAACGCTTTGAGGTCAGTCGCAATCTTCATACTAAAATTACTTAAAATTATTACTATAGATATTTCTCAAGCTACAAATATTTTACTTACACTTAAATAATTTAACCTGCTCTAAAGGTTCTTGGTAGTTAAGGGCAACGCATTTGGATGGAAATGACCCCCACCGGCCAATTACTTGACCGATCATGCCCATCTCCGAACTCATCCTTACTTTTGACCCGAAGATGAAGTGTGCAAAATTTCAAGTCGATAGCTTTTGTTTAAAGAGAGTTATCGTGCGCACAGACGGACGCACAGACGGACGGACAGACAGACATCTTGGTAAATCTATAAGGCCATCTTAAAAGGCCTAAAAAACCCTACCCTGCCCTACCCTATAGGGCTTTGGGCGGGCGGGCTTTTATTACCCTGAATTTTTAAGGGCAGGGTAGGGTAGGGCTTTTTTAAGTAGGGTATAGGGCCGGGCGTTTTTTGTATGTTCACCAATATGATGTAGGGCAGGGTAGGGCTTTTCCGTTTTACTATAACGCAGTCAACCATCGAGCAGGCGATTAGAAATGAGACGCGGGACAATCTTGTCATCTTTCTGCTGTATTAATTCACTTGTGTTACAAGTACTTAAAATTGTTTATACTATGGAGATTGACTACTCCATGTTGACATTTGTTACTGGTGTGGGGACACAAAATTTGGAAAGTTGCAAAAAGACTTAAATTTCTTGCGTCACATTCCATAGATATAAGAATTGTTCAACCACACGAGTACGAGAGCCAAGAACTTCATTTTTGTCCGGTGGAAACGTTAACGAAATTAACTTTGATTTACAAAATTACTAGACCATTTTTGAAGTTTTAGTGTCATAATTTTTTTTTAATCATCATAATTGCGAACTAATAATATATTAATATTATTAGTTGCTTTAAACGATTTACATAAACAATTATGAATAGGGCCTGGGCCCAAAGCCCTATAGGGTAGGGTAGGGTTTTTATTGATAAAGAAAATCTAGGGTAGGGCTAGGGCGGGCTTTATTTTTCTAGGGTAGGGCAGGCCCGGGTTTCAATTTTACCCTACCCTATTGGGTAGGGTAGGGCAGGGCAGGGCCAAGTAGGGTATAGGGTAGGGCGGGCAATGAAAAATGCCGGCCCTGCACATCTCTAGGGGAAAGTGAAAAAATTGAGATTTATGTCTCAACTTCCCATTTGCTCGCTCTTGATAATTTTACATATAATTTTTCCTATTATACCTTGAAACAAAAAGTGTCATTATCGCCCATTCCATTAATACTCGATACTATGTTCATTAATATGCTCGTTTCCATAATCCAGGCTAATTTGAGATAAATTACTCTCACTAAGCGGTTTTGAAACGATGCATTATTGTAAACCAGCATGAACCTTTCAGGCTGATATTCCTGTGCAATAAAATTGTAATGCAAAGTTTCGGATACATGAGTTGGTTGGTGTCCTCCTCTATCCGTGGTGCTAGTGATGGAGTGAGGAAAGGGTTGAGAGAGAGGGACCAGTCTACAGCCAACGGAACTCGTGTCCGTGTGTTGCAATGTTGGCTTTCAGGGAGAGAATCCATAGATGACAATATCCTTAAAATACAGCCTGCTGCATTCCTTTCCCATCGTCACGTTATTATTACGAACGAACTTTTATTATAACAGGACGAACGACGTCCACGGTTCTCAGTTCTCATCACAAAATCACGAGCATATAGTAGGCACTGCTAAGTAGACTACTGTTATTATTGTTTGTTTGATCTCTCTCTCTCCTCGTCCAACCATTTAACACGTCAACTACCCAACATTCCGCAATTGTTGTCACTAAAAACCAAAATCATCATTGGGTTGGGCTCGTCGTCCCTCTCCAAGAACCACAACCAATAATAATCATAATAATAATACAGCTTTATATAATAGTACATACACAAATATACAATACATATTTCACACTACTGCTCGGACCGAATTTTAATACATTATCATCCTCCTCGTTCTTAAAACAAGTAAGAGATTAGTGTTGCTAGCATTATTATTAGGTTAGCGATGGGTTAAACGTTCAATTGATTTCAATTGGTGAGTCATACAAGTACATATTTACATCCAACGAGTACTTAAATACTATCAATCAACTATAATTTTCCCCGAGTTGAGTTGGGCGATTCCATATCAAAATTAGATTTATTATTGTATACATACATTTTTGTATCTGTTTTGAGATTTTGAAATAATTTTAGACTTTATCATCAGGATTGATATGTTGCAGGCAATAATGAATAATATGTTGATAAGTTTCACGTACTAAAGTTCTTGTAAATTTTGCAGCTAGCATTACTACTACTACTGTACTCAACTGAATTGTGTTTTATATTTGATTCTATTGTTTCAGGTTTACTATTGATTCTGCTGCCTTTTCGATCCAATCGATTCAACAAACTACAATACCAAGTAGTCTAAACAAATAAGTTTATTCCAAGTATATGAAAATCCAAATGTGATGTTGCTGTATACGTCTCCCTCGTCAGTTTGTGTAACAACTTTTACGATATTTGATATTGAAATCCAAGTATCGTCATTTTAAGAAGAAGAAATTCCCCAAGCAAAGAAGACTGGAGATTACTTTTGCATGGTCATTATATTATTACTCACTACGTGCCGGTCTGTTTTTGTAACGATGTAATCAAAATGGAAAGTGTCACCGTGTGAAAACTATATATATCTATAGACATTAGAGAAAGTCGGGTGAAAGTTAGACTCCGTTTGTTTTTACCCCTGGGTCATGCGAAAGTGGACGGCCAAAGGGATGTCTTGTGTTCCGTTTCGTTCTTGTAATCAACATGTCGAATTCGTCGACAAGCGACATCAGTCGCTCGCAACCATTCCGGATGAAACCTTTAGGTATTCTAGAACGCTGGAGGAATTGTTGCTCGATGCAAATCATATTAGAGAACTGCCCAAGGTAAGCAGAAATTTAAGACTTACACACAGAGATTTGAAATAATTACAAAGGTTAATTATATGAGTTATTTGAATTGTATTATTCTGACAATTATCTATTCTACAAAAACAGCAGATGTAATTTGATTGGGATAAATAATGTACATTCTTATTATTTGCAGCAATTAATGAATTTAACAAGGCTGAGAAAGCTGTGCCTGAGTGATAATGAGATAAAAGAATTGCCACAAAACTTGGGCAACCTCGCCAATCTCGCCGAACTTGATGTATCAAGAAATGGTACATATTAAATAACATCTGCGGTTCTTAATTGAATTCATACTGTTTAAACAATTATATTTTAATCTTATTAGAAATTCAAATTATTCCAACATCCATTAGAAGTTTAACGCGTTTAAGGCAACTAGACTTAAGCAGCAATCCTATTACAAGGTAGGTTTGTTTATGTATTTACATGTCCTAGTGTTGCCACATACTATGTCAAACCGCATATTATTATGCCCTTGATATCATGATATCGCTATATTTTATTTTCATTTTACAGCCTACCAGCTTCATTTTGCGACCTCAAATCATTAACGATCCTTACGTTAAATGATACAGCTCTGACTGAACTCCCCGATGCATTCGGAAAGTAATTTGTTCACATTTCAGTTCACAACTTTATATTTGACGTAGTTAGTCATTACAAATTCACTGCAATACGAATGTTTATTTACAGTTGTTCATCTTTAATAAGCGTAGAGCTGAGAGAAAATGCTTTACGGAGTTTACCTCAAAGTTTCGAGAACTTAAGAAATCTTGAGAGATTAGATTTAGGCGACAATGAGTTATCAGACTTGCCTGCGTTTATCGGCCAGTTGACCAAATTAACTGAACTTTGGTTGGATCATAATTTATTATTTCGCCTGCCTAAGGTAAGTAGTATAAATTTACAAAAAAGTTAGCTAGTTTGTCATAGTTCATGTCATTTTATTGCATATAATAAATTTTATGTGTGAATAATTTATAGGAAATTGGACATTTGGAGAAACTCGTGTGCTTCGATGTTAGCGAAAACCAACTAGATGAACTTCCAGATGAGATCGGGAATCTTAGAAATTTGACAGATTTTATCGCCTCACAAAATAATATTGACAGATTGCCACAAACCGTAGGAAGTTTATCAAGTTTAGTAGTGTTAAAGTTGGAACAAAATAAACTGAACAAGGTGCACCCTAACCTTGCGTTATGTACAAAATTACAAGAATTATTTCTACGAGAAAATCTATTAGATGGTAAGTTATTATAATAAGTTTTTCATTACATATGCACAACTGTTCAATATGACACAATATAAAAAAGTTTTAATCCATTTTGACACATGCATTTTTGACAGCAAAAACTTTCACTGTCAATTTATATTTCCATGATTGATTACTAATCTTTTTTAGAACTGGGAGATTGGATCGGGAGACTGGAAAATCTTAAAATTCTTAACATGGACTGCAATAGAATAACAACTGTTACAGAAAAAGTTGCAAATTTAGGAGAACTTGGAGTTTTATCTCTTCGAATGAACCTGCTAGAACGCCTCCCAGATGAAGTTGGTTCTTGCGTTAAGCTCATGGTCATCGACGTTAGTGGCAATAGGTACGTACTAATGGAGTTTATATGTATATTTTATTTTATATTACTTTTTACTTTCCTAGTTTCATTTTTGTCGCATTAACCAATTTACTACATGCACACAATATACATAAAAATGTGCAGAGATAGACAGACAGAAGATGAATGAGGGGGGTTACATACATATAACTATTTCCGGTTCTTCTCTTTGTTTAATTCATAACCACGACAATAAATGAATCTATGCTTGTCGAGTTCAATGTGAATGAATTCCGGTCTCACTACACAGGCCGGATGACACGGGTTGATGATTACACAATTATTTACAACCAACAACGCATCAAGTGGATTCATGCTAGCGTGCACTGCAATGAGCAAATGTACTGCGCTCTGTAGATAGTTGTTGTGTTGGCTTGAGTGCATGATTAATATTTTCATCATTTCATTCTGCATATATACACCTGAGGTTAGTGAGGTTGCATAAAATCAACAAAATTATCCTGCGACAACTCCATATAATCGTAACCCAGCACACATAATAAATAATCTCATCTCATGCATGGTAATACTCGCTTGGATTCAACAACCTTTTCTTTCCTTTCTTCCTTCCCTGTTTTTAGTCCGAATCAAGGCTTACTAGTATATGCCGTTACATAAATATCGGTTACATATTTGTCACCCCGTCGTATGCATATCTGTTAGAGACACGCCAGCAGACGAATTACCGAACCGATTTTGATCAATTTACGCTTGCTTTTTTTACTATTTATAGGGCCCTCTACGTCATCACTCTCATTACTAATAGCATTGTAAATTTCAACGGTGACGTCGAGGACTGTATGAAAAAACAAAAGTACTTTGTTAGTTTTAAAATGCGTATCTCGACAAGGCATTAGATGAATTGGAAGATGGGTATAATCCGTCCTGTGGTTAATCAGTGGGGTCATTTAAATGGTGTGTGTACTAAATAGTAATAGCACCAGATGATATATGTACATAAATGATCATAGAAACGTAAAACTTAGCATGGGGGTGCAGGTGTACCTCATACCTTATATGAAGCCAAATCAAACTCAATAATATTTTCGCCAGAGGAACCCAACCAGGAGAGCTGTGGTAGTTTTTTAATTGGTTGGAAAAAGCTTAAATTTTGTATCTAGATATACGAGAAAATTTGTCCACAATAACGATGCCGCTTTCGTAAAATATTGATTAGAGACGAAGCCTCACTGAGTTTTGAAAAATCTCTGACTCTACTAAGCTAAGCTCTACTGATAAGTTTGCACTGTAGGTTTTAATGCATGCATAAAATTTAGACAACGCCAAAAAAGGTTTTATTTACTGAAAATCTCAATTTCTTTACTCTTTGCACTATGCGCTACTCAGCATGTTTTGTAACTTTATAAGCCGGATGAAAATGTTGGACAAAACTAATGTCTTTTCAAACAACTAATTTTTATCATGATGTTTGTATGAACTGTAGATTGCAAAACCTCCCGTTCACAATTGCTTCTCTTCCGTTGTTGAAAGCCGTTTGGCTGAGTGAAAACCAAAGCCAAGCAATGCCGAACTTCAATGTGGATTATGTATTTAATGAACCAATATTGACATGCTATCTGCTACCGCAAATTGGAGCAGAACCTCTGAATCCACGTAAGACCCTATTTAAAATCTATGTACTATTTATCGTAAAATTTGCGTTTGTATGTTTGCTAAATTATTTTGGTGGCGTTTATGAGAGTTTTTGCTATATATATATATGGCAATATATGCAATTAAATGCAATATATATATATATGCTTTGGTAGTAGCTCAATTAGTTGTTAAAATTAGTATACTTTATACTTTATGTGTAGAATGTATGTTTGCACAAAGTAGCAGATTGCTGTAGTTTTAATTTATTGCTAGATAAATGTAATTATAATTTTTGTTCCATTTCCGGTCATTCATCCTTGGTTCATTGGGATATTTTCTTCCTGGGCATATGTGTACGCAACAGCACTGTCGCTTAATAGTCTGTATCGAGCATCTGGAGATCTAGATTTGAATTCAGGATTAGACTACTTTTTAACAGAAGATGGTCTGCCCTCCACAGCCAATGGAGTAATGAGAAATGCCGTTGGTCTTCCTAAACTTTCACCCACAGATGTTGACATTACGGCCAGGAACACGACTGTGAAGTTTGATGACGGTTCGGATGATGAGTCAAGCGTGAATGGGGCAGAGTCGGAGGTAAGTAGAAAGGGATGCAGCCTTTCAGATTATTTATGCATGTATCTACAAACAACTAAGTAACTAAAATGGCGTCTTTCTTGTGGCAATAGTCAACTGGATTCGTACGTCACAACACACCGGTACGTATTTTTAGATGCAAGTTTCCTAAGCACGTGCCATCAATTACAGCCGGGACACAATAGTCTAGGCGGCAATTGTGATATCGCCAGTGCCCTAATGATTTTCTTTGTTTTAAGCATCCGAGGGACTTGAAGGCAAAGTTTCAAAAATGGTTTGGCGGATCAAAGCCAAAATCAAAGACGGTGGATAAAGTGTTTGTTGCTTCAGATGAAAATGTACAGTAAAAAAACGACATATAACTACATATTATAAGAGAGGACTTGCTCCTCCTGGTATGCAATCTCTTTGTCTTGAAAATTACTAACCCGCATAATTTATACTCAGGAAAACTCAAAGGGACCATTTAGACCAGAACGCCAAAAGATTGACGTCAATGAACCATATAGCCAATTGCATGGTCATAAACAAGCCCATGAAGTTGAAAAAGCGAAAATAGAGGAAAACCGAACAGACTCCAGTGAACAAGACGATACTGAAACGGATGACCAAGGCTTAACTGGGGTATATATAAATAATTCATTAGTCGGCATCCTTGTGCGTTGAAAGTTGCAGTGTAATTGATTTCAATATGTTTGTAGGACGAGAAACATGTTGAATTCATCGTGGAACAAGAAGAACCAGACGATGATGACGAACCTGGAGAAGAGAGACTCAATCTTCGACTTCAAAGAAGAGATACTCCTCATCACTTAAAAAATAAACGTATTAATCCGGCAGATGCGGATGCTGAAGCTCTTCAAGCGATATTACAAAAGGTGGATGACACAATAGCAATCATTCATTTTACTTTTGTCTTTTGGATCTCATACATATATATAATCACAAAACTATGAAATATACACAATAATAGAGTATGGTTTATTTAAAATAATAGGTACCATCACCATCACCCCCAAAACGCATGCAAAACGATGAACCAATCAACTCTCCTTTTGAAACGGAAGATTCCATAGACTCGAACAGTATGAAACGACCTACTACTGTAGAACTTGAGTTGGTTCTTAATCGTGAAGGGGGGCAGCCTTTCGGTTTAAATATTGCTGGAGGTTTGGGCTCGTCACCATTTGTGGATAATGACCAATCAATCTTTGTGTCGAAAGTAGTACCTGGAGGATTAGCTGATGGGGCCGGGCTAAAGGTGACCTTGCTTAATTTGAGTGCTTATTGTCATGTATTGTCCTTATTAACGTATATTTTGAAAAATGACTCTCTAATTTACAGGCGGGTGACCGCGTCACACAAATAAATGGGATCGATTTCACAAACATTGAACATCGTACTGCCGTGGACACTATTCGTAAAGTAATATATTTCTATATAACAATGTGAATATTAACAGAATCACTCAAGTATTTCGGGTCAAAGAGAGATGTTATTTCCTTGCTTCTAGGCTGGTAACCGAATAGTGTTTGTGGTAGAGAGAAAAGTTTTAGGAGGAAATTATCCGGGACCACAAGGAGCGGAACTTGGGGAGCCGAGGAGTGTGTCTTGGAACGGTACTACTGCTACTACAGCTTCCAATAATGACGACTTCCCAAATTCAAATCCATCCCCTTCGCCTTCGCCAAACCTAGTTTTTCCTTGTCCGAAACCTTACAAAGCAATGCCCAATTTTGATGCAATGATTCCGTCCGAAGTGAAAAACCCTTCTGCCGTGGTCACCGTTACAATAAAACAACCCGACACTGTATCTTCTCGTGTGCCAGATATTTTTCCACCAGCACCAACAGACCTCGGTACCCTTTTAATGCATTTGAATTTTTGAATATCTCGTTGAACGTAACAATGAGACACAAGCAAAAAAAAATATGCGTAATAATTATCATAAATTGGACACAGGTACTGTAACTGAAGTAATTACTAAAAGCACGTTGACAGAAACTGTCTTTACACGTGTTACCCACAATGAGGTAAGTTATTCCACAGAAGGTATTCATTAATATCATTTAGTAGTTGAATATTTTTAACTGTCTGATTTCTATTAATTTAATCTTTCAGCCAGTCATGGCCCCCGTTACGACAGATGTGAGCACCCCTTTAACAATTAATTATTTGAATGTTTTGGTTTTGGCCTAGTATTAAACAATATACTTGATACAAAAAATTATCTATCTATAGATGATTTATATTGAAAAAACGTCGGAGGAATCATTGGGAGTGAAAATCATCTCTGGGTCGGAAGAGGCATGTTTCCCCTTCTCATTTCCTAATCAGCCGGGGGTTTATGTCGTAAGTTGACAAGTAGTATTAAAATACCGTAAGAGTGTTAAATTCGTAAACTGTTGTTTTATCATGGGAATAGGTCTACGTCACAAAAGATGGTCCTGCAGCTCGTGCCGGATTAAAAATTGGTCACCGAATTTTAGAAATTAACGGACAAATGGTGGACCCTACGGATAAAAATAAAATTGCCATTTTCTTGCTTCAAGCTGGTAACAAGGTGGACCTTAGAGTTAGGAAACATGGGCCTCCTCCTGGATTTATGGTATGAAACCGTCGCTACCCATCACTCGCTTCATTTCTTTGTATTATTTTAGTTTTTCCATCGACGCAAATTATTAACTAAATATTTGGTTTTTCAAACCTAGCCGATAGAGTTCAATCGAGATGAAAAAGAACCTCTTGGGATGCATATTAAAGGCGGGACCGACAACCCTGGAAATCCATTGAACAAGGATGACACTGGCATTTTCATATCAAAAATTTTACCAAACGGAGCTGTTCACCGAAATGCTCTATCAAGAGTAAGTGTCATGGGGCACTTCCCATTATGAGCTTAATTTAGTCTATTGTAAATTTTAATAATCAGATTTACATGACACATTTTTCATTGGCTAGGTTGGAATGCGAATATTATGTGTCAACGGAAATCCCCTCTTGAATATTACACACAACGACGCTGTCAACGTATTTAGAATGGTATACTAACAATTAAAATATAGAATAATAGTATTAGGTTAGTATTGATTAGCTTGTAATAGGTTGGTTTAAATTGACAGGTTAGAAGTGATATAGAAATGCTGTTAGCAAACGGATACGATCCAAAGGAAGTGGAACAACTAAGGTAAAAAAAATATTATTATACATATATACATACACCCGTTTGAATCTTGTGCATTGCTTGCATGCACACAGCATGCAACCATTTAACCTCTGATACAATTTTATTTAAAGGAGTGAAGGAAAACTCCCAGACAAAATTGTTGAAATTCTATCAAACAGCGAAGAAGCAGCTGCGGCTATTTCTCAGTACTCGAATGAGGCTGAGCCAAGTGCAAAACAATCTGTAGACAAAGTTATGGAGGTTGTAAAAGCTGCGGAGCAATTGGTGGTCCCTTCATCTCCAACACCTCCAAAGGAAAAATCTGTCGTTGTTCCTGGGAGTCCAGGCCCCGTCCATGACATGAAGAAAACTACAATAGTTATGTCTGGTCACTCGAAAACTTCTCCTGGTCTTGGCGGTTCGAAAAAGTTTTTCACTGCAGACAATGAAAATCAATTGGGTTCTTCGGAACATCTAGAACCCAAACCTAGAACTCCTCATCACCCACCAACCTATGCCAATTTAAATGACCTTCATGCCGGTTCCTCGGATGATGTGGAATTTATTGATGACGAATCGAACGATGAGCTCAGAAAGTCCAATGGGGACTTGATTCATGGAGTGGGAGTAGAAGCGAGAAACCCCATTTTCAACGGAGCGGATCAAGAAAAGCGAAAAATGATTCCCCCAATGAATTTAAATTTGCAGCACAACACTAGTAATAGTAGTAGTGGGGCAGCAGATCCCAATAACCCACCTCCAGTTCCCACGCCTAGAACAAGTCTGGGCAGTTATGGCAGTGGGCGGCTTTCTCCCGAAGAGGTAAGTGTATCTAGTTTGCTCGGATTATTATTTTTATTCAAACTGGTCCAAGTAGAGTTGTCCTATGTTAGCCAATATATTAGTTATTCCTACAAAACTGTATTTCATATTTAAATTCTCTCCTCCATTTACAAAGTTTACATTCTTGAAAACATGCTCCTACTATTGGTTATTATTGTTTTCCTCAAGGTGACAATCTATTCAGCCGTTTAGGGACCAACCGGAAAGATTCTTTGCCACATCACTCACATGAAACTGTAATCAGGTCCACCGCCATACGTTTGTTAGTTTATCGAACGAATTGCTGTATATTCACTTATCATGAATCTCTGTATCGTAGGTATAAATATCTATAAATACCTATATCTTTTAGCATTTTTCTAATTCACGATTAATATTAGATACGAATTGCATTTCTGTGACTACTTGAATGGAAATGAATGCATTCCGCAACGTTTACTTAGGACTGTTTATGACAGAATAGTATCTATATCTAATTCCATGATGACAGGATTTCAAGTTTTTACTACTCGCACTTTTACTGATGCTCTAACATGGAGAAATTTTGAGCTTATTCGGTTAAATATATCTTGACATTTTTTTTGCATTTCAATTGATGATAAGAATACTTTTGCACCCTGTAATTTTCTTTAAAGTTATCAATGTCGGAGTTAGATTTTAGATTTTATCTGTGTCTTGATGGCTCCACGTAATTGTTTATTTAAATTAACACAATTTTAATAAATCGGTGCAATTACAAATTTTATAATTCAAGTTATTTAATTTGAGAGTTTTATTGACGAGGCACGTAATAATAATACCTAATAACTAAAAGCAGCCACCTTATCAATTATCATTATATGAAAGCTCGTCATAAGTCAGGTAAAATTATTTTTTCTTTAGTGTCGTGTGATTACATAGTCCTATTGATCGTAAATACTTAATTGTGCTATTTATGGCGCATGCTTTTCTTTGAGTGGTAGCGTGTGATATGAATACATACAGTTTCTGTTGGTGCTACAGCATGACCATTTAAATTAAATGACATTGTTTTACTAAGTTTTTATATTTAATTGACTCTACAATTTAAGACGAATCTGCTTTTTATGGTTATAACGTGCAGCAGTACTTCAGTACAGGTTGAATATTATTGAGTTTGATTTGATTGATGCTTTAGCCAATCTCAGTAAATTTGAAACGATTTTGATTCCAATTTAGAGTGTTTGTCAATAAGCAATTAATAACAATAGTAATTACTACACATACGACTATACGATTGTTAAGCTAAATGATTTGCCTTTGATGTTGGTTGGGCATGAATTTTTTTATCAACTTTCCAAACGTGGAAACATTTCCCTCATTCGTTTGAGTACATTACTTTCACCCCAATTTGATTTTGCTTTATGACAATTTTCAGCAACCAAAGGAGCTCAAAGTGAAAATTAAACAACTTCCTCCGTCCAAGAGTTTTAGCATTAGTCCAATTCCCCACCATATTCCATTAGCACCAACTGAAGAATTTGACCCTGCAGATACTGAGGAATCCGTATTCCAGTTTTCGCCAGGTGAGGTTAAATTTTTGATGAAATTCGCTTTCAAGATAAGTTTATAATCGATTCATTATGACAGATATAAATTAACACCAGTTGATTACGGTCAAAATAATAATGGATTTATTTTCTTTAGGGCAATGTCATTTCTGATGTATTTTTATCACAAAATACATACAACCATTCAAAATACGAAAAAACATAGTATACATAAAACTACTACTTCTTGCTATTTTCATTAATTTTCAACGTGTTTTCGTGTTTTGTCCATTTTATGTAAAAAATATGTCAACTCTAGCATACTGTCGTTTATACCGACCAAGAAATGTCTTGCTTTCCTGAGTACCAAAGATTCTAACACTATTTAAGTACAATCTAATACACCATTTTAATTGACAAGCTACTATCTCTGAATGAGCCATGTAGAATTTATGAGAAAGATAAGAAAGTGTGGTGGTGGTGGCAGTGATTGTATTTTTAGCTTACATGTATGCAATATGGAATATTTTCAACATTATTCATAAAAACAATTAAATGTATAAACTTTCCCTAGAATTTCATCGAGTTCCGTCCCCCATGTTGAACAGGCCTCATTTGACCTATATCCATACTGAGGATTCACATAACAAGTTCCACAAGGAAGATCAACCTGTTGAGAGCAATAATGATGATATTATTCCTCAAGGAGAGCTAGAAGATAGCGAAGAGGAACAGGAGGAGGGGGTCCAGTCCAAAGAAGAAAGTAGTAAACCTCCTTCCCCTCCTCCCACGGGGCCTATTGTTACTGGACAAGGTTCACGAAGTAACATTGTTTCTGCACGAGCAAAATTTTTTGAACAAGAAATCCAGCATCATCAGGCAGCTCCTGCAAAGTCTTGTAAGTAAATCTTTCCCTTCAGTCGATAGTTAAAATGGTGCTAATTATTTTCAACTCGTTGCAATTATTACAGCAAACAAGCAGTTTTCATTTTTGAGTCCATATGAAATTGATCGCATGAAACAAGGTAAGCAGTTAATCATTGTCCCTTAATAAGTTTTTCGTGTATTTAATTTTCGTAATGGAGCTGAAGATTTTGTCCTTTTCTCTGGGGGTTCATCATCACTTTTCTCATCTTGTTCCTCTGGTTTTTCTTCTCCTTGATGTTGACTCTAGGAAAAAAATACATGATTTAAATAACATCTTTAAATAACTAATGGGGGGAGCATATACTTTGTAGTGCTTGACGGTACTGCCGTAAAATGAAGAGGAATAGTTACATCCAGATGCAGGGCAGGTATGGGGTTTTAGTCCTAAATGGGTACAGGCGTGGGCGCTGTAATAGTAATAATAATAATAATAACACCTATAATGCGTATGAAATACGCATTATAAAAATACCAAGTGAATTACCGAGAATTGTCCAATCCGGTGTTCCTCCTATCACACGCTTGTCCACCCTCTCGTCCCCACATGCACCTATACGTGGTCGTCTTCGACCCATCTTCCATTGGGAGAAGCTCCATTATGGCACCACATTTAGCAGCGTCCTCCTCACTAACATCAGGGATACCGTATTTATTCCTCTTTTGTGGTTCTGCACCTGGATGGTACTTGGATCGATAAGATTGTCTGCTTGTTTGTGTTTCAAAGCTGCAGGTGCAGAGATCACAAGTTAATGCGTTTGGTCCGGAATAGTGGCTTGTCTAGACAAATTAATATTGTATATAACACCAGAAAAATTGTTTCGCAAAATAAGGAAAAGAAATGCATACTTTTATATGGCTGGTGTTCATCCCTTACAAAAACAAAACCACACAGCTCACATTGTCGTCTCGTTTGTGACGGTGGGAGTGGCCGCGGGTTTTTTAGTTTGTCTGGAGGAGGAGGAGGTGGGTTGTTGAAATAATCTTCCCTAATTTGGGGAAGACGGTGGAGGAACTGCCGTAAATGATCATCAATACTCCCAGCATGTTTCGCCAACACTACTTCTGAGGTGTACGGGGCTTTGGCACACACCACTCCAAGTTTTCTTCTAATGCGGAATTTGAGTTGGTCAGCAACCCAATCATTGTCAGTGTAAATGTGGAAAGAGTATGCCAAGGTAGGGTCAACTTTCCAGCCAAATAGTTCTTCAAGCTCCCTGTAATTAGTTCATTTATATAAATACATTTTTATAATGATTGTTTGTAATTTGAACCATTGCTCACTTACTTAACTTTACACCCCTCGAGGTCCAAAGCGTCGCTTGTAAAATGAGACACGGTCAACTCTGTTCTACCTACAAGACACACATTCGCAGGTCCCTTGTTGACAGTCATATCTCTGACATCACCGTACTTGTCGGTGAGAAGGGAGAAGTAAATTTGGGTCAATTTTTCTAAATAATACAATTAATTAGTGTTGGGCGAATGAATGAATTGTAAATAATTAAAATTACTTGTAGCATCCTGCTCCTTCATGACATGCATTTGGATGTTATCAGTGGCGTCTTTCCAGGCAAAAAGATCTGCTCCCACTTTCGGCTCCTGTCGTAGTAATTCACTGTCACTAATCATTGTTAGCAGAGCTGGTTGATTAATCGATTTTTTCACCACAATATTAACATTGACTGATAACACCACAATTATTAATGATTTAGACTAAATTTGTCCCGGTTTGCGTAAACTTGAAAATGAATCTCTCTTTCTCTTTCCCCTGCATGAAACAAGAGGAGGATAATAAAATCGCAGCAGCAGCAGCAACAATGAGTCAAATCGAATACTTGAGGTCTGGTGAATTGGAGCAAGTGGTAGAAGAGGAGGAAGAGTATGGTGACGATGATGAGCTTATGATGGGTGGCAATCAACAAGGAGGAGGAGAACAAGAAGGGAAGGAACAGGGATCTCAAAGTGGTGCTGAAACTGCTTCCGGTGGTGAAAGTGGCTTCCCTTCAGAAAGAGCTTCTGGACATGTTAGATCCATCTCTGCATCCAGTGTAAGTTCCGTTTCTTCCACCAGCAGTGTCCGCACCGCAAAAGCCGAAAGACGGTTGAAAGAAAGGCTGAGTCAAGAGGTGATATTTATTTTCTATATGTTTGTAAAAAAAAATAGTTGTCTAATCAAAATCACATTAAATTGCATTGCATTGTTAATTATTGTAGGGCCTATTTCCTTCAGATGTGATTACGTCCTCGGATATGAGTCCATCGGAACAAAGAGCTTTGCAAGCTGAGAAAAGGGCAGCTTGGAGACAGGTTGGTCTTAATTCCTATACAAACACTACATTTGTAAAAATGATTGTTTTAAACAAACTAATTTTATCTAATTTTTTTCTGTCAAATCAAAGGCTAGATTGAAGTCACTAGAACAGGTAGGGTGTCACTACTAGTGAATTTCTAATTATTGAATGAATACGTATTTAACACAATGACCTACCAAAAATTATCAGGACGCTTTGCAAGCACAAATGGTACTGAACCGGATTAGTGAAATAATTGACAGTCCACCTCCGGTTACGAATGCGAATCAGAGTTCGACTCTACAGAGGAAATTAGATAATGTTTCAGAGGATAATCCAGAATTTCCTGATGAGGAAAACAATATCAGTATTGTAAGTCTATAAAATTATTTTATTTTGTTCTCTTGTTATTAACAATAACTTTCAAGCTTGTTTATTTCGTTTATTTCATATAATTTAAATGTATGTATCTAATTTTGTTTATTTGTTTTCCGTTATCCTTGTTTTGCATCTTCGGATTAGAATAAACCAACAAAACTAGGGTCACCGTCTACTACTAACACTCGATATAGCCATTCATCTTCATCAACTTCAGCGGTTTCTAACCAATCCGAGTCCCAACTACCAAATGTCCGTTTCCCATCCCTATTCATTCGTCATCGATCTTCTGGTCCAAAGAAAATAATTGGGCAGAGAGAGCGTTTGCTCGGCGAGAAAATATCTAGAAAAACTGAGGAGTGGCTCAATGAGGAGACTGGAGCTGTAGAGATACGGACAGTTGAAATTGTTGAAAAAATTATTGAACACGAGGTAGAATTATATGCAAGCCCTCAGTGAATTTTGTTGTGGGGTATATTGCACAATTTAGGCACGTATGTAGATCCTCAGCATGTATTTACTTATGATAATTGCGGTTACATATATATTAATACACATTCACTCTAGTATAGTAAACTCCAAGCATCGCAACAGTCGTAACCTTATCTATGTAGTTGCACCAACGCACACACACACCCTTAAGTTTGAATGCTGCTGGGATTATGAAATTTTAAGAGTTTGGGTTTTTTAGAAGTTGCACAGGGATGCACAAAGAAACATGCCTATATTCACGGGTATTCACATAAAGAGACAAAACTATCACTTAGCACAAGTGGCACATTATTACAATACTACTTATTGTATGCAGCACAATTTGCTACTTTGATTGAGTCAAACGCTTGGTTGCTTTCCAAGTTATTTATAACGGAATACCTCCTCATTAAATGACTTGTTGATATTCGTAGGTGGAGACTACCGAACAGAAAATAATTTCAATAGAACTTGATGGTCCCCTCAGCCCAACCAGCCCCACTTCAACCGATGATGGAAATACAAGCTTTCCCCTTCCAACTGGCACAGGGATCACTACTGGAAGTGCTCGGAAAAAGAAGCGAAAAAATTCCAAGAAAAAATGAAAAACTGTACAGTATCAACCACCTGTTACGCACAAGCTGGGGGTGCTTCATGTGCACTCGGCAAAAATGAAATTGTAGCCCAGTTAGTTATCAAGTCCATGCATCTATTAAGATATTTATTATTATTATATAGAATTTCTAGTATTATTGTAATGACTTTCGGATCAGATCGGACTCGCTCTTTGAAATTAAGTGTAACATGTTCTTTCCAGATTCCGTTTTTGAATTCTATTTAACTCGTACTACTATTCTACATTTTTTGATACACCAGACCAATGAATGGTTTAATTTTTAGATATTATTGTGCTCCGAGTCAATATTTTATTATAAGCATAACTTGCTGATTCGCACCAGGATTGCAGAAAATAATAATTTAAAATCATCTTTCTACAATTTTTATCCCAGCTTGGCAAAATGACCAAAACCAATATCAGCAGAATTATTTTATTGTTGTGTTACTAAAAATGTTATATTTTAAGGGTATTTTATGACAATGTTCAAACATTTTGAAACATGCAATATCATGAGTTTTTACAAAGCAAGTAGTTAATTTTTTCAATAAACATGAAACAAGGAATATGAAAATCCTTACATTTATTTTTTTTAAACAAAACGCGTGCATAAAATATAAGGGAATAAAATACTGACAAGTGGAAAATTACAATAAGGATAATAATAATGTTTTCTGTTTAGGATTAACTAGGCTCCGTGTGAATATTTTAGCCCCGTTTTGGCACCATCGTAATTTGAGAGAAGCCCCTGTGTACCAAAAGTTGTGATAGAACTTATTGATTTATTTGATGATAAATTATACTTAAATACCAAAGCAATGTGAAAAAACACGTGATACTTACATCTGATCACGGCTAACTTTCCAGTACTTTTCAACAGCATCAATCGCCGACAGTCGATCAGTGAACTCTTGGTCGTGAGTAATGACAATCAGTTGAAAATTTCTGTGCGCTGACATCCTCTCTGCCAAACTAGAAAATTATTTTTTTAACATTTCAATACAAACATATCCTACTAGTTATTATCCACATATATTATAAACTTGTGGTGCAATGTGCGAGTTAGAATGAAGAGTAGGAAGGAAACTCGAACCACCAGATGAAAAATATCATCCGTTAATGAAGAACTTCAATGTTCTAAACGGCGACACCCTTGGTCTTTAATTTGGATTATTACACAAAAAGCAGAGAGTTCCCTTCCCCCTCCTTACCCTATGTATGGTTATTAATACCTTGATAAGGCATCAGCCAAAGAATTTATGTTTTTCTGATCTAAATTAGTGGTGGGTTCATCCAATGTAATGATGCCACAACGAGAACTAAAAGAATCTGCTAGGGCGATCCGTATAATTATGCAAGCCAATACTCGCTGTCCTGCACTGCAGCGACCTCGCATATCCAACTCCGCTCCTCGTCGAACCATTACAACCCTTTAAAAACCAAAATTTAGATTAAAATGGTACAAGTACAAGCTGAACACCTTCGCATAATAAATATTACAATTTATGTACGCATGTATTTATGCGTGTACCTGTAGTTGTATGTTTTCCTGCCTTTTCCAGTGTCAATTTTAACTTTCTGCCCAGGCCCACCTGCTGCTGGTTTACTACTTGCAGAATCTGTGCGAATTTGGATATAGTCAATGTCGTTTCCCTTGTAGATTTTTCGCCAATACTCCCACAAGCTTTTATTAATCATCTCCATCCGCTGTTTATGGAACATCATGATGGCTTGGTCTAGTGCCGTCTTGTATCGCCGGATGTCCTTTTGAGCTTTCTCATATACTGTTTTCCTCACATATTTTTCAATATATTCTTTTTCTGCATTAACATATGGACGGTTATTCAACTCTCTGGTCAAGTCTTTGATGGCAATTTCAATTTCTCTTTTGCTTCCTATGAGTCGATTCATTTGTCCAAACTTCTCGCTAGACTTTTGAGCCATTTTTCGACTCTCTGTAACCACTCCTTGATTTTCCGTGGATGCCAACAGTTTCTTCTTGTTATCCAATTCCAGTTTTAGTTTGGTCATATCCTTTAATTTCAGCTTGTAACTCAAATTGTCCTCAAGATTCCTCTTCTTGGACTGAATGAATTAAATGTAAAAAGAAAAGTTGCAAAAGTATTTAGAAAAACTCATTTAATTACATATAACCTTCTAAAATAGTAATAAATATCAATGGAGAATAATAACCGTTGGTTATTCTATCTAATATAGTCTTATAGAGGTAAATTACCTCTTGGCTTAGAATCGCGTTGGTCACAGACTCCAAATCTTTTACAAGGTCGCCCTTCTGCGAATCCAATTCATCAACTTTACGCTTGCACTCTGCAGCTCGTTTCTGAACATCCACAAATAGTACTTTTTTTCGTTCAAAGTCTTCAATTTGTCGGGTAATTTCAGCTAATTTCAGTTTGTGTTTTTCCAAACTGTCCCTCTCAGATCGTGCAGTTTGAAGATGCTTCTCTTTGTTGTCGACAAAGTTTGATTTAACTTTTTCAGCCTCCGTAATTTCCGACTTAACTTTAGGTACTTCTAATTTCAATGATGAATTGGTTTCTTGAATTTGCTTGTTAGTAGCTTCGAGTTCCTTCTTTTGATTTTCTAACCCTTCACGATTTTGTAGTTCAGATGTTATTTTCAATATCTTTTGTCTAGCATCATTCTTTTTGACATTCAACTTGTTTAGTTCCGTTCGAGTTTTATCAAGGAGATTTGCTTTGCCATTTTTTTCCAACTGCTTTGTTTTAAGCGAGTTTTTTAAATCCTGCAGTCGAGTCTTTAAACTAGATACATTCATGGTTTCCGATAACTCTGAGTAAGACAAATAATATAAAATATTATCTACTAGCATATCATAATATATCAAGTTAAATTGCAATTATGATGTTGCTGTACGTTTTGCTTTGGTGGTTCTAGAGGATTCCAGTTTTCCTATACTCGTTTCGCGTTGCCTGATCTCATTTTTGGCACTTTCATATGAATGTACATCTTTACTACGGTTATCGCATATTGACTTTGCATTTTCTAGTTCGGCGAATAACAGATTGAAATCCTCCATTGATTCTGATAGCTCATCGATTTGAGTTTGCAAGGTTGAGACTTTATCTTGTAAAGTTGGAATTTCATCTTCCAATTTCTTGCTATCATCCCAAATTGGCTTCAGTTCAAGCAAATCATTCTGTTTCGCCTGTAGCTTTGCAATCTTTGCTTTCTCTGACGGATCATTTAGCTGCATTTTTTGTACATCTGATTGAATCTGTAAATAATAAATTTAAAGGATGAAATAGAAAAAATAAATAAACGTCAACTACTACCCTTACTCAATCGAACAAACAAACAAACCTGCTTGATCAACTCCTGGGTTTCGCGTTTCGTGTCAATATCACGCTTGCAAAGTGGACAGCAATCACTACGTGACACATATAATTATAATTAATATATGTCCACCGTTACAAACTTGGGAAATGGATGTGTAGAAAATATGTGCATGCGGAACAAACCTTCTATTTAACTTTTGAATATATTTCTTGTACAAATAAATGCCTGCCTCAGCGTAGTAATTATCTTTTTGAGATGTCTCTAAATCCTTTTTCACTTCCGTATACACTTCGTCATAGTCTCCATCTTCTAATAGATCAGCAATTTTTTCCTTGTAACCTGTAAAAATTTAACTTGACGTCATTGTAAATCAGCTGCCATTTGCGGTAGCTCATGTGTATTGTTTGATGAATTATAACATTAGCTATTCACTCAGCACGGACCTTCAAGCTGTTTTTCCTTCTTATCAAGGTCATTCTTGGCTCGTTTCAAATCCATTTGCAGAACCGTAGCCTTCTTTTCGTCTGCTCTCTGCTCATTTTTCTTTGCATATAACTCTTTAATCTACAAGTATTAAAATGATAAATTCCAAAATTATGCATCAAATTGTTGCAAGACTGTAGTCTGAAGGCAAATTCTACATACCACAGACTCTTTTTTCTTATCAAATGCGTCTTCTAAATCTTCCTCTGGAATTTCGCCAAGCAAAACCATCAAATCATTTTCCATTCGTCCCATGCTATATGTGTAAAACAAAAACATTATCAACTACTTGGTAACCAAAATAAACAATACATAGCAGGGCCATACATTTTGTTACATTCGTTCTTTTTTTGAATCTTCTGGTTGTTGTAAATTTCAATCTGATCCATCACACCTTTGTCCTTATTCAAGACATCAAAATCATCTTGTGCATCTGTGATCTGCTTGTCGAGTTCGTCAATTTCCTTGGACAAATTGGCAATGTCTGACTCATACTTATCTAAAGTACCGGAATCTTCAATCGAGCTTATTTCTCGTGCGACCTTGGCCTCCTCATACTCCAATGTCTCTAAAGAAGAATTTGAACCTTCAATAGCCCTGAGACGATGTCTAATATTGTCAATAGATGCAGTGTTGTCTCGAGTTTGCTTATTTTTCATTTCAATTTCAGTCTCAATTTTCGCCTTTTTCGATCTAACACAATAAAAATAAATAAATTATATTTTCAAAGTAAAAAAATGTTTTTATTCTCATGTAGTAAAATATTGTACATTGATCGACTTACCGGAGTTCATCGATATTCTTTTGCAATTCCCTTTCTTCATTGTCGTATTTTACCTTCAGTTTTGTGATCTCTGACTCTCGGACCCGGACGGCGGAAGCAAGTGCTTTTATCACAACGTCTGGCGCCAATGTTGACGGATCACCATCACAAATGTCAATGCATGAATCCATATTAGAAGAAAACGACATATCTTGAGAACCTTCTCTGAATCTTTTGACGAGTTTTACAATGTCAGAAATAAGAAAAATCATATCCTCCGTCCTCTCCTGATTGGCAATTTCTTCTTGCTGAAATTTTCCCTCCTCAATCAACAAGTGTTTCTGTTCATCAGTCATTTTTCGAAGCTCTTCCTCTTTTCCTCTGACATCATATTGTAGCTAAAATATATATAGAAACAACTCCATTTTAAATTAATTATTAATTATTGGGTGGACTAATTTGTGGGCAGATGGGACTAACCTGCTTCTGTTGCGAGATTTTATTCTCTTGCTCAGAATTAAACTCGGAGAGAGCCCGTTCAATAGAAGCAATGTCTCCACTGATTTCTTCTTTAATATTGGCCTTTATCTCAACAACTTGTTTCCGAAGAGTTTGCATTTTCCCTTCGGTGACTGAAACTTGATTTGAGATTTCAATATATTCAGTTTCCAACACTCGAAGTTGTTTCAATTTGACATCCATCTCCTTTAATTCCTTTTCGTGCTCAGCAATGTCATCCGCCAGCGTCTTCAACTCGGTCCGCTTTTTTTTCAAGTCACTCTTTTTTTGTCGAGCCAGTTCTCGGTTTTCAATCACATATACCAACTTCTCGTTCTCCGTCTTGGCACCTAAATAAAACCAGAATTAATACAGTATCACCGGACAGCCGACCACAATATCTTAGTATTTTTTGTGTATACGTTGTCCGAGTTCCCTGCTTTGCTTTTCTAGCTGGTCCAAGCACTTGATGTACATTGTGGTGTTGAAAATGGCATCAAATTTTTCTTTTACTTTCTTTCCCTCGTCGAGGGGCCAACACGAATCTTCTTGATGGCAAAGGATGACATTGTTCAGGATTGCCTCCGAAACTCCCATAATGCGACACATTTCGGTCTGCCAGGTAAATAATAGCCTCATTACTCATTAGTCAAAAGACGGCACAATAAAAAAATATAACATACTTTAACATCCGCGCATTTACTGCTAATTTCCTTCTCATCACCGTTTGGATCCACAATCCTAATGGTTGCGTCCAATTCTTTCTTTGTAAGGTTACCCGACTTGTCCTTCACTGCAACTTTTACTCGACGAGTAGTATGCACCCTATTTCCGCGACCATCGATCACTTCCAATTTGACGGCACCCATTGTCTGCATATCATGGTACCCAACCATTACCTCTGGAAGCCAACAAGTTGTTTATATATATATCTAATATGACATTTCTCACCTCGTATCCATTGGTAAGCTTAGGATCATTGACGAAGGAACTCCCTAATAAATGCACATTATAATCAACGCATGCTGAAAACACGAATATAACACTATTCAAACATCTTCTTTCATTGTATACCTTTGTTGCTGTTAGGGGGGAAAGCATTGGTAATGGCATACTTTAATGCCTCAATGATAGTCTAAAAATAATTTTCAACTAGTCATTCAACTTTTTAACAAATTTTTTGTGATAACCATATGAGCAACCTACTGTTTTTCCACTTCCATTTACTCCAAGAATGAGGGTCAATGGTGTTTGGAAATCAATCATTTGCGCCTTGTTGTCATTTGGATTGAAACTTCGAATCCCTAATTTGAATCGAAATTTTTAGTACATACTAGTTTAAAACATAAAACATATAGTAATTTAGCCTAACCTTGAATCGAAATTTTCTTTACGACCGACATTTTGGAATGATAGCTGCAGGCGACGACCCACTTTTACCAATCCCTCCCTACAAAATTATTCCACAAAAAGAACTGTTCGTTACAGCTCCACAAGAAAGTTTTAGGTGCAAAGAGGGTTGAGGTCTAACCTTCTGTACCACCTTTTTTTATTGCATTTTTGCACGTTTCAGAACATTCTAACACTTTCCGCAAATTTGTAGGACACACGGGTACGCAAATTTAACCTAACCAGCTCGCTTCGCTCGCTAAAAAAGAACGATACCCCAATACGGAGGGTAGAATTTCAACGAAAAAATTTTTCAGTTTTTTCAGTGAAGAAATAAGTAGGGTCTCCCAAGTTTGTAAAAAAGATCTGAAAAAGCGAAAAGCTAAAAAATCTGAAATCCGCTTTTTTCGCTCAATACTTGACTGTCCCGATTTTTTATCGCTTGAATACTCAGGAGCAGAGAATGGGTGGTCAAGAAACTTTGGAGTTTCTTTTAAAATTTAAATTTGCTTCATGTTGGATATGATAAAACAACTATCTAAGATCATGTAAATCCAAAAATTACCAAAATGGGATGAAAATAGGATTTTTGGCAAAGGTTTGAATGCGGTAGTTTTAGTGGTTGCAATGCTTTTCAGGGGGTGTGGCGGGCGCAGGTGGGGCAATGGAATAAAATCCTCTCTCACTTTTCATACACTCACCTGATATTGCAATATATTCCATAGGGCATCAAAATCGGGCGATGTCCCCTTAAACATGTCTCTGAGAGACTGATTTTTCACTCAAAGTAGTAAAAAGAGCGAAAAAATCATCTTAAAGTAGATTTTATTTTTGAGCAGAAAAAGCGGAAAAAAGATCGGAATCGCATGCGCAGTGCGGTTTACAAAAAGAGCGAAAAAATCGTGAGCGGAAAAAGCGATTTTTTTTACAAAGTTGGGACACCCTAGTCTTAGAATGTTCTGAAACGCAAAAAACGCGAAAAAAAGATTGGTCCAGAAGGCTAGAATCATACCGCAAAGAGCAATGAATTATACTTACAAGAGACAAAACTCTACACTAGAAAACTCATTAAACTGGTAAGTTTGACCCGAAATTTCGATTTGAAATCTCAAACTACGTGACAATCGTTCGGTGACCGACCGGTAAATTTCACGCACGAGGGTTCAGATTTGACTCAAGCAAGAAACGTAGTGAAAGAACAATGACAATTCCACTCCGCCACGAATCCGGGGCACTCTGTTCCTCGGCTTCTAAATTACATGACTTTTATCATCAAATCACCCCACAAAATGCTGGACTCTGTACTACGTAATATTATCTGATGCACACGTTTACTACTTGTTTTTGTTATTGTCGTTTTCTGGTCGCGTCCACGCCACATTTTATTTAATGTAATAATACAGTTGCTCATTTCATGAGTAAACACGGCAAGTGGCTCATCCACCAATTTTGCAGTATCTTTCCACCCTACCCTCATTTGGGCCGGAAATGGCAACAAGAGTCGAGCTCGGCCTTTCCCACACCCCAAAATTGTGTCAAGTAAACAAGTTGCGATGTATGGAGAGCCCCTGTAGAGAGAATTGCATCACGACCTTCGCGAAATTTTTGAGCGTGCAACGCAATTTATCCGTTTGCTTGAATTGCAGTAGTGAGTTGAGCCCAGCTTGAGCAAAAAGCTATGAAAAATAGAAACCTGTTTTCGAACCCAGTGGGTGGGGTTGCGCTTGCAATATTGCACATCAGTTGGATCACTTGAACGATCACTTCACACTTGTGTTGTGGGTGATGAAACATATTTTACAAATGGATTGTTCTTGTGCGTACGTGTGTGTACGATTGACTAAGTGTTGAATTTGCTTTACAAGTTTTTTTTAAATTGGTTTGATTCTTGTTTTATAAAAGTAAGAATAAAATAAGTAAGATGATTGGGGCAATGAAAAGGAAGGCGAGTTTGAGTTTGAGCGAGTCCTGCTCATCTCAGTCCCCTCAATCGCTAAACTGTCACGACACTTATCATCCAAGTAGCAATAGTAGTGGAGGGAGTGGGTGTGGTTTGGATAATATGGAAAACAAGAAACCCTACTTGACAGTACTGGGTGGTGGTAGTGGACCTATCATGTCCACGTCTGCATCCGCCCATGGACCCAAACCGGAGAAAAGGATACGGTATTGAAAAATCTTAGGCTCTACAAAAACGACTATTTTTTTGTACTAAATACATTGTTCGCTCTAGCTGGGATGGTCCGAGAACACAAAGCTTAATTGAGCATTATCGAATGAACGAGTATCTCTGGAATCCAAAGTTAGCAGACTATAAGAATGACAAGAAAAGGACCCAGTGCCTAGAATTATGGCTGGAAGTGAATCACTTGGAGAAAGGTGAGGGTGAGAATGAGAATCGAGCGTTATTTCTTACAACATTATTACACTATGCACTAAATTTGGAAGACATTTATAAAGTAAAAAAAACAAGGCGTCTTATTTATTATTTATTGTTGTTGTATTAGAGCTTGTAAATGAAGTCAAAATGAAATTGCACGGCTTGAGAACATCTTTTGGACACCAATTGAAACTGGAGAGTTCAAATACCAGCGATATGGAAAAGGATGATGCAGGCGGATTCCAATCTAAATGGCAGTGGTACAACCAACTCTCTTTCCTTAAAGAGACGATGGTATTTCGATCAAGCTCTTCAAACAATAATCACAGCCCATCCGACTCTCCTCCTCCAAGCGGTATGGATCTTCATCATGCGCATCACGGAGGACATCACGATGAATCTGAATCAATCAAAATGGAGTTGAATGCACCACTTAACGTAAGACACTACCTAGGACATGATATATTTATATATGTGTATAGAGCTATACTCCCCATATAATTAATTAATTAATTAATTAACATTTTTGTACAGATGCAAGTGCTATCTTATTCACATCCTTCCCATCATTCTCAACCCCATGAGATACCAGAATACTTGGTGCAACAAGCACATCACCATTCCCAGCCTCAGCCGCACAATTTATCCGTTTCTGCGGTTCCGGTCCCCATGCAAGCTCACGACCAGACACATCCATCATTACTGGCTCATTCAAGGAAAGATGAGGATGACCCCTTGTCTTATCATCACGGCAGGATAACAGCTACACCCCCAATGGCGCATATGAATTTGTCGTCTAGTCATAGCCAGCCTCCGAGTGTTGTACATCAGCAATCAGGTTTGTATAAAAAAATTAAATTAACCTTATCATTTTCAGTTGAGTTGATTGTAAAATAGTTTTACTTTTGTACAGAAATCACTCGATACCAAAGTGCTAGTAGTTGCTGCCCTTGTGCCTGCAACGAACGACCAAGATCCGCAGTTGGTGAAAAATTGGGACGCCTTGTTGAAGAAACTTTTAATAATTTACACCCCGAATACCAAGAAATAGCCAAAATTGAAATACAGCAGGTGCTTGGAAAATATTTGCAGAAACCAGTTCCGTAATTATGGATTGGACAAATTTACAATTTTATTGATGCACATGATTTTCTTATAATTCCGTCTGACTGAACACTTACCTAATTTGAATGGAATATTGTAAATATTTCAAGTATTCTTATATGAGGAAAGAACAACCCTGCTGTGAATTAAAGGTACAAACGGTGCGAGTACGTAATTATATGTAGACCTAGTACCTATAATAATAATGTGTTTATATTAATAGTATCTAATTTATGTGTAGTAGTATATATGTAATGTACGTGATGGAAGGGAAACGGAACAAACATTTTATATTATACTCACGCTTACTTGGTGTAAAGGAATTTTATCTTTGTATTTTTAAAAATATTTGAAGTAAAACAACATACATATAAATGAATTCTTACAAACTGATAACAACAATTCATAATAAATTTAAAATCGACGTCTTTTCAAAATGTCGGGTTTCCAGTCCACTGGATGCGATTCCTCTGTGGCTTCGTCATCTTCCTTATAAACTTTAATGGTTTTATCAGCTTCTGTAGTAATTAGCCTAGTTCCAGATAAGTCATAAGTCATTGAGAATATGCCAGCTTCTGAATCCATTGACCCAGGTTGAACTTGAGTTTGTATTCTTTGGAAATTGTAACCAGTCCGCCAATCCCAAAAATTAAGACTTCCATTGTCCGCTCCGGAAACCAAAACCCCATCCTAACGAATTACATTACATATAATACACGAATTACATATAATATATATATATATACATATATATATATATATATTATTAGAGTTATACATAAAAGAGCAAAACCTACAGTACAGACTTTTGATATAGCCCAAGCCAGTTATTTTCTTTGTCAAATGCATGCAAAATTTCAAGCCAATCGGATCTTGTCACAGAGGCAAACGGACATGCATGACAATTCCTAAGTTCTGGCTCGGGCTAAAAATAATAACTGCAGAATACTCTGTATGTTGCGTACACAGTACCTGATTAACGGCTAATGCATTAATGATAGCATTATGGCCAGAAAGATTTTGAATGAATTCTCCTTTGGGGCATTTCCACTGTTTAATGTTGTCCGTGGATGCGGAAGCAAACATGTATAAATCTGGGTGCATCGCAAGTGCTCTCACCTGGCAAAATTAACACATAATATATTTGACACATTAATCGTTAATGTACATTTGTACATGGGGATAAAAATCTTACAGATTTCTTGTGGTTGGTCAGGGTAGCCATTGATTTTCCAGAGGCCAAATCCCAGAGTCGAATGGTACTGTCATGAGATCCAGTGATAACTTGTGGTTCTACGGCCTGAGTTAAAACTGACGCCACAGTATTCGTGTGGCCGGACAACGTATGAATATTGGCCTTTGTTCGCATGTCCCATACTCGTCCCACACTGTCTCGACCCACCGTAATCAAGACGTCGATTGTAGGATGTAGGGATATTCCATACACAGCGCTCAAATGTCCATGATAGTGTCTGATAACCTAATAAAAATGTTTGAAATATTTATTGACCTAATGAAATAATATCGAGTGATCATCGTTCAACTAATTCAACTGAAGTATTTTAAGGGATAATAAAACCAAACAATGGAAATTGTTTACACACACCTTGTTATACTCCAGATCCCAGCATTTAACTTGTCGATCCTCACCACAGCTGAACAAATATGGGTGTCGGGGACTTACAACAAGACCTCGAACAGTGCTCACATGTCCAGTTAAAGACAACTTGAGTTTTCCACTAGCTAAATCCCAAATTTTAATAACACGATCTGCTGCTCCAGTGGCAAACCTATGGATCAGTCAAACTAAACGTTATCTATCCTCGAATACCGTAGAGATGTCTATATTGAGTACATTGAGTATACTGACTACAAACGATATTTGAATGATTATAAAAATTAATAATTGATTGAAACAAAAAATATTATTTATTATCTTCTTACCACTCATTCCCTGGTTCAACAGTGACGCAACGAACCCAACCAAGATGACCACTGATGACGCGATGAAGTTTCCAAGGCGGGTGCCACTTTGGTTTGGGCATTGAAGATAATTTCTTTTGAGAAACAAGAGACGTTGGCATCTTTCCTGTTGACGACGCTCCATCTAATCCAACAGGTAGCATTGCCTTGTTTTGCCTATACAATAAAATACACAGTAAAATCCATCTCAACGTAATCCTTAACGCATGTTATTGATATGCATGACTTGCATTGTACTTACGTAAAAAGTGCCAACGACGTGTCGCCGGATGACTTGACCGATCCATCAGCAGCCATTCCATCTTTATTGCTGACAAATCCTCCATTTTCATTATGGTGCATATCTGTAATCCCCTCCTGGGCCAACTCTCGTCTTTGCTTCTCAACTATTGCGATGACGGATCCATACTGATCTTTAGCTTTCACTGCTTTACATATTTTCTCTCTGCAAGAAAGGCGAACAACATTATTACTGGTTTATTGAATAAATATCCCAGATATTCATATGGACAATCGACGATGTCTACCGCTAATTAGTAAATAATAAGCACAGCTTCAACGAATATATATTTATTTAGTTATTTACTCACGCATTTTCTGAAACTGGAGGAAGCGCAGAGTGATCCGACAAAAACATGTCATGAGTTCTCTTCAAAGATCGGAATACAAGGGTATGCACGGAATGCTTTTGAACAGGAGGATCCTATATTGTATAATGAATATTGCAAGTTAATTAAAATTGTAGTGTCAATTTGACACTGGCAAATACTCAATATTTTCAACCAAAACTAACCTTTTCTCTTAAAGTTGATTCTGGTGCTTCATGTAACGGGGTCGAACCAGCATGTTCGGCAAATCCAATCATCCTGACACCTTGACTGGCGAGATTTCAAAATTAATTACGATTCAAAATAAATACTTTTAGTAAAGTTAAAATAGTCACTCAATTGCGAGACACGAAGCGTTTTAGATGCCGATTCACTCTGCATTTCGCGGCCACTGTCCACTCCGCCAACTTCATACATTTCACGTGCTGAGAATCCTCCCTCAATAACAATAAACAACAAAAATAAAATCATTGTGACAAGTTTATAATTGTGCCATTTAACTTACTTAGGTAACTAACTGTGAGTTAAACGGTTGAAACCTGGCATAGCTAATAGCTTGTACTTTAGCCTTGGGGAGGTGTGGCTCGAGAAAATTCCAATATGCATCCAGGAAAGCTGATAGTGGTGAGTGAATTTCCTAATAATTTCTAATTACAAATAATACTAACTTATTAAAATAAATAAAGTTATTGACTATGTTCTTTAGTAAAGAATTTTTTAGTTATTTTTTTACTAACTGGGGTTTGCTCATAATAAGAACGGAATAGCTTTTAATTGTCTAATTGATATGTTCTTATAGGGCAAGGCAAGCAAGACAAGGTCTATGATTATCGTGGGGACGGGTGGAATTCTGGCGTTTGGTGCAATTGGAATCTGGAGTGGAAACGAAAAGTTTTATCGCCAGTTTTTGAGTCCATTTTTTGCTAGCATGGATCCAGAAGTTTCCCATCGTGCCGCTGTTTTTGTGGCTAAGCACCATTTACTAAAGAATAGAAAATACAGTGATCCACAAATTCTGGTGATTAATCAAGGCGCACAATTAAAAGTTTCATTACTGAACTTGTGTTTCATTTTTGCGTCCTCTAGAAAACACGAATTGGATCTCTAAATCTTCCAAATCCTGTTGGAATGGCAGCTGGTTTCGATAAGAGTGCGGAATGTATGAGTGGTTTAGCTCGGATGGGGTTTGGTTGGATTGAAATCGGCAGCGTAACTCCACTCCCACAAGATGGAAATCCAAAACCAAGAGTGTTTAGACTCCAAGAGGATAGTGCTATAATTAATCGGTGTGCACTTTTTACTAAAAACACATTTCATCAACTTTTCTTCCCTAAGAATGTATTAATCTTATGATGTACATTTGTTTTGGCTATACGTAGGTATGGCTTCAACAATGAAGGTCATCGGCAAGTTCATGAGAGAGTATTAGAATTCAAGACAAAATACCCAAGCGTCATTGTAGGAGTTAATCTTGGTGCAAATAAAACATCGACTGACCGAATACAGGACTATTGCGAGGGGGTGAAAGTTTTTAGTGATGTGGCTGATTATTTAGTTATTAACATTTCATCTCCAAACACGCCCAATCTTCGTGAGCTGCAACAGGGTGATAATCTTTCTGATCTTCTTCAACGTGTTATTAAAGTTAGAAATAGTCAGAGTCGTTTAGTTCCATTGTTTCTGAAAGTGGCTCCGGATCTAAGTGAAGGTGATATGAAATCAATTTGCAATTGTGTATCACGGAAAGAAACTAGGGTGGACGGACTCATTGTTTCTAACACCACTACTAGCCGAGAGATATTAAAAACTGAATCTAACGTAAAATTGGAACCTGGTGGATTAAGTGGAGCGCCGCTAGAAAATATATCTACCGAATTGGTCGCCAAATTTTACAAGGAGTTACAAGGTTAAAGACCTACCTTATTATCTCGTATTTATAATCATGTTATTTATTAAATAAATAATAGTCACCCAAGTTAGTAGAAGTAAATCCTGCTTTCACAATTTAGGAGATATTCCAATAATTGGTGTTGGCGGAGTTTGCGATGGAGCTGGCGCATTCAGAAAAATTACGGCTGGAGCGTCTGCCATTCAATTATATACTGCATTGGCATTCAGTGGACCAGGCATTGTTGACAGAATTAAAACAGAGCTATCGACGGTATTAAGGTAACGTACATTTTGACTCTGTAGCAAAGCTCAGTGAATAACCTGTTGTATTATTTATTTTGTTCTTATTATAGATCAAATGGATTTGATTCAATCGAAGATGCCGTTGGTAGTTCGCCTAGAAAGGAGGCCGATAAAAAATAATAGTAATAATAATTAGTTGTAACGTGAAAAACTACAACAATGCACTGTCATTTTGGGAAACTTATTTGACTCAAGCTTTTGCCCTCCATCAACAGAATAAATAGAATGATTATTTTCACAAATTTTCAGATACAAAATGATCACTTTTTTTTGTAATTTTACTACGAAGTATTATTCTGATCTTTAGCAGCGGTCGACAACTTCCCAAGTATCATAGCTTCAAAATCAGCAAACGATGTTTCGGACGTTGGTCCAGAGGGAGGAGTAGGAAAACTCGAGGACGGCAGCTGAGGAGATGCTCTAATAGTTGGCGACGGCTTTGTAAAATAATTGCTGTTACTACTACTTCCAGTAGGCGAAGGTTTGCAAACCCACTCAAACTTCCATTGATATTCTTCCTTAACAGATTCAGATTCAAAAGCTTTCGTCGCTACGTCTCCATTTACAAATTCCACTAAAGCTGATCTCTTAATAACTATAATATTCGTCACTTCACCGTACTTTTGAAAAATATTCTTCAATTTCGCCTCATCTATCATGACAGATGAAGACCATTTTACTTTTAGCTTTGGTCTAACTTTTTGTCCTTCGTTATCAATAGCGTGAACATGGAGAAGCGTCATTTTGTCCTGCTGCTCTTTTATAATCTGTTGTCGGATCAACTCTTGCTCTTCCCTTAGTGCTCGTGATCCTTCTTTTTTGAGCCGGTCAATTTCTTTCTTCAACAGTTCTTCGTCCAAGGCTTGGGAATTACTCTCAAAACTTGCGGATTTGGCAGCTTCTGCAGATTCCTTTGCTTCTTTTTCTCTTCGTTCCAAGTCTTCCTTGAATTTTCTCCTCTTAGAGTCTAATTTCTTGATTCTTGCTTCGTTCACCTGTTTCGCCTTCCTTGTCTTGTCGTATGCTTCTCGGGCTTTGACATCAATCAGGATTTCGAGGGCGGAGGACAATTCCATAAACAGCTCGGCAGCTTTGGGGTTGTCGGGATTTTTGTCCGGGTGACATTTCAGGGCTTTCTTTCGGTAAGCACTCTTTAGTTCTGATTCTGTGGCTGTATCGGCAACCTCAAGCAGTTTGTACAGATCCTCTCTCCAGATTTTGGATTTCTTTGTATTCGACATTATTTTACTGTCCAATAGAGGTGACTGTTCACTGCTATAAAAGATTAAATTGTATAAGACATATGTAATGCAGGTTGAAGAATGAAATGAACGAACTTTATTTCAATTCAAACCTCAATCAACCCAGCAGATGTGGAGTAGAGTATTGTGTCTAAACGCTAAAAGAAAATATTCTGGCATATAAATTTTCAGCAAAGTACAAACGTACGACGAATTTACGAATCACAAACTGCACAAAAATCTACGAACGAATTTAATTGAAATCAAAACCTTGTATTGCGGTATGAATTTTGTAAATATTGGGGCATTTGAAGAAATCGATATCCTTTATCGATCCATGGACGCAGAGTTTATGGTATCCAGTTTTGTGCATTCGAATATTTTTGTATTTGTTCCTCTCAGCAGTTGACGGTTATTTAATTACACAACATAACCTTATGAATTGAAACCCATAAAACCAGATTTCCTTCACGATGCGGAAGCTAGTTAGATGTAAAATTGAGTTCGATCATGGATTCATGAAAGGAAGTGGAAGCGTTAAGCTGGTAGAATAACATTGAAATTCTGTTCTCTTGGTAAGATACAAATATCCAGGTATAGAAAACTTCAAAGGGGAGCTGAAGTTCATGCCAAGGAATTTTGATGAACTCGAATCAGCCTAGTCATTTTTTATTGCAGAATGAAGAAATAACACCTTAAGTATCAGTGATACTGTATCACTAGTATTTGAAGCCTTGAGCTAAAAGGTTTCATGAAGGAAGAGAACTAGAAATGGATAACACCAGCAATCTTAATGGCAATACCCCTTCTTCTGGTAGATTATATGAAGGAAAATACGCAACATATTTCTCTACCATGAATCCCTTGGCTGCTAGAATTTACGAAGACATAAACAAAGCCGAAGATAAGTGTCCAAACTTTGCCACATTGTCCTACGATGAAAAATGTTCAGTAATTGACAAACACTTGCTGTCACCTACTACAGAAAGAAACACCTCGCATACCACCGCACTTTTACTTTCAGTGTATCCCAAGACGCCAGTGGTTGAAAATTATTCAGATGATAGCAGCTCAAGCATTTTAACTGGCCGAGGGAACTCTGGACGGTTCAGTTCTTGCACCGAAAGTCAAATTGAATCATGCAACTTGACAAAATTGTTAAAAAGAGTGACGCTGTTGACTAAGAAAAAGCAATATGAGCGATCATCCATGAGCAAAAAGACAAAAGCTCCAGCCCCAAAACCTAACAACAATATAATGGTGTCCAAATCTAGTACAGAAAGTTTTTCGGATGAAATTTTAACCACAACAAATCATTTCAAGTCCACCAACGACAGTGAAATCTGGCATCATATGAATGACAATAATAGAGAAAATAATTTAAAGTGTTTGGTTTCCTCTACAATGACTAATACGAAGTACTCTAATAATGAGCCTGTTGTTTCACATAAATTTTTAACAAGAGCAGAAACTCATGATAAGGATGATGAGGATCGATTACCACAACAGAAACAAAACTCTGACCTCATTGCAGAACTTCAAGCAAAGTTGAAACGCAAAGACTGCGGAGATCAAGGAGGGCCTGGAAAGGTTTGCAACTAAACAAAAAGAAACGTTTATTGCAACCATATAATAGCTTTTCTCATAGCATTATTTATTGATAATATGCTTTCAGCATCACGTTCTGAAACCCAAGGCGCCACCCCCACCACCGCCTTCACAGAAAGTGGCTAATACTGGAAACGTAACGTCATCAAGAGAAACGGATAAGAGTTTTAAGAAACCATTGGAAGCTCAAGATGAGTTTGTTGTGGACGTATCCAGTCCATGCCGGATTGTGAGATTATTTATTTTCAAATTAAATATGTCTATAAATCTTTTTAAAACGCTGACAAATTAATTGTTCATAGGCCACTCCCAAAACTGGATTTGACTTTTTGGACAACTGGTAGATTATGAACATTGATCATCATTGATTGCTGTGGGTCAAGTCATCAACGTTCATACATATTATTATGTATTAGTATTTGTTAATTTATTTTAATATGTTTATGTAAAAACTGCTGTATAAAGCATAAAGCCAATAACAATGTTTTCACTTTTTTAACAATAAAAAATCTGCATATTTCGAACCCTTATTCAGTCCAAATAAGTTTCATAATCAACGCATGAAAAACTCAATGCACCCCAAGTGAGAACAAGATGAAAAGGAAATATTCCCAGCTGAGGGTTATTAGTGTCGACTAGGATTTTAGTTGGAAGAATTTATTTTTTTGTCCAAGCAAGATTATGGAAATTGAAACTTCAATTGAAGCTGCTTTCAATGAGGCAGCCTCACTTGTTGAATCTTCTGCAAGCAACAACAAGGGTACACATTTAGACGACAAATTGATGCTGCAGCTCTACGGTCTCTACAAAGTGGCCACTGTTGGGGAGTGCAAGGATCAGCAGCCAAGTATTCACTTTAATCTTAAATACCTGCCCACTTATTTTATTTTCGGAAAAAGGAGGATTGATTGATTAAAAGCTCTTTATTCAGGCATATTCAACATGAAGGCGAGGTGGAAATGGTCGGCTTGGAAGGAATTTTCCAGCCTCAGTAAACATGACGCCATGGTCAAGTACATTGAGGTCGTGAAGGAGTCATTTGGCTGGGAACCCAATTCCAATCATCATGCACAACAACGACCCCCTTCTTCCTCAAACGTTTTTATGATGGGCAATAGCGTGAGCTCCTTTGCAATTCCGTCGCCTGAGGAGGACGTGGACGAAGAATCCGATCCTGTGTTTGCATGGGCCAAAGATGGTGATCTTATCAAACTGAGGGGATGGCTGGAAAATAATGTGAATTTCAACGCATTTCAACTGTTATGACTATTGTAATTTATAATGCAAGTTGGCTTTTATTTTCTAACGCATAGTTCACTTTTTCTCTAGGTTTCAAAAATCAACAGCATAGCTGATTCCAATGGATTAAAACCGTTACATTGGGCATCTGACAGAGGGCATCTTTCCACTTGTCAACTTTTACTGAAGTTTGGAGCTAATCCTCACGTTGTGGACAATGACGGAATGACGCCTTTAGAGTATGCCGAAACATGCGACCATGCAGAAATTGTCGCTCTGTTAAGAGGAAACACGTTATGACCGCATCACACTCATGAAATTTTTTTAGCGATGATAAAAAATAAGTAAATTTAAGCTTTGAATTCAAGGAAATGAAACAAAATTCTGTAATTGTTCTTGTATGTTTTGCCAGACTTTTATTTAGAGCTTGTTTAATAATGTTTAATATCCGTCATACACATACATACATATAGTTGCTTGTGAGCTGAAGTACAAATCTATTAATGAGTACATATATATGATGAAGCACATTTTTTTGTGTAGAATATTATCTTAAATATTACAGAGTTATCTTTAGTATAGTTTAATTTAATGATATCACACCAGTCAGAAGAACCCCGAGTTTTATAGTACGATCAGTCTACAAATCCAGTTCTACTTTCAGAAGACATGTCTTTTGTTTGCTTGCATGTACGCACGTTCTTATTAGGCGTACAATGCACTAGCTCATAAAAAATCAACTCGTCGGTAATGATAACTGATAAATGTCAATATCACAGCACTATAGTCATCGTCATTATTATACTAATGAGAATCCTTCATTATGCTGGATTGCTTGTAACACCTTATACTTTAAGCGTTCTTTCGTCTGGTATTTTGGAAGGTCTAGAACTGGAAAAGTTACATAAATTGTGATCAATATTATTAGGTAATAATTATTAATATACATACTTATTGTACGTATGTGTGTAATTTGTTTACCATTGAAACATGTATGAGCGACTGGTAGATACCTCTCGTCACCGGTTGGTTGAATGCACATCTGCAATTATTATAATAATAATATTATTAATATGTATCAGCAAGTGTGCACATGTAAGGAAGGGCTGATAAGATTATAACTGTGCTACCTTCAATGTTTTCATCCCCAAAATAGGAATTCTATCACTTCCAGTCAAGAATAAGAGGAACTGTTTCTTTTCTGGCAAACTCATTTCGTGGAATACTTCCCAAAATAATTTAATAGTTGGGTCATCCACTTTGTACCCCCCTTTATACGTGCAATTTCGTTCAAGTTCCCCCCAATCGTAGTCTTCATTTCCAGTAACCTGAATGACAATAAAAATAAATTAATAAATTAATCAACCTTAACTAAACCCGTATTAATTCATTGAGATCTAAGATTGTCTGAAATCTTGAATGAAAGATACATTTTAGTTTTGTAAAATATTAGTCATGCGACCCAAGATGTCAATGGAGTAATCCATATAGTTTCTGAGAATGAAACTAGGCTATACACATATGTGTACAGGGTATGTATACTAACCATTGCTTGGAGTTCTTGAGCGTGGAATAGCTGCAACACAGTACTACCACAAACTCTTTGAAATCCTTGCTTAAAGGCTTCAAACCCCCTGCTGCATGAGTAAAATAAGAACATTGTTATTGAATTGATTGAAATCATCTTTTATTATTTCTACTCTCCTTCAAATGCAGTGGATTATACTATACCTGCATGAAACATGGAATATGTAGGACAAATACAGCTCCACAAATTCATTCTTGTTTTCCTGGGTCACAGTAATATTGGATCCACCAGGTTTCAACGGAACCGTTTTCATTTCTCCGAATTCTTCCCTTGTAATCTCAAAGTGAAGGGAGAAAACCTCTTCAAAATCTGCCTCTCTAAAATAGAAAACAAAATTATTATAAATTGGCAGACTAACTTAAAAGAGACAAGTGTAAAAAAAATAATGGCATGTCAATATACGTACTTGTACCCCTGGATTTGCTCCAACGATCGTCCTTCTACAAACAATTATTGCATTTTATGCAATTTAGGAGTGATATCTGTAGGGAAAGTGTATAAGATCAAGTGAAGATTAGCTAACCTGTAGGACATAGTTCTTTCAAGTCTTGTAAGTCTACTTTCTCCTCCAATAGTTTTTTGTACAACGCAACAGGAAAAGGAAGACTGATAATTGTGAAATTATAGATGGCCAACCCACATAGCAGGCCAATCAATAAATACATGACATCTTCTTCAAAGGACCCCTCATTGAACCACATTAGCCTGGACTCTTCAAAGTGCTTGAACATTCCATATTTTGGATCAAGAATTTCACGAATGAGTAGAAGGAAAAACTCCTTTTTCACTCCGCCAGCATCCTCAGCCTCTTCGCCAATGAACTTAATCTGTTGATACGTTAAACACATAAAATGTATAAAGAACAAACTTCTTTTTGGTTATATTACCGATAAAATAATTTTCAATTTACTAACCTTCAATGGCTTTTTCAGATCATGGGTATTAAGAGTGTAAATTTGGTTCAGTACATCATTCACTAGATTGTTTCTTGAAACGTTCAGTACCAAATATTGGGCTTCTTGGTGATCAGCAGAACTCGAAAACATTAAGCTACTTATCGATTGGTTCATTGCAGATTTCATTGCCGTCTGCATTTGAAGTATCTGATCAGTCTACCAATTCACAATAAGATGTAGGATTATTATGTAATGATTATTATTCTTAATGTTTTTACCAACATTCAAAAATAAAGTACCTGTAATAACAATGTTTTCGCTTGTGAATCAAAAACAAAAGGAAAGTCACAAAAATAAAAGACACGAGTCTGCGGTTTGCGTTGAAGCCAATTGAAATAATCCAGACGCACATCAACCTAAAGATAAGCATGACAAAAAATTGCAATCTTCAATAATATTCTCATTATCCAGTCGGCATTGTCACTCACCTTTGACGTTAACTGAGGTATAGCGAAAGTATGATATGATAACAGAGAAAATGTCCTATTCAAATTGTTGAGCAGGCTATATTTCATCAAAATATATAACATCAAGTGGCAATCCAAAATCGTATTATCATATAAATAATAATAACCTCACCTTACAAAACTGAGGCAAATTTTCAAGGCATGATCTTTCTGTTGAAAAAAAATGAGTTTGCGTTCATTATTCAATGCTAAGAGTAAAATATTTAATCTATGTGGTCCCGCTACCTATATTATCCTTGGAAGCTTTTGTTGTACTTTTAATTTACCTGATTTTGACTTTGATTCTTGTCATCCAGGATCGACACAATTGTTTTCTTATATACTGATATAAGTCGAACAACGTGATCCTTGGGGGAGAAGTATAACCATCTCACAACAACTGCCACTAATTGTGAGGATAAAGATTGCAGTCTGTCTGCATAAAAGATTGGAAGTAAAACATTGGAACCTGCACAAAATGTTAACGAGCATGAGACTTAATTTAATGTTTGACACAAGACAAAAAATATTATTATAGTTTTTTATTATTTAATGATCTTGCCTGCGTAAAAATTGGGTATGAGAGGAAGTAAGACATAAACTCTCAAAACTTCTACGTGTTTCAATTGATGAGGCAACTTTGGTAGCAATTCTGAAAATATCCATTGTTCAACATATTCCCGCAACCCCACAGATTTGATATTACTGAGCTTTGATAATACAGCTTCAGCCTAGGAAAAGTAATTATCATTTTAGTTTACATTTCTTATATTTATTTTTTACTACATGCTTCTTCTTTATAACAATAAGATATGTCATATAGCTATATCATATAGCCTATATGTACGAACCTCATAAAGATCAACACCCATGTTCTTCCCTGGAAAAATGGAAACAAAAAAATTTGTGAACTCGTTGCTATCAGTTGTGATGTGAATAGTTGTGATCGTTTTTTACAGTGTGAACTTAGATATTCATATAATTTAAATCATTGTGTGCGATCTCCTGTTAATTTGTAAACTTTTTGCCAACAATAGTAATATGGTCACTCACATGTGGATGGTATGTGTCTGTTATTGGTCATCAAAAATGAACCATTCCAAATACCCGGAGAAGCAAACACTGTTTCAGCTATTGTCATCAAGTCTTGATTAACAGGTTCCTCTGTAATACAATTAAGTAAATGTATGTATATAATTAAATTATCTGAATGGGATACAATTAACTGTAATTTGGTGGGAAACTCACCAGCAGAGCATATTTCCGTAATATTTCTGTTGGTTATTGTCATTATTTGTTGTCGTCCACCAAATTGACGATAGTCACAACTCTGCTGAACCACTCCATTTTCCTTAACTGATGCTGATGGAAGCCCGTGAATACTGACCATGACCATACTATGGTCACCTCCCGCATAAATACAGTCAACCACAAATGGCAATGAAGGCACCTTGGAAAATATTCAAATTTTTGGTTAAACACAGATTTTGATTATTTTTGTAGTTCTCGTTTCAATTTTCTGAACTTGTGTATACATAAAATGGCGTATTCTTATTCCCACTGGTAAATCCCAGCTGACCACTTGAATTCAACCCGAATGAGTACAGTTTATCATTTGTCCAGCATAGTGTATGGCACCTTCCACATGCTACTTGTGTTACACACTTCCCAAAGTCCAAGATTTTACGAGGTAACACTTCATTAGACGCGCCACCATGGCCCAACTAAGTCAAGATTAGTACATGTATACGTGCTGTTCTTACGAATAAACAATTCTATTAATAAAAAGCAACACTTACCTGACCATAAGCTCCACTTCCACAGGTGAAGACTCCACCATCCTATAAAGAAAACCAGTTAAGTCAAAAATGCGCTTGTATAGCAATACAATGCATATATTAAAAGAAGGATCAACTTGTGTAAGACAATTTATACTGATTGACTTACTTGAGTTAAGAAAGCAGAGTGTTCCGAGCCAGCCGTTATGTAACATACTCCTAATGACCTCAGGGTGGCTAGTTGAGTTGGTTGACATTTGTCGTCCGTGTCGCTGACTCCTGTAAAAATCAAAATGTTCAAAATAATCATTTTGAAATTTTATTACCTATTTCTATTAATTATTATGCAAAAACTAAATCAAAGAGAAAGTCTATGATACTCTAAAGTAAATACATGCAATATCATAAGGAGTGGGTTTCAAGCTCTGTTCGATGTCACATCAATCATTTCGATTCGTGGTTGGCTGACATAGTCTCCTTCGACTTTCTAATCGTAAGCTTGTTGGCATCATAAGAATTTTGATTCAAATGCGAAACATAAAAAATGCTAACCGAGTTGACCACATGAATTTTTGCCCCAGCCATAAACCGATCCAGACACGCTCAATGCGAAAGAATGAAATCCGCCTACGAGTTAAAATATTCCAATCAAACATTTGACCAATTAAACATTATTGCTGTAACGGTTGTTGTAATATTAATAAAACATACCAGCAGTTATTAATGCAGATGGGAATCCTATGAGCATTTCCACTAAACAAAATTTTGTTTGGCTTGGACCATTAGCATAACCCAAACCTAGCTGTCCATCTAATTAATGAGATATTCAGTTAATTAGTTTTAGAGTTAAACGCTGTATAAAAAGAATATATTAACTTAAGTCAAACTTACGGCTATTTGAACCGCAAGTGTATATCTCCCCAGCATTGGTGAGCACCTGGATGATGAGAATAACAGAATTAAAAAAAGAATAGTGGCTAGCAAATGGTCGACCTATAAAAATTTAAACGATGGTTATACCATGGAATGGAAGTATCCTGCAGCAACTTGCACCACAACCTATAGCCATTAAATATATGCAGTAACAATCACAGAATGCACTATAAGGATGTATTTTAGGGAATTAAGCCAATAAATCAATCTGTTAAGTGCCTTTGTGCTAAGTGATTTGACCATTCTTGGGCGACGTACTAATTTATCCTCCTTTTTCTCATTTTGAACTCCTAGTTGTCCTACAAAAGAATTATTTCTGGCTAATCTTGGTACAATACACAAAATAAAATACTACTCTGTCGTACCGTGGGAGTCGGAGCCCCAAGAAAACACTGTACCCCATTTGTCTACAGCAAGGTTATGCGCGAAACCAGCACTGATTTCTACGATAGGGCTGTGATCAAGACCTTCAACTTTTTCCGGTCTAGTCCTACCCTTGTCATGTCCAAGCTGACCATCTGTAAATTAGCGCGGCATCATAAATAACTTTCTCTAACATCCGCAATCACACACGCAAACGTAAGAATGTATTGGTAAATTTCCCTTACGGTCATTGCTCCCACAAGACCACAAAGTCCCATTGTCCAGTAGAAATATGGTATGAGATTCTCCACAAGATACTGAAACGACAAGAAATGCGTGTCATCCAATTTATTGACCTCTATATATGTCTTGAATTAATTCCTACTAGATTTGACGCATCCTCCTGTAGAAAAGTTCAGCCCCCTTGGTTCGCTAACGTGCTCCTCTTCTAGACCACCCAAGCCCAACTCCCCATTGACCGTGTTTCCCCAGCAAAATATGGTTGGGTTGTTGTAGGTAACTTTTTCAGAGTTGTCTTCCTCCATCATGACTGGTGAGACTGGTGATTTGTCCATTAAACCCTCAATGTTTTTCTGCAGAGTAAAGCTAACATTTGACAAATCTTCCATTAAAACGTCCTCCATCTTGGTGACATGATAATTGTTTAGGGTGGAGATGTTTCAGCAATCGTGTCACTCAATACTTCTGCTACCAGGGGTCCAGCTCCTTAAATTTTCCATAATAATTGCTAGTCAGTTTATGTAAAAGCACTTTGAATTTAGTCAATCTTATACACATTTACTATGTGTGTTTTTATCTGGTGCCAATAATAACGATAATAACAACAATAATAATAATTATTGCGAGAATAAAATTATTATTCTGGCACAACAAACTATTCAGAGTATTTCTACAGTTTCCTTGCCTCTCCATTCATTTCAAAGAACATCTATGTACCCAATTGGCCATTTTAATTATTTGAGTAGGACCCAATTTTGAGACTGATTCCATTGCATATTATTGATTGATTGTTATTCAACAAGCAACATATTAATACAGACATTACACATAAATTTTGACCAGCAACACGCCACACACTAATTCAGTTTCAAGTTTGTCGGATCTGCTCAACATAACAGAGGACAAATAAATTGTATGATGCGTAATTAGCAAACTGTACGGTAAGCCATACAACTTATAACACTTACCACAACACCCTACAAACTTTGAGGACCAGTTATGTTATTATTTGTCTCTTGTCTTCAATACTAAGAGTGCAATAGGCAATACACAATAGTGATCAGTCATAAACAAGGTTTTTGTCGCTTTGTCGTAGGTCAGGATGTACAGGGTATTAGAAGAACTCTCATTTTGCAACTTGAGCTTGACAAACTTTCCCAAAACGTAAATCTTATTTCATGTTTATCTAAATGACCAATAAGCTGACCAATCTCATCACCAATTTGGCTGGGAATATATAACTACTCACTCTGTCCTAGTCTCGCTACGAATTCCTAGTGTAAAAGTTCACTCGTCTGCTGAACTAAAACTATAGCACAACACTGCTTTGTAAATAAAATATCTGTTGCAAAAAATTGTGATAGAACATCATCAATCGAAGTTTGTGGATACTGCTGGAAGGATTTGAGAGATTCACTTTGTAATTGGAGCTCTCGACGACTGACTGAGTCCATCATCATTTCGTCCCACACTCAGCACGGTCGCATCCAACAATAATAACACGTCTCCCACACCTCACACCTGCCACCGTGTCGTATGTAGAAGCACTTGCAGAAAGTTATTTAATGGCAATTCAGCGATTTTGTCAAATTACTTGGTAATATATATATAAGTAAACTTGGTAAGCCTAATTGGTGCTAAAAAGGTCCATTGCATAAAAATTGCGTTTAAACCAAATGTGATGAGCGATTGAGTAATAACTGATCAGGCGAACTGTTAAAAACCCAACAATTTGGTAAAAAAGACGTGCATGCTAATTATTCTGTTACATCATTAGCAGAAAACGCTGTACATTGATTATCAAACTATAGATGATTAGGTTGCTAAAATGAGAAAAAGGGGACATGGTGTATGGGCGCAGTAGGGCAGTGGTTGGGTGCTGATTCTTCCTTGCTATTTGGATTTCCTCCGTCACAGATATTTATTAGTTTGCGAACTCTTTCCACGATATTTTTATGCAATTAACTAACTCGAGGTTAACTAACTTCTCATCAAGTCAACTACATAGTCTCTGCTACCACTGCTGTGTTTTATTAGTAAAAGAGGATTCTATAACGATAGAGCAGGGATTTCCTTTACTACATGATCAGAACAACAGTTGAGCAGGACATTTTGAATTTCTGAGTATTCTCATCTAATTTATTGTGTTACTCTCGGGATTTTATCTGTAAGTAACGGTTTGTGGTAGTGGTGATATATTTCACATTTTATATTTTAGAAATCCTTCTGATAAATACAAAAGACAGACGGAAACTAACACGTGTACCATGTCAGCAACAATTTCCAACTTTTGAAGGGTTTGTTTTTTATAGGTTGCAGAATACGAGTTATCCTGAACTAAGTAAGCTGTATTCATAACTTAAGACGACCAGGGTGAGACATTCCATCGGAATATTATTCAAAAATGGAAGGCAACAAAGATGAGGCAGAGAGATGCATTGACTACGCTCAACAAGCCTTCAATTACGGTGACAGAGCAAAAGCTGAAAAGTTTTTAAAGAAAGCAGAAAAATTATACCCCACACAAAAGGCGAAAGATTTATTGACGCTGTTGAACAAGTTGGAGGAAACAAATGCTTCGACTAATTCAAGTTCGGATGATGTGAGAAATAGAAGAGGTTCGAGTGCATCAACTCCAAGTAATTTCGTCAATAAACACATTAAGTTTCTATCTATTTATAATGTAATTTATACCCTTAAAGAATCTCCCCGAAAAGAATCTTCAGCGGGTGGTGATGCTAGTTCCTCCAGTAAATCCAGTGGACCTGAGTACACCCAAGAGCAACTAGCGGCTGTGAAAAAGTAAAGTGCATTTCAAAGTTTCAAACGCCGGTCATTTATTTACTATCAACCACGAAACAAATATATTTTCATAAATAGTGCAAAATTGCACAAAAGGTTAAAAAATCATTTTCTGATTTTCCAATAACAATTTTTTTTAATAAAAGGTCCAAATATAGATGTTAATATTTATATTTTCTAAACCCCTAAAATATTGAGAAAAAAATGAATTTTTTTTGGCAGTAGACACGACCATAAAATGCCCTGACAAGTTAGAACTCAATCGGGTGCAAATTGAAAGATTCGTTTAAAAAAATGAATAACCGGCCTTTGATACTAATTAATAATCTATATGAATGGTGATTCATGTCTAACGGTTCACTATTTTGTAGAATTAAAGGAGCAAAAGACTACTACGAAATCCTCGGGGTGTCTAAAGAAGCCACGGACACGGACTTGAAAAAGGCGTATAGAAAATTAGCTCTACAATTTCACCCAGATAAAAATAAGGTACAGGTTTTTTGATTTGCTGTAATGCACTGTATAATTTATTTCTATCAACGTTCCTTTACAGGCGCCAGGTGCTACAGAAGCGTTTAAAGGTATGTACCGTCACATCTTTTCATACAATGTTTTGTAGTGTGGATTAAACATTCATATCTTCCCTTGATCATCAGGTATCGGCAATGCCTTTGCGATTTTGAGTGATGCAGAAAAACGAAAACAGTATGATCTATACGGCGGTGAGGGGACTTCTCAGTCCCCATCTACTTCGCATAGACATTCTTCTGCTAACCAGTATGAATATGGCTATAGTCGTGGCTTTGAGAGTATGTGACCTGTTAACCAATTAACTTATGATATTGCTACTATAAAGTATAACATATATGCCTTTGAATACAGGTGACATGACTGCTGAAGAACTTTTCAACATGTTCTTTGGTGGTGGATTTCCTTCGCAGTCTGTATATACGCAAAATAATCGTCGCCGAACTCGATTCTACTATGCAAACTCTGGTCATAACCAAGAAAACGCTAACCAAGGGGAGGCCAACAATGTGACGGTTGCTCTACAAGTATTACCGATTCTATTCTTCATTCTTGTTACTCTGGTCTCGTCGTTTTTCGTCCAGGACCCTGCCTACTCACTAACTCGAACGCAAAAGTAAGTAATTTAGCATGGATTTTATAAATTGCATCTTTCCTTGAATTAATGTCTAAATGGACTTTGTATGTATTTTCTTAGATATAATGTAAAACGAGCGACTGGAGAACTGGAAGTGCCATACTATGTCAAGGAAACATTTGTTGCTGATTTTCAAGGCAATTTAAAACGACTAGAGGCTGGCATAGAAGAGGAATATATCTCCAACCTTCGTAATGAATGTTTCAAACAGCGAAACTACAAGGTACTAATTTAGTTAAAGTATCATTGCATTTGTACTAGACTGAGTAATTATGACGTTGTTTAAAACAACTAACTAACATGAAAATGTATGCTTTCCATTTTGGTATAGGAGCACTTAGTATGGAGAGCTAAAAACTTTGGGGATGAGAACATGCTAAATCAGGCACGAGATATGCAGTTATCGTCTTGCGATGCCCTCCACGGTCTTAGACAAAAAAATAGAATATACGGTTAATTTATATTGTTTATAACCTGCACATCAAAAGTAAAATAAGGCAATTACTCGAACAGTGTGTAATTATCTCGGATTTTATATATCTTCTTGTGAAAATTTTTACTGTATTCAATGCGTTTCTGTCAATCCGTATTTTCGTGCTGCTCCATGCGGGCGGGTGAGTGGGTGGTAGCTCCGAAAGGATTGCCTAATTTTGTTTACAGGGACACACTTTTTGTCGTAGTCCTTCTAGTCTTAATGTCTAGTAAGATGATGCGTATGTGTATAAATACGAGCGAATTAATCTTATGGTTTTACTTTATATTAAAAAATTTTACCCTCTTCATTTTCATCAATAGCAAACACGTTGCAAATACTCTTGCGATATATCGTAAGTATAAGTCATTTCATTTGTAATTTGTTTGAACTATGTATGAATCAGTCTCTGGTGAAAATGATGTCAAAATATATGTTCATAATTAAAATACATATATACGACGCAATTCCGCAAGTTTTTTGAGTTCCCGTCCACGCCACCCCCTCACTCGGATCCCTACACATTTCCGCCATGTAGTATGTAGCCGAAGAGACGAAACAACCTTTCGTAAATATGTTATACATTATACACCCCATGAAAAATGAACCCATTACAATGTAATAAGGATATGAACTGATTTATGGATTTGTGTTGTAAGAACCTATCTTATCGCATAGTAATAATATAATGTAATTCAATAAGTTATTCAAATGTACATATATTTGCCCTTGCTTATTCTTCTTCCAATGGATATATTATCTACCGTTAAAGGAATTCAATAAACCCTTTGTTTTCGCTATGTATAGTAAATATCCATCATCATCATTTATTAATATTCACCATACATATTCAGAGCAGTAATTGCATTATCATCATCATCAACATCATCAACATTATTTATTTCAGAGTTGTTTTTTAAAGCTATATACCATCAATAACCAACACAATATGTATATGTCGCTTTCGTTTTATATATAGTGTTTTCTCCCATCATCACCTTCATCAAATTTATTTTTCAAAATGCTCCTGTCAATAGATTTCAATAGTACTCAGCAATTCAAATTGAAGAAGAAATTGATTCTTGGAGTTGAGTATATCATACAAGTTAATTTTTATTTAATGAAGTATAACACTGACCAAAAAAACATGATACTTTATGTAAAGGGAGACAGTGTAAGAAATATACTTGATCCTCGATGTGAACTGATCATTATACAGATTATTATTGCATTTAGTTATAGAGTGCAAAGTGTAGTAGACGAGAAAGGGCTAATGCTTTCTCTTCTAATTTTAGCTGTTTTATATGAGAGTCACAATGGTGATGGTACTTTTTGATTTTTTTTTACTTCCTTTCTGAACGATTTTATAGCACATGTAAGGACGACGAAAGACACAACTAAATAAAGTCAAAGAGGGGGCAAAATTGGTTGATATTTAGGCTTCTGCCTCCGCATCTGGCTTCTTGTCCTTGGTCCACTCTGGTTTGACCTTGGCCCCTGCGAGCCCTGTAAAGCGTGAGAAATTAATTTTTCAAATATTTGACCTCCACCCCTAAATAAACCGTTGATAGAAATGTATGTATACCCTTCTCCGCCTCCTCCATGTCAAACTCCTTCTTCTTGGTCTGCTTCAGCTGGTTACGGAAGTTGAATTCGGCAGCCTGGATGTCCGATAATGTAATCAGTGGATTGGTAAGTACATTATTATAATAATTTGCGCATCATCTCCGGATTCAGAGTGAATGCACAATAAATACCAAAATGATGTAGTCTTAAATGATGTAGTATGTAATTAATTATTGCGTGCCTTCTTTTGGAGCTTGGCGAACTTGTTCTCGTACTTGGACACCTTCTTCAAGGTTGGCTTTACGCTGAAAGAGTAAAAATGAGACGCATTCAGCAGTGATAGAGAGGAAGCCGAGACCATTTACTGCTTACAATTTTCCACGCAGATCGTTGACTTGAATATTCAGCTCGTTGATCTATAACATCAGGCAACATGTTACTAAAGTATACAAAAAGAGTTATGTATTAAGTGTTGATTAGCATGTTAATGAGTTATCAGACACGGTGAGTTGAAGGCATTTGTTATTATTCTTGGAATTAGAGTCTAAATGTAAGAGAAGCAGAGGCAGGTTACTTAACACTCGAGTAAAAGTGAAAGCGTCTGGAAAGCAAGCACAAAGCTCAACAAATTTTGTGGAGAAAGAAAGGAGATGGAAAGAAACCAACCAAACACACCTCGTCGTTGCGTCGGCATTGATTTATCTCTCGTCTACAGTTACTGTTCTATATTTATTAGCACAAAATGATGACACCAACCAACCACATCTATGGCATGCAGTTTATAATCAATTTATTCTAGATAAATGAACATAAAAAGCAAAATTAATGAAGAATTGCAGTTTTTCGATAATACTTTCACCTGCGGACTAATAAATTGGTTCTCATTTCGTGATGACTTAAAATACCAATTAACTTTTTCATTAACTTATCGAGTTACCAAACCAATTGTTTATCACATACGTACTTGAAAGACTGGACAAACACCTCATTTATAGAGTTTAGCATAGTTTAGCTAATGCAGTAGAAATCGATTTGATGTTTTTTTGCAAACGATTTATAGTATGTTGTATGACTTGACGAAATAACAGATTGTTGAAAAAATGACTGACAATTGAAGACAAGTATGCGAAAACATGGAGCATTAGTATTTCGGACAAGAAATGATCGCTAAGTAAGTACTTAGGATTACGAAGTTATTTAGTTGAAAGACGTTGGAGAGAGTTGATGGTAGTACTATAGTCTAAGATGGATAAAGCCAATTTAAAAAATAATGTTTAATGTTTATCACTTGATTGAAGTGATCAAATTTTCAATTCTTGATAGCTCCTGAAAATTTGTACTAATTTTATTCTAGACATTAACAATAAAATTAGTGATACTAATTTGCTTGCATTTAATGTGTTCTATTCTAACAGTTTTAAAAATTAAACGAGCGAAAATTAAAAAAAAACTTATACGAGTAAAAGAATGTATTTGGTTTTAATCGTCAGCGTTGATTGTGATTGTATCAACATAAAAATACGCAAATTCACAAAAAAAAATCTCAAGAAATAAAAATAGTAAAAAAAGACACTACATTCTAATAAGCTAGCTTGCAGGGAGAAATTTACTTCTCAGTCTGATTCTATTAAACTTCGACCTTCATCATCACCATCCACGCTGTGGTTTTACTTTTTACTTGAGTCATTTCATGAAGTGATTTTCATGCAACAAAATTTATCCGGTGTGAATTTGTCATGAATCTGCGGATTTGGAATATGATATAGCCTATTATCCCTGACGATAGAGTGATTTCGAGCTGTAAACAGACCAAGCAACAGAGATGTTTAAAATAATACAATTATCACCAAAACCAGCCGAGATGGTAATAATGCTCCGTGTAAGCTAGCCTATTAGAATAAATTTTGAGTGTCGACATGTCTCGAGAGGGGTTGTCAAAAGCTGTGACCCCGTGTATCAGACGTCAATACCAGTACGTATCAAAGAATTTCGGATGGAAAGAGGGCAAATAATAACGATGGGGTTACAATAAAATCTGTGACCATCAAATGAAGACTCCACCACCATGAGCTGACACTCGAGCATTTTGGTGCAGAGTCATATTGTCGCAATTTGTGTAGCCAGCCAAGTACATCAGAAAACGTAATTAAAGTAACAGTACAGTAAATAAGAATGAAAGGTGATATTAAGCTCTACATACTATTGCACTAATAGGCATTATTATTGGGTAATTACTGTGTCTCATCATGGTTTAAGTATTTACATCGATCGCTACAGAAAACCTGAACGAGGGCACACAATTAAAACCATCAATAATTGGTCAACCATTTTCTACCCAAAAAAGAAAACAAACCTGCGAAGCAACAAGATGGATTATATAATAATAACAATTGTAAGAATAACGGGAATAATACGGAAAAGACGAACTCATCAACTCGAGAACATTATGCTTAGAAGTTGTACCAGTAAATAAATAATACAAGCCTAATACCATTAATATAATTATGCATTATTATTATGTCGCATAATCTCAAAATTTGCTATAAAAGCCCCAAATCACTCTTCGTCAGCTTTTTTAGACCACATACAGCTATTCAAAAATCTAGTAGAAAAATCCAAGTCTGACAAAGTAAAAAAATGTATAAAACTGTTCTATGTTTTTTTAGCAGCACTAGGGATTAAAAATTACAGCCGTTTATTACTTTTGTACTGTACAGACATAATTAAACGGAAAAGTGAGTGCGGGCAACCATTAGAAATTGGGCCACGGCAATTAGACAAGTTACCATCTTATAATAACAGAGAAATAGTATAGTAAAATAAGGTGGCTGTGAGAAATATATACCTCGTACTCTTTCCTTCGCACTGTAGGGAATACAAATGAAAAGGAAATGAGTGAAAGGGTTGCCTCGTTTTATTTCAAACAAAGAGATCCATATAAAATTAAGGAGACAATTAAATTAAAGGGGCATAATAGATATGTGACAAAGTACTCTCACAGGGTTTCGCCTACCTTCATATTCCAAATCCCATTTCTGAGACTCACATTGCGCTACACGTTCGAAGTACTGTTGAAGAAGTGCTCTAACATCGTCTGCGCATAATCAAATTGGATAATTCAATGGCGATAGTTCAATTACTTTCTCCTCATTGTTCAACAACCAATCACTGGTACAATTTATCCATGTTTATTCACCTCCTCTTTTTCTCTTTCTCCTTATTCATACTATGCATGGTACATAATGCACCATGTATGTGCGATAGATATGTGGAATGCATAGAGTATATACTTTGGTCAACCTGTCATGAAGTAAAAATCTCCCTGCAAACCTGCATCTTTGTCATATTGTTATTATCATTACTGAGACGTAGTTTGCGTGGGCATAAAACAAGCGATTTCAAAATGTCGGGGAAAACTGATAAGGATATCGACCACAATAGTCAGTCTTGCACATGAACTTATCATCATACCACCACGACATTCTGAATTTTCTACATCACTACCACGCTTTTGGTTGCGAGCTCTCAATCAAAAGTCAATCACGCTTTTTGTCAAAAATTGATATCATTTGAATCAGCTTAACTTAAAGAGGCATCTATATAATCGTGTTATGCTAATAAATAAATAAATAAATGAATAGTGGGCGCCAACTATACATTACTACATTATGTTGTTGTACAGCCTCTACTTTGCGACTTGCATGATAATGGAAATATAAGTAATACATTTTATGATTAATTATTTATAAAGAAAAACAGACTAATCATTCAGAGGATTCCTTGTCAGTCATATTTTACCTCGTAATCCTTGACTCGAGATTGCCACTCAAGGTCATACTTGTCTCCTTCTAATCTTAAAATTTTCGAATGGTACTCCCTGCAAACTGTCTGCAACTCCGCTAAAAATCATAGAGATAGTATCCATCTTTCAGCACAAAAAATGGCATCTCCTTAGGTCGTACACATCTTCTACTGTGATGCATATGTATACATATTACCTATTAGGCATTACGTATTTATTTGTGTACAACTTAACCATGCTATGCACATTAATCATAAGGTAGGTGTATACTCAAACTAGCGTGCAATGCGCGAATCGCTAGTCCCTTCACTACATTTATGGTACAACTTGGCAGGAGTGAGGAACGTGGGTCAGGTCAGGTCAGATGAACCGACCCTGACATGCATTTTACTATGAACAATGGTGGCAGGGTTTTCACTTTTCATTGCTGACATATTCTCATGCAGGAAATTATGGGGAAAGCAACAGAGTTGTAGAGTCAATAGAGTTTGATGATAGACGAAAAAGACACGTGTGTAAGTGGGGAAGAGAACAAGGGTCCAATCAATCTCAATCGCATAGGGACACGAACCACATTTTCAAGAAATCCTTATTTTTGCATTCCTGAGTCAAAGGGAAGGGGAATTATTCGGTAAAAAACTGAAACCACACCCTCGCTACGAAAGATATTGGAAGGGGCCAGAGAGCATTACTGGATACAATTATATTGGGTGGACACAAAGACCTACGTCGTATTCTTTTCTTAATGTGGCGTACTCCAGGTCCCATTTGATACTCTCCAACTCATCACACTTCGCCTTATACTCCTGCACGATCGACTTCAGATCGCCTAATAAATAGTCAACATAGGCGTAATACAGGAAATAATAATTAGAAGTAAGGATCGGCATTCTATTGTACTTCTTATGATGATACTTCTTATTATGATACGGTATCTATTGCAAATTTAATAATATATTCGACCCCGCAGTATTTCCATTCTTTCAACTCGAGCTCAACTTTCCATTCCTCCTTGCACAACTTCATATTATTATTAATTACATTTTGTCATGTATCAGTAGTATTATATATATATTGGTATGTCTGGAAGTGTGGGTGAAAGCAGTCTGGTGAATATGGTGTATTTAATTTAAATAAAAATATATGCAACTTATATCAAAAGAACGAAACAGTTTTTGATAACAACTCAAGTAAAAAAGCGACTACGAATAATTGAGCAACTAAATTGTTTTTTAAACTTGTCAACCAAAAAAATAATCAATCATTTCCAAATCATTCAAGACATTAAAATATTCTATGAAAGAACGAACGAACGAAAGAGGAGTGTAGTTTCAATTCAAGTATTAACCAATTCTACATATATACTTTTACTCTAATTACGCAACATAATTTGATATATAACTCATGCACTTGCAAAATAATCATGACTTAATTAGCAAGTGTTGTTGGTGTGCGACGGTGTGTATGGTTTTTGTGTAATTGTTTGTTGGTTTTTTATGGTTATTCTATGTTAAGTACTTTACTTTTAATTGTGATGAGTTAATAATAAGTGTGTGTAAATGGTGTTTGTGAATGTGTAAGAAAGTGGAGTTAGAAAAGGTGTACGTGTGTAGTATGTACGTGATGGCCAAAGGCTTTGGGTAGACCATCCCAAAGTAAGGTATATTGAGTAAAAGAATTAAATAAAATGTGCGAATGCATCCAAAGACATTCTCATTCCATAATTTTTTAGAGAGTGTAAATATATTTATATAGCGCTGTCAATCACGTATATCAAATACTCATCAACCTTTTGGTATTAATTCTATTTGAGAATATGTGGCGAAAAAATATTACAAGTTGAGTGAGTATTTGACTGACGGGATGAAGGAAAGTGGTGAAAGTGGAGATTATGTTTTGTCGTGCATTCGCCTTCTACAGCTATTATAGCAATCGAGCTAACACTGACCATGCTTGATTTATTGACATTGTGCAGCAAAGTGCTGCAGTTCTAACCTCAAAATCTTTTCGAGACACGGCAAATTCTGTCGAAAAACATGGAGGTGAATTTAATTAATGACCATCAAATTGCTATAATTAAGGATGCCCGGGTACCGGGTAATTAAATTTACCCAAATCGTATTTAGACTCTTCCAGCCCGGAAATTTTCTGGTGGTATGCCTCACATATTTTTCTCACTTGATCTGCGTGATTGATATTTTGCATAATAATAATAAAAATAATGGCAATACATAAAAGTCATGCAAGAGTGCAGATACATTCCTGGATTTTCCACATCTTCCATTTAAAATGCGAGTCGCCATTTTTTAAGAAATTTTATAAGGTAAAAAGGAAATCATGATGTCGGAAATGGCATCAACATTGAATTTAGGAGATTGCCCGTTACCTTCACTAGCGTCGTCCACGTTCTTGGGTTTCCCACAACGCTCCTCGATGATCCGCCTGTAATAAAATAATGTCCGAAATTTTGTCGACCTCTGACCCTTTTTGCTGTCTCTTTACCATGCATAAGTATGTATTCAATAATACTTACCTTCGCTCGGCGGCCTTACGTTCTTGCTCCTTCTTCAGCTCCTCGGCAGCCTTTTTACGCAGCAGGAGTCGGAGTTTCTTCTTCCTCTCCCTGAAAATGCAGAAAGATGCAACCATGTAGAACCATATGAAATTTCAATAGTAATAACTAACAATTTTTGAAACCGAGTACTTACGGGGTCATGAAACCCTTCTTCCCCTTCTTGGCGGCCGCCTGCTGCTCCAGACGAGCTCGTACCTCTGCCTTCTTGGCATCGATAACCGCCTGCTTCTTCTTGCGCTGTGTCAACCATTTGCATACCACAAACACTTAGAATTGCCTCCAGACAGAACACTTTTACCACGCGACTTATGAAGGATGTGCATGAGCATGACATAACATTTCCAGCTTCCGGGACGTATATGCACGTGTCCATTTCGATTGAGATGATTTTTAGATAATTTACTAGACGACTATTTTAAAACTCTAAGCATTTGAACGTATAAAGCTGAGCTAGTAATAGTATAATCTCATCATATAAAAATCGTACAAGATTGATGGTCTGAAAACATTTTCCCGAGGAAATAAACTACAAAGATAACCAACATGTAAATAAATAATAACTCGCATTGACAAGGAGCATGACGGAGTGTGGAATATTATTATTGAATTCTGTTTTACACATGTCGCAGTTGTGAGAGAGAGAAGGAGGATGAAGATATGGACCAACTACTTCCGCTACTACCACGCGAATATGTAGTAGCGTCTTGAAGAATGTTTGCTTGGTTCTCACTTGCTGTTACTGACGTTCTATATTTAGCCTGTATTTATCTCATCAACTGCCAAATGTCTGCAATTCTGCAGGAAAAATGATCTAATACGAGATGGAATGGAGGTGTAGGTTTAAATTAAAAATTGTTGACGGAAATTTTCACTACTAAATTTGAAGCTGTAAATTACTGCTCTGCTAAAACAGGGGGTCAATTGACGATAGTGAAAGGTTTCTCGTAAAATCATTAAATAAAGATTTTTTTTGTGAGCACGAAATTCTGAGATGACTAATCGTATTTACGCCGAACGGAAAATTCTTCTTAAAATTTCTACGAAGGTCACTGCTAATGTTACGTATGTATCTACACGAAACTTTTCTGAGCACTTTTGGGAATGTGAAAGCGTTGACAAGCAAATGGCTAGGAGTTTCTGAAATCAACAGAAAATGTGTCACACTTAAATTTTGCATTTATAAATAAATAAAAATCCGTTAACAAATGTAAAAAATTGCTTTCCACATAGAACATTTTGATTAGAGAAATAGTACATACTTTTAAATAATTAATCTGGAGAAAGTGGGTGAAACAAAAAAAGTTACACGAATATAAAATTGTGTGACTTACCTTACCTCGTCGTCCGCCATGGTTGTTATCGAAAGTGGATTCTAGGTCTAATTGATCACTCTCGAAATCAATCTGGTAAAATATATAGCACACCAGAATTAGCTCCTGCTCACGTATGTAGTTGAACTGTCGATAGGGAACTACGTGTGACTAATATTAACAAGCACCATACTTATTCTCAGAGAAAATAGAACGACTAATTATGTGAAGATGACAGTGGCGTTTGTGAGTGGTCAAAGTGTGGAGCTTGTTGCAACCATTGGTAAAACTTGGTGGGGGTGGTAAATTGGTAGGTGGGTGGGGTTGGACAACGAAGGGGAAACACTTACTTACCTATACTCCGCAAGAGAAGAAACTGGAAAGCAAAAGCAATGGCTGGGACGAGGACGGAAATGCAGACCGGGGGCAGAAATAGCACCACCACTATCTTCGCCTGCTCCTTATTTGGGTTGTACCACTTTCTATTTTTACCCAGCAGCTCATCCGCACAGCACACGTCGACTGAACGAAGATGAGATGCTCCGAATTTTAAAACAAGCCCAAATTAACCAACTTCCTTTGAAATGAATGTCTTCTATGCTTGCTCATTCCTGCAGAATTCTTGTACGGGAAAACGGGACGGAATTCAGGATGTGCGTGGTGTATGCATATCAATGCAAAAATTTTCGCCGACCGACCGTCCCCGATCTCTATTTTATACCAATCGCAGATAACTTTTTGCTCAAGATCTCAATGAAATTCTTGCGTGCTAGTAACTTAGTTTTTGTATCAGTCGGGGCGTGACATGTTTTGAATGGCTAACTTTAAACTGGTCTTTTCCATTTACAAATTGAGCAAGAAATGTTAGTTATTAAGTTTTCTATCCAGGAATTATTTTTTAACAGAAATTTTATTGTGTGTCGATTAATCCTGCACCCATTAACATAAAGTGTGACACGCACACAATGTAACAAACGAAACAGTAAATTCCATGTACACATGTGAAAAATATTTTTAATTTCCAACCATGTTTCTTCAGCGTAGAATTTATTCGTTAATATATATATGAGTAATAAATAATCAAACTTGTAAGCCAGATATTACAGAGGAAAAATAAGAGTTAAAATCCAATCGAAGTAGGAATTGGCCTAAATATTGACCGCTTTGGGGATTAATTGCTACCCCTTTCAGTAAATTAAGCAAGAGATCCATATGTCGCCGAAAATCGTTGGAATATTCCAAAATTTCTTCGGAAACCCCTTCATTGATTGGAATGTTCTTCACTTCAGACAATTCTAGACGCTTATTTATAAAGCTGACAAACTTGTTACAAACTTCAATGATTTCTTCCACAAAATGCCGCAGCTGAAAATATAATTTAAAAAACATTGGATACTTTATTAGATCACAGAAATATTTACAGACACAAAAACTTTTACCTGTTTCGAACTTCGAAAAGACTGATTCAAAATATTACTTTGGAATGTTGCATGTGCAACTCGAATTTGTTCAAAATTATCACTTTTTACAATTGCTTCAGACAATTTTGCAAACTGATATTCTAATACGTCTTCCTGCATATTAGTTTAAATAAAATTAGACTACACCCTTATGAAATTATTATTGTCCCACCAATGTTCATATTACCTGTAAAAAATGTTGCAGGTGGTCAATAAAATAACTCATAACGTTCCTCAATTCAGCAGGACCTTTAGGTATTGGGAATCTGAACACTTTCCTCGTATTTACCCACAATAAATTCAAGTCCAACTGCAAGCGACGAACTTGTAACAAAAATACAAACAATTCGTTGTATTTTTTAATTGATTCTTGAGTAAATAGGATATGCAAGGGCCACTCGTCTTCCATTTCCAATCTCATACTTGCAATACAAGAGGACAAGGATTTAATAACGATATCTAAAATATACATAATGATGTAATAGTAAATCATGCTCTCTGTATACGTAATTAAGACTAATAAAAATACCTGGAGGAGGTTTTACAGATATTTGTATGCGTTGAAATATTTCTTCTTGAACTTGAACTCTGCCCGCAGCCAAAACAAAAGCGGATGCCACATCTAGAAAATATATAGTTTTATGATAATTAAATCTACGTAGCAATTCAAAGTTCATTTCACTCGAAAATAAAATATAAGTTGACGCACCTGAGGCCAAAGCGTTTTTGGAGTACGAAATTCCTTTGAGATTCAAGAGAAAGTCATGAAACAACTCTCCTCGTCCCGTCAAATAAAAATCTTTAACGATCCCAAGGTGTTTTTGTAAATCAGTCTCGGTCACCACCAAGTGATGCAAATCCTATCGTACATACACAAACATAAAAACAGATAGAATTATTTATGTTAATGGTACCATTGCAGATAACTGGTTTTTGTTGCGTACCTTGCCAACTGCAGTCGCTAATTCTACAATAGCATCATCCAAGTCTTCAATCCGGAATGTATCTAAAGGCAAAGTGGTCATCCTTTTGGAAAATTCTTGCTGTTTTGAGTTCAAAGTCATCTTGGTTTCTACAAAAAAAGGCACGCAGTATTGATTATTAATTCTTTAACAAAAAAAGACATAGTATGTAATAATTGTGTTCACTTTCAGAGTTTCGAATTATTCCGATAGCATATCCAACAAATAATATTCTCTCAGTCAAAGGAACCGGAAAATGTGAAGGAACCACCGAAAAATTTACAATATATTTGCCATTTGTTTTATTTGTATCAAACTTTGGAGGTTTGAAAATTCCATCCACTTCTGTTTCAGAATTTGCTTTATTTTGAATGAAAAATTCTTCGCGAGGATCAAATAAGCTTCCAAACACGACCCAATTTGTGATCTGCTCATATAATGCTCTATTCACCCAAGGGAGCAATCTGATATATAGAAATATAACTAAATTGTAATTTATTACCGTACAATAACATTGTAATAATATATAACTTAAATTACTCACGGGCTTAATTCTTCCTGCAGTTGAATGTTCATGTCGTAATGTTTTTTGACGATTTCTACTATCACACCCGAACTTTTAGTTTGTGCTTCGACCTCCATGATAAGAGACAGGAGGACGAGGAAAAGTGGTCGAAAGGGTTCCAAGTATGCCCGAACATGTGTCATGGTCGTGTACGGGTCCTCCAAAATTAAGAGCTCCAACTTGGGCACCATTTTTAAGTACGTGTCCAAAATTTCTTGCAACCCATTACACAAAGAACTCACAAAAATTCCCGTGGGGCCTTGACCTTGAGCTTGGGATGACATTGAGACTGCAATACAATTTAGAATACATATTGCAGTCAACTTCATTAAGAAAGTCTTGTTAAAAATATTAAATAAGTTGCGTTGCACTCACCTTGTTCATAATTTTCTATAAATCTATCAATTTTTTTGTACATTGTGGCAATCTCGAGAATGTCGCTGATTATTTTAAATTCTGAAGAATGAAGGAAGGGGGCTTCAATTAATTCTTTAGCAATCTGTCCGCAAATAAAGAAATATAGCAAATAAATTCATAATTAAACACAACCATGTTTATTGTTGCGGTTTTCATAATGCAAAGTTTGCATACAGATGAATATATTATAATTTTACCTTAAAAGTGTCGCCATCAAGGTAAAAGGCACCTCCACCAAAGCCCCTGAGGGCAAATATAAGTTCGTGGAACATTTTGAAATACAATTCTAGCAATTAAATATTTAGCATCATGTTTTTTAATTATATTATTATTTATTAATTAATTTGATTTGTTATTCTCGCTCCGCTGTGGAGAGACCGCTGTAATATTTGATCCAATTGCGGGTTACGCTGGACATGTTACCATTGCGTTTTGTAATACATTAAATTTGATACATTGGGATCAGTATTATACGCAAATTAAATTATTAAATGATATGAACGGTCACCTCAAAACTACGATTGCAATTGTTTAATAAATTTGGTTGGTGATCATGATCATAATTTGACAATACCACATTACATGCATCGTTCAACATTTAGAGATTTTAAATATTTTAATAATTTCAGCACATTCCCTTTTGCGAGGTTTATTTCCATGCCGGAAGTGGAAGAGAATACCTACGCAATAATGAAATCTGATTAAGTTTCACAAATTTCAATTAATTAAGTACAAGTGTAAACTTTAATTACATGATGTTAGCCCATGGAATTTTTCCGGAAGTGTGCCAATCCAAGACGCGATTCTCGGTGTGTTCCAGCCAAAAGAACTTGATTGTTGGGATGGCCATCTGAAAATTGATGTATCACTAATTATATATATATGTTGGGTACGTATAGTGGACCCTGTTATACTTAGTATTAACATTATTAACTAACGTCACTCCAAACGGCTCGATTGTGCAGGATCCATTGCAGTTCCAACTCATTGTTCATGGACGTAGCAATTTTTTCCGCTTGTTTCAGGTGCTTGTCGGCTTCAACGTTTCTGGACCTGATTTTGTAGTAAAATGCCATCAAATGCAGATGCCTAGCTTTCATCACGGGTGCCACTTTGGTCGACTTTGTTACAGTTCGCATCAATTCCTTTGCAGCATTTCTTGCCTGGAATACAAAGATTTACATAGGTTCACATACATAATTTTTTTAATACACATCCACACAAGCGCTAAAATATTTGTAAACACTTGGTTTCGATACCTTAGCAAAATGCTGGTAACGCTTGCAATCCAAGTAATGATTAACAAAAATTAGTTGACACTCTAGCATTTTCAATTCGGCCGATGCACTAAGGAAAGTTGACAGTTTTGGACGATGGGACTCTGCAGCCGCCAGCCATTTTGTTGCCTGCTCCCACCTCGAGTAACGAGCATACCACTGGAAACAATTGAACGCATATTTCATTTACATATTTATCTTGGAATAATAATTAGCTAATTATTGTTATCGTTTTGCGTGAATTGAATTTATATGAATTTATATAATCTAAAGCGTGCGAATAAACGGTAAGGGTACTGGACTACTTACTACTGCCAAGGACGCCTCCATTGTAAACAACACTTCAAAGTCTCGATAAAGATTTCCTTCTGCCGACCAGTCGTTGCTGAGCACAAAATTTTCGCAAGCGGAAAATGATTCCAAAGGATAAGCGGTTTGGAGGAGAACTAAAGTAAATATCGCAAGAAAAACAATTGGTCAAATAATCCAAATACATAAAACTCGAAATTACTCACGGTCCAAACAAAGTGCATAGTATACGGCCATAGCTGTCCAGTCATCCTCCTCTTCCGCAATGTACCTGGATTAATATGGTTTTCAGATTTGAAACACAAATAAAAAAACTCTTAAATGAAATTTTTAAATGTACCAAAGTTTCTGAAGAGCTTCAACTAGCTCTGGAATTCGAAGCCCCATGAGCAATGTCATGGACAAGGAAGGAAGTAGGCGAACCATTAAACTGTTGTCATGAATCGTTTGAGCAATTCTCAACCCAAGATACGCGGCTGCAAAAATACATAAATGTATCTGTAAGTTGTTACTTATAATATTTTTATTTTATTAATCTTCGTATTTACAACGCTTTTGCTGATACAAAAACAAAAAACTTGATATTATATATTGTTTACTAACCTTCTGAGGCTTGGAAAATCTCTCCTCGACAAAGGCGACTGTAGGCAATTGCATGAAAAAGTCCCGCAGTGGTCAACAGTCCTGCGGGGTCCAGCTGCTCATTGCTGGTAGCGAATTCTTCTCGAATGATATCCAGACTCAACTTTTCATACTGTTTAGCATCAGGATGATTTGACATTGCCGTATGAGTTGCCATCATGTTGCAATAAGCGGGGATCAAGTCGTGCATAATGTCTCCGTAGCGTTCTGCCGTAACGACTTCCCAAATGCTGACAAGTAATGCCATGTCCAACTTCCTGTCTTGTTTAAAGATGGAATGAAGGTAGCTCAAAATTCTGAGTTTCTTTGTCCAAGTATCTTCTTCTGCTTGAGACTTGGCCCCATGAGAAAAACAACAAGACATGTAGCGAGATGTCCACAGCATTGACTTTGCTTTGAAGAGAGACGATTCTTTCATCATTTTGCTGTCGTTGTCAGGAGTTAATGTAAGTCCCAGCCGTGTCAAAGAGTGCAGAAAGAAATCTCGCGATTTTGCATACACACCAATCTCGAAGTATGCCAGGCCATTTAAATATTCGAGATGACCTTCAATTTCAGAATCGTCAAACTTGATGTCATCGGGATCTTCTTTGTCCGGTCGTGCCACACTCCCTGACTGAATAGATTTAAGGAGTCCTGCCGCATCCTGGGGATCGGATAATTAAATTGTATATTACGTAAACAATGATTAAATTATGAGACTACAAATTTTTGAGGTCAAAATTATTATTAAAATTGCAGTAATTGAGTTAAATTTATTTAGATATCAGGGCAAATTAACTACTTTCAAAAACCGAAAACGGTGACATGGGAAGAATGCAAGGATATAGTGCAGGTAAGTAAATGAATTCGGTCTAATATGTCCAGATGAGAAAAAACACTTGATGCTATGAAAATGGTGACGACCGAGGGTATTACTAGGTATATGTAACTTATGCTCAAAACCACGTTTCCAAGAAATGATACAAGGGAAGAAGTTGTGACTAAATTCTATTGCATCGCAAATAGCGTAGATATTAAAGGTGAAAGTAACTTGGTCTTTCCTATGCTCGATTTAGACCAAAATGATCGTTTTCTACTTTCACCCAGCCAAGCTTTTTTGAGACATTTTTGGATAGAAGCAGAGACTACTAGTGAAGTGAAGGATAGTAGTGAAGGATAAATTCTAAAGTATTGTAAGGTTTAGTTTTGTTTGTTATTTTAGCCTACAGTTTGTACTTTTAAAGTTTTTAACACAATTTTCAAATGAACGACTTTGAGTTAAATAAAAGAAATTTTGCTCACCTCGAGATGGACCAACCCTTGAGATCCGTTCCCAATTGTAATGACAGAATCTGCTGCTTCTAGCAAATTGACCATGCATTTTCCAAATTTTTGAGCTGAAAGAAATAAATATTTATCTACAAATGTATGATTAATAAAATTAATTAGTTTAGTTCAAAAGTATTTTGGGGGAATACTTCTAATTTTGTCCTGTCTAAAAATTGCAATTGAATCACAGTGAAAAATGACATTAATCACATATGCCCTATGTGCAGCGCTAAAACTAACCAAAGTTTCGACATGTGTGACCCCGTCCTTACGGTCACCGACCATTGCAGATCGAAACAACTTATATCAAAACATACACCTTGGAAAATACACCCCAATGGATTATAATTGTCCTAATAAATAACATTGACCAAAAATTTTTAAATTTCTTACCCTCTCGGTAATGTTTCACCATTTCGATGCATACTTTCGCCTGGATTGCGGAACATTCACATAGTCGAAGGTCGACATTGTCTTGAGAGCCTCGATCCACTGCTGTTGACTCACCCTCACCCTCGCCAGCACCAATTATTGGAGCTACCGTTTGAGAACCATGTGGGGGGACTTGTGTTGATCCTCCTTCACTGCCACCACCACCAATTTCATTTGCTTGCCCTGCGTCTCCACTGGCTTTCAAGTTGACCATGGCATGGTCATCAGAATCCCGCAAGAGATGCAGCTCCTCATTCAACTCGCGTTCGGCATCTTCCTTGGAAATATTGCGCACGCAACATTGGTTACTTCGTCGTTCTTGAACATCAATCTTCCTCAGCAATGTTAGTATCTCAAACTCAATTTGTGCAATTTTAGACCCATCATTCTGAAACCTGCGCTTCATCCCCGCGATTTGAGTTTGGAGTGAAGCCCTTCGTCGCCCCCGCTGTTGTTTCAACTGGGAATAACTAACGCCGGTTCTACCATCACTTTTCCGTCTGGCATTCACCGCAGCTCGGATTGCGTCCTCGCTATCCAGCACCCCCATGTCGTTGGACTTTAGAACGATTCCGTAAGCAAATGAACTGTTCGGACCGCCACAACTTTCACATCGTGCCACTCCTGAATCCAGATACTTGGCTGCTTTCAAGTGGAAGTCTTTCCTTTGATCCTTGCACACGTCAAAATCGAATATCACGTTTAAAATGTACAAATTAAATTTATAAACTGATAGTCATTATTGCTAAATTACCTCGGTCATGAGCCCATAGACTACTTCAGTTAGTGTCTCTTTAGCAAACTCCATGAATTTGCAACTAAGATATTTGGGACGTTTCATAATAATGTTTACAGCCTTAAATGATCTTGACCTTGTAGTCTGTACTGTATCAGCGTCTTTGTTCATAGTCGCGTCACCAGGTAATTCTTTGCAGAAACATTCTGGAATTAGGGTTTGGTCTTTTCCTGATGCTTTTGAATGAATTCCAGAAGCACATCGTAGGTAGCGTGCCTCCATCAATCGGTTAAACCCAGCTTCATACTTTTTCGAGTTTAGTTCGAAAAATGGGAGAATCCGAGTTACCATAAGTCTGCTGAACCTTCGTCCAAGAACAGACGCACACTTTAGAATGATTTGTTCATTAGAATTGAGTTCATCGTAAGAATCCAGCAGAATTTCATGCAGAGTTCCGTGAATTTGAATGTGACCAATATTGGTTCCAGACTTTACAACGAGGAGTCTTTTGGATGGATCAACCTCCTCAGTGGGTTGCGTGATTGGAAGAACAGCAAAGGACCCACGAGGACTCGGACCTGTTATATTTGCTTTGCTCACATTTGCTGAATAGTAGTCATCTTCGGATGCCCAAGCTTTTTGTGTTCGACGCTGCTTCGTATTATCAATCTTTTCCAAAGTTTGTTTATCCGCGTACACCATGACCGTTTTCTTTGCAGATGTGGAAATGTGGAGGACTCCAGTTCGCAGAAGTTCATGCAAAACTTGGTCACACCAGGCAGGTACGCCCTGAGATTTTGCCATTAGAATTTTCTCCAGGTCAGCCGGAATTGCTGATACCTCCATCATTTGGCAGGCTAGAGTTTTGCAATGTACAGGTTCCAGTCCATTTAGACGAACAACTTTCACATTCTTATTATGGTAAATTTGATTCGAAACTGAGTCTGGAATTTTTGCAGAACCAGCAGCATTTCTTCGCAGTGTTAAAAGACAGAAAACATGGGGAGTTTTAGACAATCCAAGTATGTAGTCCCACGACGGTTGCTGTATAATAAATAAATAGTAAATAATCACAGATAAAAAAATTTTCGTGTGCTTATCAAATTAATCAAAAGCATCTCACATCAAGGAAGTGGGCATCATCCACAGCAAGCACAATCAACTCATCGGGGTAAAATACTTTCAACAAAGCCGAGAGAACGTGCTGTCCATAGGTTTGTGTTGCAGCCGACTCCATATTGGCGTACTTTGGATTGAGGGGAAACTTGGTGTGTAAAATGTCATTAATTACACACAATTCGGCAGTAAGATCTGTTAATTGATTAAATTCATAGCAATCAATATGATGATAATAATGGCAGTCTATAATCAGTCTGCCGTGGTGTACGTGCTATATATGTGCACATGCATATGCACACATTGTATGTATAAAAATGAATATGTAATCTCGCCTGGTTCTTGTACTCTTTTTCTGAGATAATCTTCACGTTCAGATGAAGTACGAAATCCGCCGATGCCAATGGCATCCATGATGACAGAGCTGAGTCCAAACATTGTTTGTCCCTTCATCATGAGATTCATTCCGACAGAAAACACTTGGACATTATTTTGCTTTTCTGCTTCGGCCATGCATGCAGCAAGGACTCGAGTCTTGCCAATCCCATTTTCTCCTTCAAACACTACCATCCAAACACCTTTTGATATTGCAGTTTCCTTCGCCATCGTCGTTCCCTTCACTAGAGCCGACACCTTATTGTGATCCACCAATTCACGCTGAGTTTTCACAAGGATTTCTTTAAAAAACCGAAGTTCAAAGTCTCGTCCCACCCTAATCAGAGGATAAATATGCGTTGCATATTAGTATTTTGTGCATCTCGAATGTTGGAGAAAGTGCGTACATGGGATATGCAAACGTTGTGACCGAGTTATCCTCTTGAGTTTCAGAGTTGACAAACTCAAAGATTTTTCCAGGGTTAGCGATACCCTTGAGCTCCTTGTATTCTTGCAGCTCAAAGTTGGAGGATGCCAGTTTGGAGTGATACGCAGTGTCCTGATCACATGTCACCCTTGAGGGATAGTAGCACATGAGGCGTGCTGCCTTGTTAACTTTCCGACCCATTACCGTGTACTCTTGTCGCCGCGGGTGGCCCAAGACTCCAGAGTAGCAGGAACCGGTTGTGACCCCAATCGAGACCTCCTCTACACCCTGAATCCCAAGGAGATTCCGACGAGCCGCATGGCTGAATTTCAAAGCATGAGCACACTGTAAAATAATTATATTTATAAATATGTGCACATAGTACAAAATTTGCATCCTTATCATTTGATACGACTCATCATACATACATAACTATATTTTGAACGTATACCTGGTGTTCATTAATATATCCAGGCAAACCAAATACCACGAGGTACGTTAACCCTTTGTCGAACATGATAACTTTGGTCAACGCTCCCTGCATTCGTGTCACTCCGTTGTAAATCTTCACAAAGCATTTGTTCACAATTTGAGTCATCGCCTCACGAAAGGCTGTCCCTTCGCTTATCAACGGAACCGTGTCAATGTGGATGAAACAAATGCAAACCATGCGACTCTCATTAAGATATTCCAGAGGAATGTCATCATCAACTTTACGGAGAACAGGTGGAATGATAAATCTTCTCAAAAATTCCTCTGGCTTCGTTTCAATGGACTCGGAAATGATGGGTCTGATGAGTTCTGAACCACTGGGAGCTCTATCACCACTTTTCCCAGCATTACTCCGTTGAGGCCTTCCTGCAAGTCCAATTAAGTTGCAGAGTTTGATGGAAAATGTGAATTGCATTTAAAAAAATAAATATATGTTTATAAACATGACAAGATACCACGCTTTTCAAGGTTGATGAAAGTTATGATTTGTGACACAAGGCGATACGTTTCATCTCGAACGGTTGATTTATAAAAGGCCTGATTGCAGTGACTCCACGTGGATTCATGAAGCACTACCTCTCCAGAAGTGCAATGTTTTTCGCCAAGGGACGCCCCCTCGACACCAGGTCCAAAGGCGATGTAATGTTGATAACTGTCATTTCCAATTCCACAGAGGTGTACCGTTCCAGCCCCGATTCCAATCTTTACTCGAATCGTAATATCCACCTCTTTGCACAAGTATGAACCATACTTTTCTTGAATGTAGAGAGCACAATCAACCGCTCGTTGGACATCCTCAGCAAAATCTGCTGGATTTGTACTCCAGAAAGCAAGGAAAGCGTCTCCAGCGTACTTAACAATGTCCCCTTCACACAAGAGAATAGCTTCAGCAAGTGGTCCAATGTAGCTCTATAAGCATTAATATCTCTCTCGGTATATGTATGTAAGAATCAGGATCAGCTATACAGTCGCATTTTGTATTACCATTAGGGTTTTGGTCAACTGGTCAGTCCCACCCTTCCCCTTCAGGCTGTAAGCTTCGGTAAGGGCTATAGGAATTATTAAGAGATATATAATGAAGAACCTTCTTGCTGGTTTTATTGTTAGTTCCACCGGGTCTGACCCGTAATTTATATTTTCATATTATCAACAAACAAATAACGAATGACATAATTTTTTAATGATGAAAGTTGTCTCTTTTATAATTCATCTAAGAATCAATCATTTAATTGTCAATTGAACCTGTGAATCCAGAAACGTCCACCATGAACACGACAGCATCAGTGCTCCTTTGATATGGAATTTTTCGGGATGTTTCTTCTTTTAGGATAAAATCTGGTATGAAGGCAGCCAACTGGGTCAATTTTTTGACATTGGCTTGGTTCTTTTTCAACATTTCAATCTTGTTGACAACATAATTTTGCAGCTCTGCAACTCGAACTTGATTGTTCATAGAACTTTCTCCCATTGACCGAACATCGTGCATACTTCGTGGCTGAACATTTCCAAGTAGTCCAGATATTTTTCGCATAGTTTTGCTCGACTGAGATTTTATGGAGCCTTTGGACGCAATGTCTTGCACCATGATCTTCTGTCCCTGTATTGACCCTTGTCTCGTCCGTGAAGGAGGTCTGTCCTCCATAGCACCGCCCCCTCCGCTCGTCCTCACTGGCTTCGAGCTCATCGTAATTATATGTAAATAATTCTTGACACTCTGATTAGTTTTTATTATTATCTATTTTGTGGAGTCAAATATTTTTTGCAACATGATAATCATAAATTTTTCAAGTAATTATACTAGGAAAATTTGATATTACAATTAGATGCCATGGCATTGAATGCATAATCTATCGACTAAACTTCATCAAAGATGGAAGATCATCTAATTTCTCATCGAAAGATTTTTTTTTCATTTGTGTAGATTTTATTCGAAAGATCAGTTTAGCTGTGCAGCGTGAGAATACGGCATCAAACATGGAGCTGTTCCTATTCAAGAAATTCGAAGAATGGATTATGTTTTAAAAGATGTGTCAACTGCCAAATCGTAAAGGGCTGAATAGTGTTCTGGATTGTAAATTGTCCAGTTCAAGACAAAGGGATACTTTTATGGCTTTGTTGAATAAACGCTGTTTCACACATGTATAATTCACAAAAATAAATAATTCTAGTTGGAAACGAACGTGTGATTTATTGGCAACTGGGGAATGCGTGAACATTGTACGCACTTTGTACATATAATGCCATGTACATACATAGAAATTATGAATTTACAGTAACTTGCATCCCAACAAAATAAAAGTGCTAACAAGAGCGAGCAAGGTGTTAACGCTGGACAAAGTTCCACTCCCACTGTCGCCAGGAGGTGGGGGTGGAGGGGTGGCATTGGGATCCCTGGTTGTTGTCGTGACCACAGGCACCAGTGGTTTCCTCGTCGTTGTGGGTCGAAGGGTTCCTGGAGTGCCCGTAAACTCGTCGTCGTTTTCACATTTTTTGTCCGCATTTTCCTTCCAACCGTCAAGACACGCACAGCTTCCAATGGTTCCTGGGCCCACTGGGAAACAATCTGCATTCTCGGTACAAATTTTTCGTCCCAACGATGTCGCATCTGTGAGACAAAGTCCACCAACTAAACCAACGCAGGCCTGTTCTTCCTCGCTGAAGTATGCATCGTCGTCGCCTGTATTGCAAACACAGGTGCCCAGAAAGTCGGAAGAGCATCTTACCGTCCTGTCGTACTGTTCGCAGATGGTGGGTACTAAGAGTGACATGGGACTGCAAGATTGGTTATATTTTGCAACCTTGAATAGAGTAATTTGAAGCTGGACGGTCGAGACCTTTGCCAAAATGGCAATTGTCAAAATGGACAAGAGTGAAAGTTTCCTCATTCTATTCAACATAATAAAATAGTTGCATTTAGATTTAAAAATAATTTCTAAAATAATTATTATTTTAGAAAAATAAATTTAAATACCTGTTGGTTTCTAGATGAAATAGATAAGTTGGGTGCAATGATGAGCAGAAACTCTACTAATGTGTGTGACAGAATATTGATAATGATGATGATTTGATCAATTATTGTTTAATCTAAATATTGTCAACAATGCGACAGATTGGGATACGATAAGAAATCAATTCAACCAGATTTACATTCATAAACCATTGGGTATTTTCAGTGTTATTATTGGATTGGTTAACACCTGGATATCAATCGATAATTGGCTACGACAGGTGTGCATACTTTTATTAAATGGTCGAAATATTACTGTGATATCTTATCAATTTTGCATTGGGAGTACAATAGTTTGGCCAGAACACAAAGTCCTGAATGTAGTTTACATCATTTCTCGATGATAAATTTAAGATTCCATAACTTTTCATTCAATCACAAGGTTGGGAACCTCATCCACGACTTACCTATCTGCATACTTATGTACAGGGACCTACATATGTACATATGTTATGCGTTACGATTATGCATCTATTTCTTAAAATGTTCAGAAAAATTCCCCCTCTATCCGGATATATTAAATATCCGCATATGGGATCTATTCTGTATTTTTATGTATGTATATGCATTTATATAAAGAGGTTCATCCTTTTTCTTCAGGATTAATGGAAGACTCATCCTCATAAAGCTTAGTGTTTGCTTGATGCATGTACATTTATGAACTTGAGTACATTTCCATATTATTTGTATACAAAACTTATGCACACACAGATGCAACTCATCTTAAAAGACCTTTATATTCTTATTATGTTGTCTTTTTATTTGTCAGCCAGAGTAATCTTGTCTGTTTCCGGTATTCAGTCATTTCTTTCGGAGGCACTTTGAGGACTTGACCAACACATTACGTATGCTACATTTATGTATTGTTAATGGTGAAGATGCGAAAAATGTGGATGTGGACTGTGTTCCTGTTTTCATTCTCCTTCTGCTGATAACTCTGAAGACACACACAAGACCTTCACTCAAATGAGAGTGACCATCGGAATTTGCAGTATTAACCGTTTGCGAATTATTTGGATACTCTATTCCATACTTGCTATAAATATTAAATTTGCATATGGAAAATGCATCGTTCACATTATTATCGTATAATTTTAGTGATCTTTGCCCTCTGTGTGCAACGATTAGTGAGTCAATCAAGGTCAGGAGTATTTACGAAATCAGGAGTTCTCCCACAAATGCATCTTCCAAGATCGCTCCCACAGCTACAAACTCTGGGCAATGGAGAACCGAACTTTGTTAACCCATACTTATCTGGTAACTCGGAGTTGTATGGGCAGAACAGATTATTGCAACAACTCCCAAGCAGATTGGACAACCGGAACACAATTATGGACCCCTCGTTATTTGGGAGGGCTAAACCAAAATGCAACAAGAGAATTCGAATTGCGAATGGCGTTTCAAGATTCAGAGACAAAGGCAGCTTGGTGCGGTATGCATGCAGTCACGGGTTCATGTATGAAAATAATAAATAACCATTTATAATATTACCATAATTTACGAATTCTACAAATTATGCATTAGCCCGAGACGGGGCTTAAATATGTTGTGTCCGTCCGTCCGTCCAAGGCGACTGCAAAACTCAACAATTTGACTCGAAATTTGGAACATAGTGGTAGTGCACATTCATATGTGAATAGTTAGGAACTGAGGTCGGGCACGATCAGTCGGGAGGTTTATAAAAAGGTCGTTGATGTAGAATAGTCAGTCATATTTAAGTATAAACCCTCATTATTTTCGAAAATGGTCTTAGAAGGCTTAAATTTGGTACCAAGACTCAGGGTACATCCGATTTACCAATGTTTCAAAAATTTTTTGCCAGATGGATAGTGGATCTACACTGGTTTTAGTGGTTTTTAGCCCAAATATAAGTACGTCAGACTGACTGACTCAAGCGGTTAGCAAGTGGAGCCACCAATGTCAGCTGAAAAATTTTGTTTAAACTATCCTACATAGAAACTTATACTTTTGCATCAGGGTGCTGGACATGGAATCTACGAACATGAAATGAATGCAACTTCATGGAACTTTTTTGCAAAGTCGGAACACGGCGACCTACATAGATACATGGTTTTTGAAATTGATTAAAAAGGCAGTGCAATTTTGCGTGGTGAATGCGTAGGAAAATAACAAACAACAATGACGTCATTTCTGTAAAATGTTGAAAATATCAAGCTTGCACTGACTGGTTTTTTATCATTAGAGTGATAACAATATGTTTATTACGCTATAGATTACTTGGTACCACAATTGCAGTATGCTTGAGGGATCAATGGTCAGAACCCCCACCGATTTGTGTTAGTAAGTTTAAATAAACTTAGAATCAGAAATATTACGCGTGTATGTATACACATTTGATTACTTTGAACAAAAGGGCCAGGATGTCGCAGAGTTTTGGCTCCTCAGAATGGAGTTACACGTTTATCATTTTCAGGAGCAGGTTAAAAAAAATTGAAAAGCGTTAACATTGCAAAAATTTACGACTAATTTAAAACCATTCAATTTTTACAGTTGCAGATTTTCTGTGTAAAGATGGTCATGTCCTAGAAGGAAGCCCAGTGGTTTACTGTGATGGGCAACGATGGAATGATACAGAACCAATTTGTGCTCGTGAGTACTTATTTAACATGTAACAAACATCTTCTAGTCTCACGCAATTTAAGGTAAAGAATAAACTCATGAATAGCAATTCATCCCTTGACCACCACAACTGCAGCATATTGGGAATGGCCTCAGCCTAAACCTTTAAACGATAGTGAAATACAACTTTCTTCGGACGAGCAATTGGAATCATGGGATTATAACAATCCCAGCACAACTATTGGATGGTCTACCTCCAAAACGACTGAAAATCCTGACCTTGGAAAAGAAATCTCAGATACTAGTTTGCCAATTTCTCACCAACCAACCACCACTTTCCCTGATTTCCTACCCGTTAGAATAACAGAGACAACTGCAACACCTTCTAGTGTGTCAAATAGCACTGTTAGCCAATCCATATTACCCAGTTATGGTGCTGTTTCTAATGCTAATTTAACAACGACAAAGCTTATTTCTGACAGTACCACTGTAGCAAGTCTTCCGAACACGGAGCCTGCAACACTTCCAACAACAACTCTAAGCGATTCAACGACAGAGACCGCATTAATATCCGATGCCATTATTATCACTACTACTGAAATTGTGAAAACATCCAGTTCAACCGAATCCAACCTTCCCAGTGTTGAGGTCACCGTCACCGAAGAAAACTGGGAACCATTTCCGGACAATACGTTTGACAAATTCGACAAGGAGCTTGGTGTAGGAAGCTATGAGACAAGGGACCAAATTCCAGAATTTATTCAGCCTATTTCACCGCATAAGCTTGATGATGACCATGATGATCATTACACGAAATTAGCAACAATCTCAGTTGTGGGCGGTATTGTGTTGGGTGCGTTGGGAACATTGTTGCTTGTGGGTGGAGTGGCAACATATTGTTGGAGAAAAAACATTGGGATTGCAAGGCCACATGCAGGCGATATTGACGGGAGAACCCTTTCTGGAAGTGATGCAAATGATGACTTCATGTGGGTGGACTCCAACAGTAGGGGCCACAGAATGTCACGATTATAGATTGGTATACTGATTTTATATGTACATATGTGTGTAAACAACTTTACATACTATTGCCATTAAATACTTTTATTGATAATCGTGAATTCAAACTATAAATAAGACTTACTTGCATAACCTAGTTCCAGTATCATATAACGATATCATCATTAGTCCGATAACGATCCGCATACAACAGCATTACTCATATATTGCATGATTCAAGCCGATAACAATTTCCCGATCAGTCACTATTATTAGTTAATCTTGAATCATCAACTTATTCTGATGATGACACCTGAACCCACTTACTCGACTAACTATATGCATTTTCGAATTCCGCACATTGTTCATCAGATCAGTGAACTTGAATAACCTGGAATTATTAGCTGTATCTAGAGAAAGGCAACCGGTTACTAAAACAAAAACACGATCTTAGTTCTTTTTATTTTATTTCATTTCTTATTGAAAAATCTTTAATAAATTTTTAAAATTCACGTTTTATTATTATTAATGTAAAATATAATGCGTATATATGTACATATGCATGTATGATGGAACTTAAATAAGGTCTCTTGGCATAGACAATATCAGTAACTCATTTAATTTGCTGCAATTCCTTCTTGTGAAATACATCAATCGTAGTGGAACGACAAGGCCTAAAGTCAAAATCAGTAAATCCTATATGAAATCTGTCCAATTGTTTGAAATAGTCAAGACCCCTGCCAATTTTTATGACCCATCCGTTATCTAGTCTGAAATACATTTGAAAGGCGGTACACGTACTTCAAATCTGTTCAAGCATTAACCAATCCTTCATTCAGTGTGCATATTATATAATTTACCTTATTTCTCTATCATGTAAAGAGTCGGAATATTCTATGAACAAGCGAACTTGGTCTTTATTAGATTTTTTAGAAATCTTTTGCAAAGAGTCTTGAATGGTTTCCAAACGTTTCACTTGATCTGTAGGGTTATTTCCATCTCTTCCAGTCACCAGTTTTACAACCCTTAATTTAGAACAGCTTTGTATGCAAAGTTCTAAAAATCTGACAAAATTATCACACTGAAAAAAATTGATGCGTTATTAAACTTTAAAAAAGTTTACGTCTAAAATTAACTCTTGATGACGCTAGTTCATACTTACTTGATGAGGGGATCGGACGTAAGGGTCGTCAATTTCTACAGATTTGACATCTTCATTCAAAAATCGATGAAGAACGGATCTGTATGAAAATCCAATACTATCCTCAGGTACTTGGATTTGTTCTCTATAGTTTCCAGTATTTTTTAACTCTTCAATGTGTTGCTTGACCTTCTCTGCCCGGGACATGTACTCTGAATTAACATTTTAATTAATATTAAAATAGTAAAAAAATTTAATAGTAAAATTCACAGAATGATATTTTATAACTAATAATGATATTTGTATTAATCCTCTTAAAATGGAATTAATTCTCACCTTCTGTCTTTAAACGGATCTTGTTCTTTTTTGGATCATCGTTCGGAACGGTTTTCAGAGTTTCAATCAGCACGTTGATTCCCTCCTGGTAGCAAACAAGGGATTCTGTGAAACGTTGATTCGTGTCCAGTGTCACCGCTCGAGTCAATATTGAGGTCGCCACAGAAAGACCGTCCATCATGTAAATTGTGGAAAAAACATGAATCTTCAACTAAAATATTGAGAATTCGATATTCATCATGTGGTGCTCCGTACTGATTTGCATTTATTGTACAGAGAACATGTACTAAGGGGCCGTGCAGAAAGTATGTCGTCGAGGTCAAAATATCCACCCCATATTAATCATAACATGGGTCATATGGGTCACACTCAAGAGGTCGGGGTCAAGGTTTCCCGAAAATAGGTCGCATGCTTTATGTACTGTCCCTGGCTGATTCATTTGCATTGAGACTGAGAGTTGCCCGCCATCCTCCTCAAATCATCCTTCACACGGCCAGTGTGTTCTGTCTGTGTGTTTGTCCAATTATACATACTTACCGGTTCTAGAATTATTAAAATTTCGGAAGTACTACGTGTTCATTACAATAAATTAGTGACAACAAATTCCTCAGAATGTCTAAAAATGATGGTATGGAGTTTTTTTGTTAACATTTAACTTACATTTATCAAATATCAAGGACACGATTGTGGTAATTAATTATGAATCTCTATTCCGATCCAGGCAAAGACTTGGTGGAAGATGGACTTTATATTGCTGCTTTTAAAAGAGTTTCAGAGGTAAGTTTCCGAGCTATCTACAATTAAATCAATATTATCCAATATTAACAATATCTCCCATCTGTTTAGCAATCCGCTGGAACAGTCCGATTTTTCGATACGGATGGGGATGGGGAAAAGTTTGTGGTTTACAACAATGATGCGAGATTAGCATCAAAAGAGCTTATCGGGAATATTTCAATTCGTACCTGTAAATATAAGATTGGAAATGAGGAAAAGGTTTTAGATTATGCATACATTCGTCGAAGCAACTTTGAAACCTTTGTTCGCGACCTGCTTCTCGTCCGACAGTATAGAGTTGAGGTTTTCATTAACGAATCGACAACAAAGGGGAGGATTGATTGGGTGCCAAAATATAAAGTAAGGAAAATTTATTATTGACTAAGTAATTAATAATTTAAGTAATAGAAAGTGCTACTGAAATTTAAATGTATATATGTATTTTTTAAGGCATCGCCTGGTAATTTAGCCCAGTTTGATGATATCCTCTTTAACAACAGTGGAACCGAGATGACTGTTAACAATGGTGTGATGGGAATTCGTATAGGAAATGTCGATAAAACCAAGGTAAGGGGTGTGGAGGAAGGGTACTGGTACAATCAGTTTGGCGAACATTGGTTTATTCATCAGAGACAAAGATGAATGGAATATACTATTTTATTTTGCAGACGGTTGGTGTGGCTCATGTTAACTTGAACGAATGTGAAATTCATTTACTTGAATTTGCTGACAACGATAGTTTAACCAATCTGGAGTCGGTGTTGATTTTACTTTCTCCTAAAGAAGCTGTTTTCCCTGTTGTAGCGTCTCAAGCTGGCGATGTTAACACCTTGCGAAAAGTACTAAGTTTCAAATAAATGATAAACTATTAATAATTTTATTAGTTTAGATTCTGTTACACAAGTTTAATTCAAATTAGATAATTGAGCGCAACCGTATCCTTATTAACGAGAAGAAGATTGGAGATTTTGACGACAAAGATATAGATCAGGATATGAAGAGGCTCTTACAGTTCACTAAGGGAAAACTACGAAATATCTCAACACTACCAGAGTTCGACAAGAAATTAGCAGTCTCAGCATTGGCTGGAACTATAAAATATTTGGAGGTACAGTGCGAGTTGTATTTTATACATGCTAGAATTTTTAAAATGAATAATTTCCGTAATGCTACAGCTCTTATCTGGAGAGTCTTATCAAAATCAGTTTCGAGTGGTTCCCTTTGATTTCGGTCTTTATGTAAAAATGGATTTAGCTGCATGCCGAGCCCTACATTTGTCCCTCAATAATTTGGAGAAGAATTCTAGAAACAATGTTAACTTACAGTCGACTATTGACCAGTGTCGCACTGCACAGGTAAATAGAGGATAGTCACAAGTGCTTAACAAACTATATGCAAGTTAGAATTATTCTGATAATTAGCTCCGTATGTGCCCTAATATATTTGCATATTTGCAGGGTCACCGTCTGATGGCTCAATATTTAAGACAGCCACTTGTTAGCAAAGAAAAATTAGAAGAGCGCTACGACTTGGTTCAAATTTTAATGGATGACATAATTTTAAGACAAACCCTTCGGGATGATCATTTGCGAAAAGTACCAGACTGCCAAACATTTGCGAGAAAGTTGTATAGAAAGAAATGTACCTTGCAAGATTATTACAAGTATTTTATTAATTATTACGTTGAAAAATATGTAGTTTATTTTGAAATAATACAAGTAATTATTTCATTCATTCCTTCATTCGTTAACTTTATACGTAAATTTTTAGATCTTACCTCTTTCTAACAACGATGGATAAAATGTTGGAAGACTTAAAAACACACGAAGGCGAAAAGCAACATGTATTGCAGTCCTGGTTTATCGATCCACTTACGACTTTGGACGAAGAGTTATCAAAATTTAAAGAGTTGATTCAAACAACATTGGATCTCGAAATGGCCGGTAAAGGCGAATATGTCGTTCAAGCTGATTTTGACGAATCTTTGTTAGGTAATCTATACATATGTATTATTTATTGGTTAATATTGATTTCGATTAATTTATAAATGGATTTTGCTATAGAGTTTAAAAATGAGATGGACAGTATTCAAACTGAGATGGGAGATCTGTTGTATAAAGTTGCAAAGGAACTCGGTCTTGAAGCCAATAAATCAGTCAAACTGGAATCTAATAGCCAAAATGGTTACTTTTTTCGTGTTACTCTGAAGGTCAGTTTGAGAGAAATTAGAGAGAAACCTACTAAACCAACCAAATTAAAAAGTTTCGCATTCATACTATAATATTATATTAGGAGGAGAAATCCATCAGGGGTAACAATAAATTTACAATGATTCGATCAACCAAGGGAGCTGTTGGATTTACAAATTCCAAGTTGATCCAGTTGTCTGATTCTTACATTGGCTACAGAAGTCAGTATGAATCTGAACAAAGAGGAATTGTTGCTGATATGGCAGGAGTGGCTGGTAATTTATTGAATAATTTCCGTACTCGATCTGGTCTATGGATATATATATATTAATTAAAGGTATATATATTAAATCATGTCATTTTATGCAGCTGACTATTACACATGCTTCGAACAACTGGGTCGTATACTTGCTGAGTTAGACGTCTTTACCAGTTTTGCTTTTTGCTCAGTCAACTCAACACTACCGTATGTTCGTCCGAAATTACTACCCAAAGGTACCGGTCGGATTCATTTTGAGGGTTTGAGACACCCATGTATTGAGTCTTTTGCTGATGTTAATTTCATCCCCAATGATGTGGATTTTGAGAAAGGTTGTGACTCTAGTTTTTGAAAAAAATAGCATGCAGAATGTTTTACATGTATTGTTTTATTTTATATCAAAGATAAACAAAATTTCTATATCCTCACTGGTCCAAATATGGGAGGAAAATCAACATTTTTAAGATCGGTCGGAATAGCTACCTTGTTAGCCCATGTTGGATGTTTCGTACCTGCCACCGCCGCTGAAGTATACAGCCTACTCTATTTGTTATACTAAATATTCTTATTACATAAATATACTTAACATACATAATTGAGGGTTTCGTGTAGGTTTCTATTGTCGATGCTATTTTGGCGAGGGTTGGAGCAAGCGACTCTTTGGATAAAGGGATTTCCACATTCATGGCAGAAATGATTGAAGCCTCCTATATTTTAAAGGTAATGTGTCACCATTAAAATAGTAGTTATTATGATTTCCATAAGTTTACACAACTATTGTCTATAATGATCAGCTCAGCTCGCCGATCTGATATCTAATCTCTACCAGAATCTTCTCTACATAAATCGAATATAATTATGATCCGTTTTGTTACAGACTGCAACACCAGATTCTCTCGTGATTATAGATGAGCTAGGTCGTGGTACGTCAACATACGATGGGTTTGGATTGTGCTGGGCGATTACAAAGTGAGACGATTACAAACTAAATTAAGATATTATTCTAGTATAACTTCTTGTTTGCTGTAATAGGTACTTGGCAAAAAATGTAGGATGTTACGGTATTCTTGCTACGCATTTCCATGAACTCACTGATTTGGCTGATGAGATTCTAACGGTGGCGAATTATCATGTTGCTGCTATTGCTACTGATGGGGGTCTCACGATGTTGTACAAAATTCAAAAAGGTGATTAAAGTTCAAATTGTCTTTGTAAGATAAAAGAATGATTCGTTCATTTTGTGTACATATAGTATGGTCGGTTAGGAAAGAAACCTTTGAAAAATGCCTGTAAAATCCGGAAAACTTAATTAATTCCAATGACACTTTTAAGGGTTAAGAACAAGGTCCTTATCGTTCAATTTTTTGCTTCATATGGTCCATAGACCCCCATCCTTCCTATCTGGCGAATTATTTGCCTCGCGGTCCCAAGAAGTGCTTTGCCACTCTTTCTCGCTACCACTTTTGAGGTGTGTGTCCAAATATGACGGAATCTTACCAAGTTTGTGGGTGGTTTTGTTCGACGACTATATTCTCTCTTGCATAATGCCCAAAATCGTTCAATTGGTCTTGCCTGAGGGACGTAGGGAGCATATTCCTTTTTTGCAACAAAATCGATTTTTTTCGACCGCAGGTAATCCTGAACAACTTTTGAAGAATGACATGTTGCTGTGTCCGGTCAGAAAAGTACATTACGATTATTGATAAAGGGCATCAAGATCTTCTTTACACACTCGTTCAGATATCTCTCCGATGTGATGGTGGCTGGGGTCACGAACGACTTTGAGACGTCCCCCAATGAGTCCAATTCTTGCCCCATTATGTGCTTTGTGGGGAATTTTGACTTCGGCGTGTATTTGAAGGAATCTTTAAACGTTTTTTTATTAGTACATGAGTAGTACTTCCTCCCAGGGACTTCATCTGGATCAATCGAGCACTTGGTCTCATCATCCATGACCAGAATCACAAGGATGTTTTGCTTAACTCATTTTTCAGCAATCTGCCGAAAGTTGGGCTTTGCTCTTTTTTGCTGACCTTGGTTGTACTTTGGTGCAGGGGTCGCCTTATAGGATTTGACCCCCAACTTCGTAGGTTTAATAACATGTAAACTTAATTTTGCTATTTTCAATTTGTAGCCCAAATTACCATCTGATATCCCAAGGTTATTTTTGTTTTCTTTCTGAACTCTACGTATCACTTTGGGGGTCGCTACACGAGCAGGACGATTTTTTAATTTTTTGAATTCAGCATTCCTGCTCTCCTCATACATATCTAAAACTCTGAAAATTGCACCATTATGAATTTTTTCTCATTCGAAGTGGCTATAAACCATTATCCGGACGCGCTCGCACACTTTTTCGTAGTAGTGGCAAATGTTTTTTGCGAGTTGTTCTCGATTTTTTGTTCTCATTTTTGGACTAGTCGAGATATCGACTTCCGGTTTTCGGATTTGGGTAGTTAATCGCATGGACTAGAAAACTTTCAACTCAGTGGCAATTTTCCTTTCATACGAATAAATATATTTTTCAAAGGTTTCTTTCCTAACCGACCATACCTTATGTTCATTTTGATCTAAATAGGACCCTGTGATAGAAGTTTTGGAATCCATGTTGCCAGGTAAAAACCTTATGTAGAATTTGTATTACTTTCTAATGATACGGGTAATTAATTTGTTATATAAAACATTTTCCTACGTATTTACAGTTATGTCGGATTCCCCAAGGATGTGCTCGATGTAAGTTCAAAAAATTTATAATTTTGAGTGTAAATATAAATCCCGTGGTATTACGATCTATAACAAATAAGTGTATTTCATTTCATACTTTATAAATGTTTATGTTAATAAAAATGATAATTAGTAGATAGTGAATGAATCTATAACAAACTAGTTATATTACAGGAGGCAAAACAAATGTCAAAGGTCTTGGAGGATTATTGCCAAGAAGAGGACACTGATGACAGTGAAGCTGCTGTAAAAAGGAGACGTGATAACAAAAACGTGAGAAACTTAATTATTTTGAAGCATTAAGTGAAGTTAGAGTTACAAGTGGTGGGATTTTGTATTAAATTAAATTAAGTGTGAAGATTTAACAAGCTGGTAACATATAAATTATTTCCAGGCGGGACAAAAGGTGGTTGACGAATTTATGGATGAAATCCGACAGTACTGTAAAGAGCAAGTTCCTGCTAACGGGACAATTACAGAAGAAGCGGAAGCAGCATTTCAGTCAAAGTTTCAAGAACTTTTACGAGAAGTCAAAGTAAAGGCTGCTGCAAATCCGTACCTACAACACCTTCTTCGTCAAGCTTCAGCTGAGGCGGACAAGAATAGGGTATCAAAAACCTGTGAATTAATGGATACTGACGATAATGAAGAAATGGACATTGGAGGACATACTGACGAAGAGAACTGGTACAATTAAAGTAAACGTCGTACTATTATATTTTTGTACTTCATTTTTATATTTCAGTAACTCAATGAATAAATGCTCAATGTCAAAAAAATATAGCGATTGAAAAAATTATTACATTTACATCTTTTTTCAGAATAGTTACAAAAACTGAAATTTTACATGCACGACTTGACTTACATACTTACACCACAATATACATAATGTAGAATTGTAGATCTTACATATGCATGCATATAATTTAAACCCAACGATATATACATACACTGATTTATAGATCGTACCTTGTCCAGGTTTCTCCAAAAGTTGTATTTTAAATCCACATGGTTATGATATTTAAAAAAGACTTCCAACAGATTTATAAATATCATTCCACAAGTCATAGTACTCGCCTCTTCTTGATGATTGTACATATGTATGTATGCGTGTGGAAGAATTTTAATATTTGAAGTCTCCTTCATGTAACTCGGGAGAAAGCCAGTTGCATACAAAATGATGAATGGATTCAATTGGTTGCGGGGGTTGACGATTTTGAATATCTAGGAGTAAATGTGTTTCTGTGAACTGAAAAATTGATGCTAAATACCAATCAAAGAACTCGTTTGGAAATGTTTAATCGTTGCAAGTGCAATTAATTTTCTACGGTCGAGCACTCTTTTTCTTTCTTTCTTAAATGCATATGTACATATACATCGTTTCGTTTTCGTGTGAAAGTCTCGTCTAGTGACCAACTTGTGTACTTTTAATTGAGTTCATCCGTTTGGTTGCACTATACCCTGAATATTTATTATTTATCCATACCTGAGAATAATCCCAGGATTGGGATTAATAATTCATCTCGTAATTCCCTTGGTTGTAATGAAGATACACACATGGCCGGAAAAAAGTATGAAACACATATCATTCCCTATTTCTGTCCTCTCCCAAGTCCCATACGTGCAGCATTTCGTACCTATTACATGTCAGCATAGTCAGTGTTGTGAAATCAGCTTATTGTTAACTGCTTGCCAAAGACGCAATTCGAAACACACGAATGACGTAGGAAGGAAAGGGTAATAAGATTTCTTTTCAAGAGTTCATTCTATAAAAGTGTTCACTTCATTCTTTCGTAGTTATTTTACATACACTCATCAAGTATTTTTTCTCTGGATGCCACGCTGTCCTGAGAAAACAAGCATGGAAAAGTAAAAGACAAAACACTCAACAAAAATCCAATGATACCAAACCAAAAGTTTTGTCGGCGAGAAGACGGTGAAGATCTCGTTGGCTGTTGTTGGGGTTAACTCTTACTGCTTTGCCCACTTTGTTCCAGTCCTTCGTCAGACTCTGACCCAAACGGATGTACAGTGAGAGAAAGCAAGACGTGTCATAGGATTCTAGTTTACTGGGGAAAGTGCGAAGCAGAAATGCTCATCAGCTTTTCATATCCTGCACCCCTTCCAGTTGTTTATCGCGTTAGAATCGTACAATTAAGGGAAATGTCAACAGGGTAGAACTAGAAACCGATATCCAAAACTTTGTTCAATAAGTGACTCGACAACATTCACGTATTTAAATTCATAGCAGCTATTAATGTATTGCTGTCCACAAAAATATTACGTTCAATCCAAATATATTACTAAATAAATTTACTGTGTACATTATCTAGTACTAAAAATCAAATAAATATTTGTTTCATTTGCCTACTTTCTTATAATCTATGTACTACTACATATGTCTGCTAAAAAAGAAAACTAGATACAACTATTGACATTAAATTTGTGTGCTTGTACGAAAATATAATGACGGACGTTCGTGATGGAAATGCGATTGTCCCAAACAAGACCAGAGTCATCATTATATACCCAACTGGTAAGTTTTTTGTTCGAAATATATTTTCTGTCAGTTCTCAAAAGATGCTAAAAACAATATCGGAGTATAAAGTCGCGTTTTCCCTTTATATAGACTGAGCATATTAAGTATCTAAAATTAGCACATGAAAAGATAGCATATAAACAGGAACAAAAACCGTTTGATCTAATTTATTTGACACGCTTTGTTAGTTTCAGTTAAAAGTGAACCCCTTTGTGATATTTCTAACTTTAAACTGACGTAGTGTGCCTTAAATTGGGCTGCCCATGGACATCGCTACATGGCCATGTCAGTTTTTATTGCCAGTGAAACGTACACTTTTACTTTCGCATGTTTGGCTTTTCAAAATCTTCAAAGCCAAGGTTGCAACCGAAGCAAGTACGACGACCGTCTGTGCGTGCATAGAAGTGTACAGTCATATATACACAGTCATATATAACTACATATGTGGTTACTGGTTAGGTTATACGATTGACGTGAATGACATTTGGGGGTCCGTGGCGCTTGTGGGCTTTCTTTTATCCATGAAAGGGTTGTTTGGATAGCCTTTTCAACTTTGATTTGGATATTTAAAGAAAATGGAAAAGGACCTTGTCAAAAAGACGTAAAGTTAAAAGTTATTTTGTGTGCAATCTCTTTTCACCCAGGGCTTGGAATGCATATACATTTATACATACCATACGTCCATCCATCCATCCATTCATACTGTATTAAAGAATTTCTGCTCCTCGAGAGAGCAAAAGTAGCAGTTAGCCATATAGTTATCCTTTCTTCTGAATTTCCAATCATTGATGGACCAACGTAAACTTCCATCGCCATTCATGTATATGTAACCTCCAACTTTCACCAACCAAAGCACTGCTTCTGCTAATGTGTATTGCAATAAAGTCTTGGACACTATATCAAACTATTGAGTTAGAAAGTACATTTTGACTCCTTTTGTCGATAGCCTTGTATCAGTACTTGCATTTTTTAACCCTCCTCGACCCTTGCGACCAAAATCCTTGTTTCGGTTCTTCGGAGAGAAAAATTTGTCGAGGAATTTCACTCCAATCCGTCCAAAAAGACAATAAAAGTTTCATGGAGGTCGCACTGCGGATACAATAGTGCTCTTTTTTTAACTCATCCACGCTCAATATCCTTTTCTATGTGCATTTCCTATTTTCTCCTTGAGTTGACCAATGGCGTTAGGAGTTTTTTTTGTAGTAGTAGACTGTATATGATGAGTATATGATGGATAGTTTCTGATGCAGTAGAGTGTGTATGTACATGCATGTGTATGCATGTCAAATGCGACGATTTGATGTGGTGAAACTCTTAGGCTACTACGAACATGTTTCGTCAATTCACAGGCTATAGTAGTGCTAACCAAAAATGGAATGAGTCAAACGAAGGAGTTCACTTGCCAGTTGCTGATAAGGGCCAAACTTTGAAACAGGAATAAAGTTGAAATGTTAAAAGTTGCTCATTGTACTTCTTTGCTGCTCATCGGTGAAGAAAGTCCGTCGTCGGTTTGGTAGTATGTATGTATATGCAGCAGTATCGTATGCCATACATGTGTACATATGCATGAACATATGTCATGGAGGATAATCGCGAGGACATAGAATATGCTTTAAGTTCTAATGGTCTATCAAAGAAGTAGAAAAATAATGCCATCATCACTTTCACTCATTTAGGCACACAGTGTTCATTAAAAGTCCAATAAAAACTAGTTAAAAGTTGGTAATGATGTGAGCTTTGTGCGCGAATTAGACTAACAATAAGGAGAACAAGTGAGTTGGTTCACTGGAAAGATTGATGACTTGAATTCCTTCAAGTATGCAGACACATAAAACTTTTTCCCCGTTCATTTAACTTTGTACCATTAATATGTAAATCCTACAAAATTTGCGTTTTTGGTCACCAGCAAAAATCATCTTTCCGAAATATTATAGGATTCGAAAATCTGAGTCATTTTGCCCCACAATCAGCTTTATTAAACATAAACGTTCAATGTTCCATATAACGCAAGCCATCTCCACTTTTGTGTGGTTCCTTCGTAATTGCTATATATACATATTACTGTGGAAGGGGTTCAATCATCATTTAAGAAGGAAATAAAACAAACGCCCTCCACTAAAACGATAATAACTCAACTTGGAGGCCACTGTGCTATTTGAATCCCCATTAGAAGGAGAGGGAGAAAGAAAGCATGGGATTGAAGGATGGAAACATCTTGCCTTGTTTTGCCTCAAAAGAAAAAAAACGCAGCCGGAATTTCACTTTGCGGTTTCGTTGAAGGAAATCGTAAGGTTACGTCATGCAGGTATTATCAGTGCACGTCGTCTGCTGGCCCTTGCTTTCCGTTTGCGTCAGTCAGTCAAGAGTGGTGTGTGGTTCGTTAGAAATAATAGGCTGGCATCAGGCCTTATTTCCTTCCTCCCATGCATTTGTCCCAATGGATAGCTAACCCATTTTTAAAATGTCAACGCAAAGCGTGTCCAGTGTCGAGGGACTTTGAGCATTTTTCAATTTCATTACCCCACCACACGAATCAATTCAGAGCAGGATCGGCGGATGAGAAGGACAACGACGAGAGGGTTTCTTGTCCACAAAGGCAGCAAAGTCCAATTCATTTTAAAGTGTCACAGATGGGAGTTCAATGTGGATTTTCAAATTGGTGACGCTTCATTCAATCTGAAATCCAATTTATTTAAATGACCATCGTCGTAGTCGGAATGTTGCTGAAAGGACCTTCATAGATTTTTTGAAATTAACTTTCACATGGAACAAGTTTTCTGTTGATGGTTCAATCAACCCACAAAGCAAAATCATTTTCCACTCTACTTTTAAAGTTTACAATTGGACACAATTCTTACACAATCTGTAGAAAATTGTAAACTATGTCGTAGCGTTTTCCTTAAATTTTTAAATCATATTTTGAAAAAAGTTTTCTGTAGCTTCAAATTACACAGAGTAATGATCAACTTAAACCCTACGTTTGATAAATTGTCACTCTTGTTAACCCAAAGAAGTTGTGAAGGAATCAGTTTAATGGAGAAAGTTGTTCAATATTTATTACCATCTCTGGGTGTCCATTGTGACCTGCAGGTGATCATAGCGAGAGCAAGAGTTGCATGGCCTATATGCAGCAGAGTGGGAACCTTGTCTGTCTTATTATTCGTTTGGTTTAGGTTTGGTTGACGACGGAGAAAGGATAATACGAAAATACGAATTACATGTATGAAAGAAACTTGCACTTTTGCCCGTGACCATCCACGACGCTCTTACACACAGTGATATTCACTACTTCACTACTTTGAGGAATAAGTCTGATGAAATGGAAAGATTCAAGAATCGTGGGTCAAGCTTTCTCTTTCCTCTTAGCTCGAAATTTCTCGGGGGATTGCATTCAATAGCAAATAGCCCATTTACTTTCTCCAGCAGTCCATTTCCGACTTTTGCTTGAGTTAGACTCGATTCACTGGATCGCTGGATGCGTTGGGGTTGACGATGACGGAGCTTAGGAGAAAGGTTTGTTGTTAACTAATGCCTTAAACTTATCGGTGTCATTATACTAGTGAAAGTTCGGCGTGTGTCTTCCCTCTTCTCGCTCTAAATCCAACGGGCCTCTATTGCTACCAAGAAATGGGGCTCATCCTCATGAGTGCCCATCGCTAAGAGAAATTTCGGATATTCTCCCAATTCCCACATGTATAATGTCATAAAGTGTCTCACTATTAGTGAGACATTTTGTGTACACTACATGTACCAAGGCTAGAATTGAGAAAATGACAAGTTGAGATTTATATTTGTTTAATTTCCATTACATCAATCCCATTTTTCCTGCAATTATTTTTAATGTTAGACATGTTAAGTTTTCTTCTTCATCCATAAATGTAATACATATTGTGTTCTTTTTTGCAATTTTCATTTTTTCACCCAAGACACAAATAAGTATTCATGATGATTAATTTCTAGGATTTAATTTATAGGTTGGGTATTAGTGTCGGTATATACACGCACGGTGTCCTAACGCTTGTTAAAAATCTACACCGCCCATTCGTTGTCTTGACAGAGAAAATTGTAAAAAATTGTTATATGAAAGATTTAAGGCTTAAGTGTACAGCAGATGTACACCAGTTGAGACGAGAGAGGTGCCAACTCGTCTCATTCGGGTGTACCTCTGCATTTTTCTCTCGCATGGGAGATGGGGCGGTAGGAGAAGCGGTGAGGTTCAAACTCTTCTCCTCGAAAATAAATAATAATAATAATAATTTATGATTTGGCTTCCTTTAATAATAATAATAATTAATAATAATATGTATCACAGTATCATCCTAAATTATATTTTAAGCTTCAGCTTCTAAAGTTCTAAGCCCAGCCAGCACTTATCCCCCATAATTTATTTCATTCACTAAAGCAGCAGCAAATACTCAATAAATGATGGACTGGTTGATTTGCAATTTGGAAAAGAGCGTGTTCGAACAGTGGACCTTCTGACGTTCCTGGACGAAGGCGTATTATTGTGTCACCCCCTTCAGCGTCAGCTCGTTCATCAAGATAATCTTGTACGGGTGGATTGCGTGTTTTTTCATAAATGATTCCACTGTGATAGGAAAGGTAGCAGAGAAGAGGAGAATTGTCTCTTCTTATGAGCTTATCCAGCATCAGATTAAAGTCTTGTGATAAGAACTTATCCGCCTCGTCCAAAACCAACATTTTGCACTGGTCCATCTTGCATACATTCTTCTCCATTAAATCGATGATTCTCCCTGGAGTCGCGATTATCACGTGACCTACGCCACAAAAAATTGTATTCAAATTAAAGACACATATTAGTTTACAACTAAATAAAATTGATAAGACACCAACTTTGCTGGAAGACCCGGATGATATCGTCATACAATCCAGTTCCTCCTGTTGTGACCACGACGAATTGGAGATGTTGGGCCAAATCGGTACAAATCTGGCTTACTTGTAGCGCCAGTTCTCTCGTAGGGACGACTATCAGACCCTGAATTGCATCTAAAGTGGGATCAATCCTTTCCAGGAGGGGAATAGAATACGCCCCCGTTTTTCCTGTTCCATTTTTTGCCCTGGCCAAAATATCCCGACCTGAGAGCGCCACGCTTCCCTCTTAAATTGGGGATGGTTTCATTGGTTTCTCCCATCCCATTTCGAAAATTCCCATCAAAAGCTCCCTCGTCAAACAAAAATCTTCAAATTCCTGCCCCACTCTATCCGTGACATCGCTAGTCCGCATCCTATTATCTTTTGGGGGTAGATTTAACTGCAGTTTCCAATCTCCTCCCCATCATTGTTATCCGAGGACAGCATCATTTTCGCTTTCAGAGCCGCCGCCAAATCCTCATCGACCTCCCCGTTATTTGTCACCACGGCTGTCGACATGTCGAAAAAACTTATTTTTACTTTCTATTCTTGCTTCTTGTTTCGATAACTTTAAAGTGGAAAACAAAACAAAAGTAGTTAAAACATATCCTCCAAATATGTTGTGAAACACGTACGCGAATTTGGGCGAAATGACGTGGTCTCCTCCAGTTGTGGAATTCTGGGGGATTATTTGTCGGTGCGAACTTTCCAACTACTGCTTTCCTCGTCGCAATTGTAAAAATTTATATATTTAATCCTATCTTTCCCTTCTTCCTCTTCAAGACTTTATTGTCAGCATGTGAATTCGCCTCAACCACCAAATTTTACCAACACCGGGGCATGATGAAACGATAAAACTACAGAGTTTTGCACAAAAGTTTCAAAATTGAAGCTATTACTATTTCGAATGACCTGTTGTTGGTGTCGTTGGATTCGTAAATTTATGCTTCGTACTGGGATGAACTCTCATCTAAGAAAAAAGGTCACACGGATGTGCGAGGACGATAATTCCCATATTTTATATCTTAATTTATTTCACATCCGCGTGACCTTTTTTCTTAGATGAGAGTTCATCCCAGTACGAAGCATAAATTTACGAATCCAACGACACCAACAACAGGTCATTCGAAATAGTAATAGCTTCAATTTTGAAACTTTTCTGAAAAAACATGCACTGTATGTTTAAGTGGAATGTGGCAATTCCTAACTTCCCCACTACAGCGCTCTACTCAAGTGTATACTTCCACTTTAAGGTGGTGACGAAGTGTTGAACGAGTATAGATTGGATTTTATGTGATTCCTTTTTATTCTTAAATAAACCGTTACAACGCATGTAACCAAGGGGTGAAAGGAGTGTCATACGTCAATGTGAATATCAAATTGTTCGAAAATTTGTTAAGATTGACACTTCTGACGTGTTTTCGACTTTTGTGTCTTATTTGTGTCAAATTTAACAGTTGATAACCCTTATGTGACCTTTATATGACCTCTGAGGTCAAAATGGAGGTCACCATTGAATTCGGGGTTAAATTTCAGTTGAAATTGAAATAGATATGTCCTATGACCTTTACATGACCTCTGAGGTCAAAATGGAGGTCACCATTGAATTTGACATTGAAAAATAGTTAAAAATGATGTGTCACATGTCAAAACTGACAAGTGACACTTTTTCGTCACTTTTCGTCACTGTGACGATGTCATCGTCACAGGTGACGTCCAAACACAAAATGACCTGAATTTTCGAATTCCTCGTTGAAAATTAGTTAAAAATGATGTGTCACATGCCAAAACTGACAAGTGACACTTTTTCGTCACTTTTCGTCACCGTGACGATGTCATCGTCACAGGTGACGTCCAACCGCAAAATGACCTGAATTTTCGAATTCCTCATTGAAAAATAGTTAAAAATGATGTGTCACATGTCAAAACTGACACGTGACACTTTTTCGTCACTTTTCGTCACTGTGACGATGTCATCGTCACAGGTGACGTCCAACCGCAAAATGACCTGAATTTTCGAATTCCTCATTGAAAAATAGTTAAAAATGATGTGTCACATGTCAAAACTGACACGTGACACTTTTTCGTCAGTTTTCGTCACTGTGACGACGTCATCGTCACAGGTGACGATGTCACAGTGTCCATCTTCGAACTCGTCCTGTCCATTGACGTTAGGAGTTTACGTTCAAAATTTCAAGTGTCTATGTCTTTTCGTTCAAAAGTTATCGGAGCTACGGACAGACAGACGGACGGACGGACGGACGGACGGACGGTCGGACGGACGGACGGACGGTCGGACGGACGGACGGACAGACAGACGGACATAACGATCTTATAAAGGGCTTTCACCCCTTAATAAATCCTTGGAGAACTTCTGTTACTTACTTTCTCCATTATTTCGGGTTAGCAGTGGTGGCGGCGGAAATTGTTAGCTGAGCTTAAAATGGGGAAAGTCTTAGACGAGAAATGTAAGGAAGAGCCAGCGAGCGAGCGAGTGAGTGAAATGAATGGATGAAGAGCAGAAGGGAGAAAGCCTATACCACGAACTGATCTGCTCGTAAGAAGAATTAGGATGATAAGTCCGACATTAGTTTCTCAACAATTTTATGCCTCTGAATGGAATGAATGATCACACCACAGGATCCGTGTGGATTGGCGCTTCGTTGAATAGCCAAATTAAGTAAATATACTTTCAGTCATTTATATTCTGGTAAATCCAAGCAAGTTGCTTCGCATGATCAGGAGGAAGGATATTAAAGGAGGACATATGAAGATAAGGTATTTTTGTATTGCGTTCATAGGTAAACTTGCCAGCAATCAGAAGAAACTAATTCAGTTTGCAATAAATGTTGTGTATAAACTTCGTACTGGAGACATTCTGTTGGTAAAAGCTTTACAAAAATAAAGGAATGTTGTGGTCCTAGCTAGAAGCCCATGGGTGCATATGATGCAGATTTCGTGCTTGGCTAGACGATGCTTCCTGTTGTCACTTTCTGGCTATTCAGACTGTGGTGGTGAAAGTGCCGTCGTTCTTTTTCATCGTCGTGATGGCCTCATCCAACGAGTAGTAGCAACAAAGAAAAAGCTAAAAAATGTTTATTGAAATAAATCCAACAGTGAGTCTGTTATTACCGCTTCTACATTTCGCCAGATAAAACATGACATGCATAAGGGAAACAAACATCCGTTCCTGCACTATCGTTGGACCGTGGAAATACGCAGCCTGTATTATCAAATAGTATTTTAATTTCACCACTTTGTGCAGGTTGGTTTGTATCAAAATGCAAAACCCATAGTCATTTTTGTAGATAAGCTCAACTCATGTGACCTCTGACTCAAAAGTTATATGTTAACATACAGGAAAAATGAAAAAAAGAACATGCATCTATAATTCTAGCATACATACATGGTATTTATTCCCTTTTTACTTTTTATACATACTATTCTGAGCTTGTACATGCCTACGTATTTATATATTTTGTCCAGTTTAGATATTAGCTGACTATTATACAGGGTGGTTAAAATGTCACGCTATAATGGAAAATTTTTCGATGGGGAAAATTCGTAAATTTCCATTAGTTACCGAAATTTTATCGCTAAAATTCAACATTTTTCTTAGGTGAAGGAAAAGTAACCATAAGGTGATCATGTTAAAAGATCACCATGGTTACGGCGAAGCCTAGGTATGCAATCAGCTGCAACTTTGAAAAGGTCGCACTGAGATTTCGCCCAAACCGTTCGTTGCATGGAAAACATGCTGAAACAAAAAAACCAGAGAATTCTGTTTTACAGATACGTTTTTTTTATTTTTTCAAAAATTCTAATTCCTTCAGGTAGAAAGTCCGATGCCTAAAATTTCAAATCCATTTCTTGGCATCAAGGAAGTGTTTCCGACCGGGGGCTTGCCATTTTTATTATTCTCCAGGATAATACGCAAATTGTAAGCCTTTGTTCGACTTAATCGGATCAAAACTGACGGAATTAGAGCTTTTTGAAATATTTGAATTAGGCAACCTATTTACGTGTTAAGTTACTGGTTGCTAACGTGCGGTGATAGTTTATTCAGCATCGCTATTCAATACTCAACATATCCAATGTTGCTAGACAATCGAATTACGTTATTATTAGATGGCTAAGTGTCAAGGCATCCTTGACAGAACAGAACAATCCTTAAAATTTTGAAACTGGGGGATTAAATTGGCATGCCACGCATCCACACCCACTGCGGAATTAAATTGGTATGCCAAGCGTCCACAAACAGGAGAATTAACAACGTTTAAGATTTTATAATTGCATATGATTTTATGCATATAAGTTCACAAATCACTAAAAATAATTAAATAAATAAATTTTAAAAAACAAACTTAGGTGAAGGACGCGCTTAAAATATTAAAACAAGAAGCATTAAAAAATGTCATAAATCGCTTAATATTTATTAACTTTTACTTCACCGGGGGCCCAACTGTTAAATTTTCAAAGCAATGATAATCAATAATAAATGTAGCTAAACCAACGACTTGATTAAATATGAAGGGCAGCATTACAGAAGTTATTAAAAATACGCCAGAACATGAGCAAATTTCCTCTATAAGAGGTGTCGCGATTTATTGAAAGATAATCATTCAAATCTTGCAAGTTTAATATACAAATACATATTACGCATTTCGTATAATTGTTCCAAATCCTTGAAAGTATACCTTTTTTCCTGTGTTAGTTGGGCCCCCGGTGAAGTAAAAGTTAGTAAATATTAAACGATTTATGACATTTTGTAATGCTTCTTGTTTTAATATTTTAAGCGCGTCCTTCACCTAAGTTTGTTTTTTAAAATTTATTTATAAGAATTTCGTCATCAATGCTCCATCAGTTTTGATAATAATTATTAAAATCTCAATCCAAAATCTTGTAACTAATGGAGATTTAGGGGTTTTCCCATCAAAAAATTTCCCATTGTAGCGTGACATTTTAACCACCCTGTATGTAGCTACAACATATACGTGCACTGTTGCTAGTACGTTTCTAGCACCATATAGCCATGATAATTCTAGCCAACTTTTAAAATTGCGCTGTAACGTATAGTCAGCCGATTTTGTTGAGTGAAAGCAAGATGAGCAGATGGATATTATCAAATAAAGGGACGAATGACGTACAAAATGGGGATCTTCTTCTTCGTACAACAATGAAATTCACACAGATCCAACCAAGCTCCAAAATAATCCGTGCCCCTTGTGTGTGGCAGTGAATAACACATCAAAAGATGAGTGCGAGTAATAATACCTAGACGTGTTTGTCATTCACAACGGACTGAATTGATCATGCCAACTGAATTCGCACAAAAGGCGAGCAGTGCAGAGATATGCACTTATATATGTACTTACGACTTGGAGCTATATTTCAATTCCAGTCGCCTTTGATCATCAACAGCTTTCACTCTCATCTCACAACTTCATTCGTACTCCCTACAACATTAGACAACCAGTTCCACATATATCTATGTATGTGTGTATGTATATGCACTTACTGGCTGACTGAGATGTCCAACGTATTCCTCGCTTCTGGGTGTAACACGTTCATCAAAACGCAGGACAAAGATACACTGGTTGAAGCTTTTAGCAAATTATGTGCACATTATAGACATTTTCAGTGAGGGAAAGCCTGCCCCTCATAAAAATAATTCTTAAGGGATTTAGCCGTCGGGAAATTGTTATTGAACTTCTCGACCGGGAGAAAGTACAGTCAATCTAACCTAATTTTTTTATAACACCATTGATTTTGTTTTTGCAGTGAGTCCCGAGGTGGTGATCGTGCCTATTGTCTCAAGCATATTGGTCTTTCCAATCGTGGCTTTCATCATCATTTGCTGTCTTCGCAGAAGAGCTGCTCGTGGTCTGTTCTATCGTTAAATTTTTACATGATTTAAGTTCAAACCCGTGTTCGGTTCTATTTTATGATGTGAGCTTAATATTTTAGCCCGACAGAAAGCTAGGATGGCAAAACGGTGAGTCTAAATAAATAAATATGTATTATATGCACATACTGGTTTATGGAACACATTACTTTACATTCTTTCTTAAAAAATGGAAATGCGGTTGAGGTTTTGTCATATTCGAGGATCGAAACTTAACCAGCCTCTCGACTTGACAGTTGTTTAATGGCGTATTTTGCTCCCCATAATTTTATTCAAAACATAAGTCTTGGGCAAATCCAGCTTGTAATCTATGTACATAGTACTACACTCAAGCCGGATCATCGTGTACCAGCAAGAAGAAAAACTTGCAGGATACAACAAGATGAATTTAACACAAAAACGGAAGGCGAAATAATACAGCTTTATTTAAGAGCATCACTTCCAGATGGGAAAGATATGGTCAAACTGCAACTTCCGTTAATACTGTACTAAAAACGGAAACTACACATATTCCGGACGTGCGCTTTACATTATTGTTTGTAGTTATTGTAGGCATATCCTCTCCACTTAGCTATCTGACAACCAAGTAATTGCAATAAATCTTGGCCGACTTTGGAGAACAGAATAATACTTTACACGTCTTTTATCCCTCCATTTTTTATAAAAAGATTCGAAACGAAAAAATTCTGCCTGGCTGTTGTACATAATTGTATAGTTTGCTATCCAAGGTGAAGCACGTAGCGTTTACGGGCTTTTCCTCTGTCTCCTTTGTTTTATGCAGTATCTTTAGTTCACACAAAAGCTATGCTGGTCACTGGTCATGAGAGATTCAACGTTATATTTATATCTGTAACAAATATTTACATCAGGATTATACAGACGTCTCTGCCTTCGTGTACAGCATTGCATTTCAAGTTCTACAATCTCTTATTTTTATTCGGCCCAACAAACTATGTACACTCAAGTAGTGTCAACTCTGAAGCTGAAACGTGAGTGATAAAATGCAGATTTGTTGCCAAAAATTCTGGTGTGTCGAAGCACACTTCACTTCACACTAACTTTGTTTTCCTAAAATTCTTAGAAATTCGCTTTAAAAATAAAGTTTTGATATAAATGCAATCTGGAATATAATGCAAGAAATTAACTCTTATAGGAACAATTGCACTATCTCGAGAGACGGCAGAGGCATATGTAAATCAGATGTCGCATGTAGCAACATCATCATGAACAAACCAGACATTTGCATTAACTTGTAATAATGAAGCATGTAGAAAGCAATTTTCACTCTACGTACGAATAATAGAATTCTGAATTTACACTCCTTTCAGAATAAACATATGCGCATTCGGCATTGTTCAATTTATTAGTGCTCAGAATGTGTTTCACTGATGTTGCTTAAATTGCGATATGAGGTTATGAGTTCCAAAACCAAGGTTTATTTGTCGGCCGTCCATATGTACGTACTTATACGTATGCACATAAGCATGTGGGTATCTAATCGGTATTTAATTTCCAACGATTTGAGAACGCCGAGAATCGTACAAGATTACGTTTCATCCAATAAAACACAAACAACTTGCCCATCATGTTATTGACCACTTAATCGTTTTTCGATTGCTTTTTCGTTAAAAAAATTCGATACTTTTTTGGAGGATCTCTTACAATCTCTTCTGCATCATCTCGAGATAATCGCAGGTTTGGAACTAAAATTGGGCCGGGGGTGCCTTCAAGAAATAATAAAATGAGAATTGTTATTGAGTAAAATTTCTGTTGACGGATTTTCCTAGTTTATCATGAGCTTATATAACTAATGAGATGGAAGAAATACGGCTTAATTTGCGTATGAATGCAGAGTTGCATAACTTGACTCGAAAATGGTCGCGCATTTGAAAGTTTACTGTAATCAGCACGTCACAACAGCGACGATGGAGACGTATAGAATTATAGACAAGTCACTTGGTTCATTTTCGCGTGCAATTTCATGTGATGACGGCATAAAGGAAGAATGTCCAAAAATAAAATCGCTTTCAAATTCATGAATTATGAGACGACATGAGGCAAATGCTATTCCATTACCCAAGAAAAGTGAGCCAGAGTGTTACGCACAGTGGTTTTCATGTAAATACATACGTAAAGCATTTGTTGCATAACGGTAACGAGTTGTATTCAGAAAGTTAATTCCAAACCGGCCTCGATTGAAAGCAATTCTTGTGAATGAAACTTAACGAGACAAAATTTCTTGTTTATAAGCTGAAATTGAAATGTTGGAACAACAATCCTTTCATACGTGAATAATGTAAATGTCAGCTCATCTTCCAGATGTACTTTTATACTGGAGAAAGAGGAGCAAAGGGGGTTGATTTCATAACATGTCTAATCCTAAGTTGTGTTCGTATTAGTTCCATATTGATGGTTATATGACAACGTGGGATATAACATTTACGTGTTTACGTATTATGTTTTTCAACTAATTCAAGGACGTCATGCGAAATTCTATTTAATTTTAAAATTAAACTTAAAATTTTGAAAAAATTTTCTCTTCGACTCACCGGTTTCCTTCGTATGTAGCAACATGGTCATGTTTTAAATACTGGTCTTTTATCAAATTGAACTCTCAGATTAAAAAAATACCACTCTAATTAGTCTTATTTTAAGTTTTATGAATCATTTACTGACTTTGTCGAATTCGCAACATTGTATGGGTGCGAAAAGACCGGAAAAAAAGAATAAGAATACGCACATTTTTTAGCCCAAGTCAGGGCTTATGGAACCGTCATGTCCGTCCGTCCATCCGTCCGTCCGTCCGTCCGTCTGTCCGGCACGATAGAGCCAAAACGGCTGAACCGATTGACTTGAAATTTTTACCATATGCATATTGGACAAAGTTAGGAAACGAGTTCGAAGATGGGCAAAATCGGTCAAGTGGTTGACCGGTGGGGGTCATCGGAGTGGGTGGGGTCTCGTGCACCAAAATTTCAAAGTTGTCGTAGAAAGCTGAAATCTGGTACAGAGGTTGCTAATGGCTCCTAATAGATAAAAATGACTTCAAGTTGGAAAAATTTTCATCTTGAGGGACCCTATGGGGTGACCCATACCGATTTTTCAAAATCGTCATACCAAGCTGAAATTTGGTAGATAGATTGCTAATGGGTCTTAATAGAAGAATATGACATGCAATTGGTAAAATTCTTATCTGGAGCGACCCTGTGGGGTGACCCATACCGATTTTTAGAAATTACTTTAAAACATTAAATCCGGCACGGTGATACCTAATGGCTTCTCACGAAAGGATATGAAGCTAAAAGTGAGCAAATTTTAACCAGAGTGACCCTGGAGGAGTCAGGGACTCTGTCCCTGACTCGGGCTATATGGAGTCTGCACTGTAGGTTTTTATTTGAAAAATCGAATTAAAAAAATTTAAAATCACAAAGAATCAAAGAAGATTATAAAATTTAAAAATAACAATCAATAGCTATGCACTATATATTTCCAAACTATTTTATTTTGTAGGGGACATAATGTTATACAGTTTATTTTTTAATTAAAATTTTGTTTTGGGCTTCATGATGACATCATGAAGCCTTTTACGATTTTTCTAATCTTTTCTACCCTGACCCAAGAAATTGAAACCGTACAGGACTACACATACAAATTTTGAATGTCTGAAATTAAACCAGCAAGTCACTCATTCACATTTCACTTTTTTCACCAAGTATGAAGATTGCTCAAGGATTTTATTTTTGATATGAAAGCGGAGAAAAGTTTTTATTTGCCAAGAACCTGTCCTACCATTCATCAAAAACTGTGCCTTGACGATTATGCAATTTATAAACCTACCCTGTGCACGGCTTATTTTGTCCGAGTCAGGCCCGCTTCTAAATTTTTGTCATATGGCTCAGTGTCAGATTTCCATCGAAATCGACAGGCGCATTCAGCATGACCAAAGGAGCTGATCCCAACTATTGGTGACTGTTTCGACACACTTTCAAAAATGTCGACATGGTCTGATCAGGCTGAAGTTAAGCTACGCATGACATAAAGGATCGTGCTAAAAAATTAAGTTTTGAAGTTTGAAATTTTCAAGAAAAATTTCAAAAAATTGCCCCTGACCGTGATTTAAAAAATTATGGCGATGGCGGTTTTAAAAAAGTCACAGAAATTAACCAAGGTTCATGAAGGGCCGCCACGCCACGCTGCTAAATATGACTTTTATATGAATGGATATATGAATGGACCCTTCAGGTAAGGCCCTCACAGATTATTTTTAAAAAACATACTGGATACCTTGAACACGACAAGCAGTCTGGAACCTTCCTTTGTTAATTTATATGTACGTGAGTGTCTCAATATTTGCCATTTCTTTTTAATATTTTTAGTCGGTTTGGAAAAAATTTGGTGTCAATATGTTGAAACCACAAACTGATCCCACTCTAGTGCATCCTATGTACGTGTGTGCATAAGCAGACGTAGTTGTTGTACGTATGTATGAGGGTTCCGGTCTGGGCTGGATCCATTAGATAAGTGCAACGTGGAAGTAGAACGTGCCTGGATATGAAAGGACGAGCTTAGCATTTTCCGAGTCAACCACATCTTTGCTTCTAGCAATATTTTTAAACCTCACTCACAACCACATCCATTTAAACCAATTTGCAGTGAACTTCATTTAGCCTGCATCAGTTAGCATCATTCCATCGATTATGTGCTTTGTTTCGTCAATGTTGATCAATCTGTCATTTTCAAAACTTTCGCTGTCCTTGATATCATTAAAAATTAAAAATACCTTGAGATTTATCGTCTGGCATTTAAAAGCTATTTGGCTCCATTCTCTAATCTGCATAAAAACCAATCGGGGGGTTCTGAACCAATTTAGCATAACTTCAAACCCGATAAACACGATGCCCACGTAACAGACGCCGGTACTATTTTAGACGCTGCCGCCGCCGAATTAGGTTTGGGTCCGATTTTGATTTGGCCTGAATACTTCGATTTTGTAGAACAAAATGGAGTACCTCGATTTTAGTCTAATTCAAATTACAAAAGTCAATCTTTAACAATATTTTCAGCCCCAAACTACACATTCCATTTGATGC